TATAAAAAATCATTATCTAACTCAAAAAATCTATAATTAGGTAAGGTTAATGCCAGCTTTGGTCAGGGAATTTTTAATTATTTTATGTGGTTTTGGGTTTACTTTTTAAAATAGTTACGAAGTATAGTATTTTCTTCTTGTAAGTGATCCGCAGTATTGCAAATTCTTTTCATTCTAAGTAGCTGTGAATAAATTGTGTTTGATTATTACTCTTTTGGAAATATTTGAATTCCAGTTAGTGAGTTTTTTAAGTGTGGAAAAATTAAATTCTCTCTCTTTTTATCGTAAACTTTAATAAAACGGTAATCAATAATATGTAAATCAAGGTAGACTATATCATGCTGTTCTGTATTGGTTTTATTAAGTTTTAAGCAAGCAGGGTAGATATTAGCGTTTTCTATTTTTTTTGTAGTTATTAAATGCTATGACATCATCAATATATCTATAGATGTGTTTGGAAAAAGAGACTTTTTCTTCCGTTCTGAGTGAACGTACATAGGTTAGTTCTTTAGTGAACAGGAATAATTCACAAACTGAAGTTGAAAAATTCCCGCCCATAGGTATTCCCTGAACTTGTTTATAGATGTAATTGTCAAACTGAATAAAAATGATTGAAGAGAACGCTGGTAAGGAATAGCTGCCATTTTTCGTTGCTGAGAATGGTAGAAATTTGTGGAAATAAAATCTGGAAGAGCAAGTAAACTTGTAAAAATTTCTTCGAGTGGTAGAGATGTATAAAGGTTTTCAAAGTCGTAGCATTGGATATGTTCTATTTGAAGGGAATTCAGAGTTTTAATAACTTGTTCATTACTAGAGATCATCCAGTTGCAATGCAAACCTTTAAAATCATAGTTATTGATTAGTTCACGAATCATACGAAGTTTTTGCGCAAAGAGATAATCTATTTCTTTGAGATAACTTTTAGTACTATTAGCTATGAACCTGAATTTAATTGGAGACTTATGAAATTTCGGTAAGGCATAGAGATTTGCAAACCTGTTGTTATTTTCTGGGGTTGTATTTTAAGTCTTTTATGTAGTGCTTTAAATTTATTAGAAGATCTGAGTACTGGAAGTTATTTTTGGTAAGTGCAAGTGTTATTTAAACTCTTATGCAGAAGGTTGTAGTAGAAGTGTTGTCAAATAATACTAAAATTGTTGCTTGCTTTGTCAATCTTCGTGATGATAAAGTTATGTTGCAATTTTGAATGAGATCCTCCAGGCGTTTTTTTTGTGTAAAGAGTTGAAATTAGGCGCCTTGAAAGCAAACATTGAAATTCTTTTAAGTGCAGCTTTCCATTCAAGAAAAGTTGTAGTGGGTAAATTGGATCTTGTACTAGCAATAATAATAAATTTATCTAGATCATTATTGAATTGTTTGAGGCAGACGTGTCTATTAATACTGAAAGAGGACGAAAACTTGGTGCCAAGTTGCATAAGGTTACGTAATTCAGTATTTTCTATAATATTAAGATCTCCTGTGACTATATGTTGGTGGAAAGGATCGACATATTTTTTTGTAGACAGGCATTTGGCAGTAACAAGTGCTATTATCTTTTATAACGTGGTGGTTATATAACTAGTTGACCCAAGGTTTTTCAAATTTAAAACAGGGTTTGAATCTGGACAGGGTTGGTTAGGAAAGCAAGTGCTGATATTTTTTTGAAAATGCTAGGAATTTTGAACTTATCGTAAGAAGGGTGTTTGAACTGAATAGTACAAAAAGTTTTTTGCGAAAGAAATTACTGTTTTTTAGTTTAAAATTGCAGAAGTCTAAAATAAGATCCTTGACTATTTTGAGCATTGAGACGGTTGATTTACTGTTTTAATCAGATTCCATAAGGTAGTATTCTTAAAGGTATGAAGAAAGTTTTATGGCATTTTTAACGAAGTCTTGATGTCCAAGGTAGGAATTAAGATTATGAATAATTAATTTCAGATCTTTGTGACGAAAAAAAACTTTTTGTTTTTAGCATCACCTCCTCTAGTTCCTCTGTAGTAGTAGTGCTAAAAAATCTGAATTGTCCATATATAGAAATCTCGTGCTGCCTATTAGTGGTATTACTGAGATATGCATTCAGTCCGTAAGGATAAAGTGACTTATTTTGAAGTATGTAAATCGACTCCTTAAACAGTCGAAGTTTGGTGTTAGGAACAATATCAAGCACGTTAATTTCTATGTGATCAAAATTCTGTTGATAATAATGTTCAAGAATAGCTGTAAGTTGATGATCTTTGGGCTATTATTTGTTATTATTTTTAAATCTTTAATATGAGATCTTATGGTTATTAATTCTGAGGTTGAGAGGGTTTTTAGTTTGACCTATAGATGGCGAGAACATTCTTACAGGTGATCTGGTAGATGCAATTGTATGTCTTTCAAATGATTGTGTTTTACTTGCCAGTAGGAAGCGGAAGTAGGAGTAGCATTAGCCTTACAGGTTTTTCAAAGATGGTTGCTTCATTTAATTATTTTTATGTTATTTATCTGAGCCAGTGATTGAAAGTAAAGAGGGAGCTAGCCTGCTTTACAGTGCTTTACAGTGTTTTAGTGGAAGACTAACCTATCGTGAAAGTGGAACTGTTAACAGTTCCCGGCAACTTATAAGCTAAAGCTCAAAAACCTGAAAAACTGAATATATCAGAACTTAATGACACTTTTTTGCGCTAATAGCTGCGAAAAAGAAATAATTTATCAAGCAAAGCAGTAATAACAATTTTGGTCAAGAAAACATCTTGCGCAATTATAATTTCTCATGTTAATCCAATACAAAAAATGTGCTTTAGTGGATTGAAAACTGCTAAATAAACAGATCACGCATTTAGAAATAATATAGTTCATTTTAATTTATACTATATATTATGACTTCCTCATGTCATAGGTAATATTTGGCACGGATATTAATTATATTTTAAATTGTTTTTTTCTTTTTTTCCGTTAATTCTTATTGCTGTTTTAATTGTTCTCCTTTTCTTTTTGGCTTCGCTTTTCACTTGCTCCTGAATCTGGCAATAAGCTATGACATGAGAAATTGGGAAACTCGTGATCATGCTTCTCTTTAGAAGAAAATTCACGTTTTAATTTGGGTATAATTTAAATTGTAAGAAATTTGAGACCTGTAATTCTGTCAACAAATAACTTCTAAAGTTCTGATTCTAAAGTTACTGTGTGAAATATGCACGGATAATGTAAATTTTATTTTTGCAAGTAAAAAAGATATTTTCTTATTTATATTATAATATAAAGGAAAGCGTTTAGAAATATATTCAATTCACAAGTTTCTGTACAAGACCGATCTGCTATAAACATCCAAAAACCGTAGTTGACGTTTTGAAGGGCCTATGAGAAGGGCGCTTCCCGTGACGTCAGCATACAGGTTATTAAACGCTTACGGGAGAAAAGAGAGTTGTTGTTCGCCATTTTGGAAAGGTCCCTAGAAATTGGACCTATTTGAACTATTTGTCATAATCTGCCGCCATCCATCCCTTGTACCTTAACCAAAGCGTTATCGTTCTTAAATTTAAAAGTAACCCATTTGGACGGACCGAGGTAAGTGACTATTTTATAATGCTACCAAGTTTGAAAAATAGTTAATAGTTTTTTTGTTTCGGTGAAAGTGATCGGACGTCTCCATCTTTTGTGTGTTTTCGTTGCTGAATGTACAAGTAAATTTTTTAGGGTAATATTGAGGTAAGCACATGCAGTAAATTTAAATTTTAATGTTTAAAAATGATTGAAGTTGTGTTCGAGCGAGATACTGCGCAATATCAAAATTACATGATAACATAATACAGAGTGCGCATAATACAGATTTAAATAAAATGAGGAAAGAAACTTTTTCGTTCGCATTTCTCTAATCCAGGTAAGTATTATTGCATATATGAGTTAGATATTTGAAGTATGTTTTTGTCACTAACAAATTTTTTGGTGTATCACTATTTCAAGTTTTATTGTGTTCGTTATAAATTGGTTTTCAGAATTTTTGGGAAAAAGTTCATTTTTTCTCCTTTAATATATGTGTATTGAACAAGTAAACAAATAAAACACATTTTTATTATAATGTCAATTGTTTTATCTATGAACGCCCATAACTGATGTTAACTTCGTTCATTGACGTGCTTTCGTGAACACAGTTCCTACAGACTTTCGAAGCTGTGGCGTACAGTTAAAAACTATTTAAGTAGATTTTAGTTGTACGTATTTCCATTTGGTGTTAATCAACATCATTTTTCAATATCTCAATACATGAGCATGCTTTTACTTGTTTTGGAATAGAACTCTTTTTATTTACGTAATTTATTTTGTCATGTTGTAGTTGTCGAGGGTTCGCGTAGTTAGATCGATTGTTTTCTGCCCATTATATTTCCGAGTCATTAGTTTTACGTGTATTCGTTACTTTATATTTGATGGAAAAAATTTGAAGGTGACAGGTTGCTGACCTCGTAACTTAAAAAATGTGCAACCTTGTCATGCTGATAGTTTAAAACTGTGTAACGGTTCCATTAAGGAAACTTAATTTTTGTTCAGTTTTGTTTTGAAATTATTGAGTATAATCATTAATCTTTTAAAATTCTGGATTACTTATTTGTTTGTTTATTGACAAATGTTTTGGAAGATTTGTACTCTCATCTGATTCTTTACCTTATAAAGTAATAGATTTTAGTTGTGTGCTTAAGCTAATCTTTAGTGCAACTGTAAAGTCTTTCTTGAATCGTATTTTGTGTTTTTAGCTTATAGTACTTCTATCTTTGCAAGCAACAAGATCTGATTATGAAACAATAAGGTTTTAATTTCTGTTTAAAATGCTGTTAAAGTGCTACATTTTTTCATTAACAAAAAGCAAGAATTTTAATTTGAAAAGTAGCTATATTTATTATTAAATAATTTTTAGTCCTTAACCGATTTATTTATTTTCAGATTTGTTGAATTTTTTTAAAATATAAATTTTATAAAAATAGGGAGCGGACCGTTCCCTGGGTGCAGTGCTCTGTACTCAATGACTTCTTCTGATCAGCATATCTGCAGTTTCGGAGCTAAATCCAAAGGCGGAGAAAGGAAGGTCGAAGTATGTTGCACTGGACATAAAATAGCCTTTATAAGGGAAAAAGTCTAGAAAACCCTAAAGCTACTAGTAAGTACTTTTATTTCTGTCTTAAATAGTGCATAAAATTAATACTGAAGTATTCTTTTTGTTCTATGATCTGTCCTGTCTCTGATTGATCAGTTTAAAATTAACTGTGTATTGATTTTGCAAGCTTTAGTAGCTGACGAGAAACCAAAATCATCAGCAATATTGTACATCCTCGTCCCCCTCATTCTTTCAAATGTTAAATGAAATATCTCCTGCAGCTTCAGCTTACTGCACAGAAACCAAGAGCCATACCTGTAAGACTTTTGGGCCCTGCAAACCTTTCCCTCATTAACTTCCTGCATATCTAAGCACAGCTATCTGAAACTGTCTTTTTAGGACCAAGCTTCATAAGTCCTCCATACTTTAAGTATGTTAAATCTCCATTCACTGTATCAGCTTCCCTCAAAAAGTCAAAATAAATCCGTGTTGTTACACAAAGTAGTAGCAAAATTCCTATATAGAAACCCCTGCTTCTCCAAAGTTGGCCTATTATTTGAATAAGTCCAACTAACCATACTTTCTGGCAAACCCTAGTACTTAACATACTTAAAACAAAAGACGTACTGAAAAATAGAAAAAACTTCTTTGAAATACAAACCATAGAAAATAACAAACCCCCAAAACGAATGATTCCATGCTCACTGCACAGAAAAAAGAAGGGAGATGCTGAACTGAAATTGCAGACTCCAGCTTAAAGATTACCTTAAATAAAACTGTAAATAACAGGGTTATCATAATTTTTAATTAATCGTGCTGAAAAGGACTAAAATTTTGCCTTCTTTTCTTCAGTAATAAATGAAACAAATATCTGTTTTATACAAGATTTCGCTATCTTCAAATGAATTTGACTGGTATTCTGAGAGTTATAATTTTTCACATTGCGTTTCCAAAAAATTTAAACGTTTGAGAAGGAGAGCAGACCGTTCCCTGGGTGTATCTGGACCCTGGACCGTTTTCATCTTCATGGAATTTTAATTTTTGCATTCTCTACTGTTGGGCGATACTGTATATTTCTCGAAAAATGGGCTTTTGTTTTCATCAGTCGTTAAACTCAAGTCTCATTACTACGAGAAAATAAAAATATACTCTGTGCAAAATCAAATACCATGGAAAAAAATGTCCATCGAATCTGGAAGATAAAATCTGCATGTACTGAAATGCACGTATCTTGCATGCTTTCTAGGTTACCACATTGGTAAAACTATATTTGTGATGGTGCAAATCTCAGTAAACTGCGTTTCAAATCAAACAATGAAATAACATAAAAAAGCACTATGCACTACACAACAGAAATAGCTACCAACCTTATTTAGAAATTTCTCTTGTCTTCAGTCTGTGGCGCACAAAATTCCTAAACAGCATCTAAAAACTTTCCTCAAGCCATGTTCCATGTTCTCTTTCTAACAGAACACTTTATATAGTGACCATTTGAACCTTTCTTGTGTCAAAGCCATCTGAACGATCTTTACGTTCAACCATATGCATTTCCTTTGTACAAACAGGACACTTATAATTGCTACTAAGTCAACCATTTACACACCAGTCAATTAATGCTTCCCCCCCCCTTCGTTCCAAACTATAGGAATTTCAAATTAATCTTACTACATTCAGCCTTTTTATAGTGTAAATCACAAAATAAGCAACTTCCTAACCAGCATCCAACACACAATCAAGCCATTACAAATCTTTTCCCATCAGTAAAATTCAGGCAACCAATTACGTCATAATAGGGTTTTCATAACATTCAACTAATTAGGTTACCATAAATTAAACAACTTGGCGATAATCCAACGGGCACCCTTTACTCAAGTTCCCATAAATGAAACAACAACTTGGCAAGGGCACCGTCAAATATAGACTAGCCACTATATTTCATATTGTAATGACCTTATGTCATCTGTCTTTGCAACATGGTGTGTTGTCTTGCGAATCATTTTCAGAGCGTGTGTGCAGATAATAAGAACTAACTTGTTCCATTTAGTATTCAAAAAGGGAGAGACTGGCAAAATCTGATCAGAACATAAAATAAACCAGTTTTATCTTGGCAGAACTGACTACCGTTTTTTGCAGATGGTTTGAGTGTTTTGCCCATAGCAAAAGCGTTGTAGAAATCATCTCTATGTGGGTAAACAGTGGTATGGAGGTCTCATAAATTTAAAATTCTGATTCATTTTTGAATGTTTTACAAGAAGCTGTGATTTTTTGTAAGTAATAAGTTAGTAATAGAAATGTTCAGGTGTACTGAAAATTTGAAACAAAGCATAGCAGTTTTTAAAGTCTATAAATTTTGTGTATGTTAGACTGGCTAGTATTTTATACATTTTGCACATATATTGCATATTTGTAACAGTGCATCAGACGGTATTTTGTAAATATTAGAACAGATGGGTTACTTAATGAATTAAACGGTCTTCAGTATACAAGAAAAGCATTATTATAAAACCTTCATTATGTTTATTTCGAACCTTCTTCCTATTTCTTATGTCTGTCACAGGAAGAAAGAAACTAGCTGATAAATCACTTTTCTCACAGTCATGTTTATCAATCTGAGTTTGAACAATTCTGTTAGTTTTTGCTACACGATTAAAAATTTCTCTGGTTTTTGAATTTCTGGTTCTCTTGCTTTTTCCCATTAGTATTTCAAGGTTGGCAGCTATTAAGAATTATTTGTAATAAATTAATGTCTATGTTTTTCTTTCCTTTGTATATAAACTAAGCATATTATTATTAGAAATTTGCACTTTTTGACCTATTTTTTCATCCACTTTTTATTTGGATTTTCATTTTATTAAGTGCTTCAAAATGATTTTTATTATCAAATAAATATTCTAGCAAAACTTGAGCAGGTGAATAATTGTTTGAACCAAGCATCTTAAAACTTCATGCCTTTAAAAATAATTTTAAATGCTTTTTCAGATACAAATTACATTCATAATGTAATCGAGTAATGCACTTTTGTAATGTTGAAAGAGAAGTGGGAGTTCTTTTGCATTAGCATTGACAACAGTGTGTATTACAAATGTGGCGTTATTGTGAACTGAAAATAGTGAACTCTTCAAAGAGTTTTTCAGTTTTATCTGCACCTGCTGTTTCAGCATTTGGTAAAGTTGCCGTCTTTATATTCTAATGTACTCATGGCAGTGCTAATCTAGACATGCACATACTACACATGATTGTGGCAGGTAATTCACTTTATTGGAGGATGAAGGGACATCTGGCTGTAAAAAATTTTAATATTGGCTGTATAGATTTATTTTGTAATTTTTTTCTTATAAACTGCTTTTCTTTATTGTGATTTAAGAAAGGAGAGTACCTGAGAGCCATAACAATAGCTGATGAGTTATTTCTTGGGGGGCGGGGTCAGAAAGTTTCATTGACTGATTTGTTTCTTATTGGAAATTATTATGAATGGGGTTATAAGAAAAACTTTAGAACTTTAATGTATAAACAACTGCTATTTTATTCATCATCAAAAGAAATTCAATAGAGCATTTAGTACTCTTAAACAGGGTTGCCATGCTACCGGGAAAAGTCAGGAAATGTCATACGGCGATCCCCAAAAAACCGAGTATTGTGGCAACTTTGGAAGCGATCACTTTGTTGACGAATTATGTATTGGATGAGTGTCATTCGGGCAGCTGGCATAGAGCTAATTTTTGCAGCTCCAATCAGATTGTCTTTTAGAAAGGCAAAGCCAGTTTCCGGCAAGTTTGGTTTCCAGTAACCTTGAGAATTAAGACTCGCATGTGCAGGTTATGTTCAACTAAAGGAAATACCTTCCCATTCTTGTACACAACAAAATCGGTTTAATCCTAATGTACGGTACCATGGAGGCTAGAATAGCCCCCATGTACTCTGTTCTAATGTATGTCTATGTAAAGAAAGAAAGGTTCTATAGATGTAGTGTAAATCAGTTGCTATAGTGCCACTAGAAAGCAAAGAGAAAAACTTGCAAAGAGATTTAACAACGGAATGTGACGGCGAGAATTTCCCCCTCCGCAATGTGTACAGGAAATTGTGGAGCATGTGTTAAAAAGAAATGTTCTTTGACTTTCGCGATAATTTATAATTGGATTTCCGTACTTTTTTGCCCAAAATAGCTAATCTGTTAATTTACTCGCACAAAAAATATTTTCTTTATTTTCTTTTCCTTTAAAGTTTAAGAAAATTTAAAATGATATTCTTTTTATGCACTCTTGATAAACTTGACCTTCGAACTTAGCGAACTTCGGCGACAGATATATCGTGCATACAGAGCCGTTTCCGCCTACGTTGGGATGGAGCCATTCCTGTTGCAGAGAAGTTTATCTTAACAATACATATTTTCATGCTACTTTGGTAGACGGTTGCATGGATTTTTTGCGATTTACTTTGGCGCGGTTTTAAGTCGTCAGTCATCTTGAAAGACGCTGTTTTTATGTATTTTGCCCATAGTAAAGTAGTCAATAAATAAATTGTTAAAATTAATGGATTAATTTTTTGTTGAAAACTTGTTTAAGATGGCAGGCAAATGTAAATAAATACATTTACTACGAGTATAAAATACTAAAGGTTAAATTATTACTTTCATATAGCAATGAAATAGAATAAAAACACCGCTATAAAATATTGCGCCTACGTTTAATTGGATTAAAATATTACTTAAACTGAATATCTAATTAAAAACCATCATACCAATGTTTCAAAGAATTAAAATATTACTTAAATTCAAATACTTTAAGGTATCCGACTACGCTCAATACTCTAATTTTGAAAAAGTCTACAAACAAACTCATTTTTAGTGTTAATTAGCAGAATGCTACCTAAAATGATAAAAACAATTTATAAACATATTATTAAAATGTAATTTTTACTTTTCCTCACATTTTGGATAAAAAATGTATTCAAATTTCAGTATCACGGGATTAGTTCTCTCAAAATTATTTATCAATATTTTGCTTTTATTTTTTTCACATATATTTATTAAAGCATAAGGAATAAAATGGACTAAAATTGAAGTCATAAAGAAAAAGTCTATTAAATGTACCTGTTTTGAGTACACACACTAGCTATTTTTCGAGAAATTTTTCTCTCTTCATTTACAAAATTGTCTGCAAAAATCTTAAATATGTATATAAACCTGAACTTTTAGTCCATTTAATTCCCAATATTCTATAGAATATTTGTGGGAAGTATCATAAAATTGCTATAGTAATATTTTAAGTTACGGTGTTTTTCATATTAGAAATGTTGACGAAAACAAGTGTTTTAAAAAAACAAATTTAAAGTTTTATCTTTAGAAAATATATTAGAAATTGATAAATTGCTAAAACCGCCCTGTTTTGTATATTACACCTTCTGTTAACTCTATTTTAGAAGTTTTTTTTCTTTAAAGGAGCTCTTAATTTTTTTCTTGCGATTTTTGCGGAATGTAAAGAATGCTGTTTTGAATTGACAATCAGAGTTTTATCAATACAGTTATATCCCTTGACAGTATATTGTCCATGTTTCATATTAAGTTTTGCCAATATTTTTAACATACCCAAAAATCCATTATTAAACTATATTACTCCTATATAGGAACCAAGACACAATGTTGCCAACTCAAGAAACACTTGTTTTGGTATGATACGTTATTAAAACTCTCATTGTTTTGAGTTTCGAAACACACTGGACAGGATAATGCAGAAAATACAGATTTTAGAATTTCAATATCGAATATTCTATTACCAGCTTCATTACCAGCAGCATTATTAGCTTCATTATAATTTTCAGAAAATGTTTTATTGTTTCCTAGTTTCAATTCACTGGCAGAATTTTTCACAGTATATCTTTTTCCAGCAAATCATCGTTTTTTAGAAAGAAAAGTTCCACGCCGACCCTTTACGACGTTTGCAATAATAAAGTGAAAATATTTTTATCACAATGTTAAAGTAACAAAGCAGAACGAGATAAAAAAATAATACTGAATAACAGCAAGCACGCAAAATCAGAGTGTAATCAAATCAAAATGTAAAGACAAACGGAAATTTTGCCAAATATGATACTGAAATTTCGAAAGTAATCTTGCTTCCAGCACATAATAATAATACATATGTTTCAAAATCATCTTTTGAATATCGCCAACAGTATTCAAATAAAATATTCTTGCTTAGAGTTGTCTGTGTTCCTTAAATATCAACTTCCGGCCATTTAAACAGCAACTTCCAACTTTTTAAACAGCAACTTCCGGTTCATGGTGTAAAACAACAAAAGCAATAACTCTACTTCTAATCACCGGAGAGACAAAACAAAAATAGTTTTTAGAAGCTAAAATTATAAGCTTTAAATTAAAAGTAATAAAATTTTTTTGAAAAATTTCTTCAAAATTCAGAATTAGTTAAATACCTTAAGTAAATAAGAACGCTTCGTACACTAGAGGTAAAATGAAAGCAATTAGAAGTTTACTGCTGGTAAAAAGGAGGAATGTCTAATACTTTGTTTACCGTTACAGCGGTTATTTCTTCCACCATGTACCACGTAGGGCCGTCCTCAGAATCGGCTCTTTTAACAATCTTCATCTGTGATCCTTATTTCTCGCACTTCATTGAAGAAACAATTAGCCAGGTTTCTTCCAAAAATTTAAAATAAATTTCTCTGACCCTTGTAACAATTTATAAATAAATCTTTGATTAGGAAAGCCAGCTTGGCTCAAATAAGGTCTCAAAGGACAATTTTTTGATTCCGATACCAATAATTCTTGGTATTTACCAATAACAACATAAATCTTTGAAAGGGACATATCCGTTCCCTATGAAATCTAAGGAATTCGAAAAGATAAATAATAAAATTTTAAAATGGTGCGGTAATGCACAAGTATTCAGTAACCAATCAGGGAGCTGATTACAGCTCGTTAATGCACAAATATATTCTGTAACCAATCAGGGAGCTGATTACAGCTTGCTAATGCACAAATATATTCTGTAACCAATCAGGGAGCTGATTACATCACGCATAGAATTAAAATTATTTAAATAATCATAACATAATAAAATCATTTTTAAATGCAAAATTAAATTGTATTTTAATATTTAACAGCCATAAATAACGTTTGAAACATTAAATTTATAGATATTAAAACCAATTACTTTTAAAGCAAGGTGACGTCATTGATTACATCATCCACAACATAAAATTATATAAAATATCACAAAATTTTTACTTCAAATAAATGCACAAAATTAAATTGATTTTAATATTTAGAAGACATAAATAATATTTAAAACACTGAATTTATGCATAATAAAACACATTATTTTTTACATAAAATGACAACAGAGTATTGGTTACCATAAATAAGTTGTCCAGCAATGGGTTTACTGTAAGTCGTATCGCTCCCCCCCCAAAAAAATCGCTAAAATATGTGCAACTATCTACCAAAGTAGCACCCATATTTTTTTATTCTAACCTCCATGCACGGTACACATGGGATTTGGCAACATTATGATGAGCAATCTTCAGTGGAGAAAACAACTGTTATTATAGCTATAATAGTAATGCTTTCCAGAATTATATATATATATAAGTCATATGTAATTGGCAAATTTTTGTGTTTTCAAGTGGTACCATAATTAATTTACCTCTCGACTTCAATTGGTACCATAATTAATTACAATACGCACTTTGCGGATAGACTGGAGCTTTCTCAAAACACACCACGAAAAGTCGGGGAATTTCATTTTCCTCTTTGTGGCAACCCTGCTATTTTCTAGTAATTTGATAACAATTAATTTGAACTTTCTATATGTATGTGCCTTATATGCCTATTTAAAGATGAATATATTCTTGAGTTGCAAATAATGTTGTGTTTTCAACCAATTTCTGACAATGTTCTTAACTAAAAACAGTACTTTTTTAACTCTTTACTGGTAGAAATGAAAGCAGTTGCTGTATATTTTAATAAAAATCAAACGCCATTACTATATTAATGGGAAAAATGTAACAGAAGAGTAGCAAAGTAAATTACTTCAAAGGAATTTAAATTTTAATGTTTTTCTTGATGTAGGTTAGTTTTGTTTGTTAGAAAATTAAGCTTCATCAGCTCTGAAGCAAGTAGTTCTGATAGACTTGGTTTTGAAAAGTTTAAAGGAAATCCTATAAAGAAAATTTTGATGCCAAATTGAGAAGGAGAAACCTAAGCCAATTATGCTGTCATATTTTTTATGAAATTTTTAAGTGCTTTTTTTAGCATAATTTTCTCATTCAGTTTTATTTCATATAAATCGTTTAGAGAACTGTAATTTGTTCCTACTTGGATTTTCGCCAGCATAAAATCTTGCAGAATTACTAAATGAAATGAAAGCAGAAAAAATAACATAGAATTGTAAAAATTTAGTCATAGGTACTGTTCTGTTATCAGGACCAGATTCAGAAATGTATAGGCATATGCATACATGTATACACACATTCGTGCTTATGTATACGTGCAGGCATGAGCACATACGTCCATACATTTCTGCCTCCAGTCTTGATAACAGAACAGTACCAAATCGTGTTACAATCAAATTTAATAACTTGAAATTGTAATTTGGAAAGTGACTTTTCTCTGTCATGGTTCTCAATTCGAGTTTGAACAATCCTTTTATAAAGTTGTTGTACAAAAAAAAAAAAATTCTTGATTATTGTTGTTTTAAGCTTGGCAGGTATTAAGAATTCTTTCTAATAAATTAATGTATTTGTTTACTTTTTTAATATTGTTTTACGAGTATTGATTAAAATTTCATTGATTTTTTTTTAAAGTACAACCCAAGCATGGATTACAATCACTGGGGAAAGTCGGCACTGGGCGCCGTATGCCTCCTCCTGCTAATTTACCAAGTTTAAAAAGTGAAAACAGTGGTAATAATCCAAATATAAGCCTAGTTCCAAGTGGAGGTCAAGGATGGGGCAGTACCACCAAAGAAAAAGGGAAAACAGAAGAGACCAATGGAAATCAGCAGCAATCACCGCAATCGCAGCCAGCCTCTTCACTATCACAAACTACACAGAAAGTAAGTTTTTCACCCTTCCCTCCTTTTTTGTGTATGCAAACGCTAGGGTGAAGTGTATACATATTTTAAAGACATGCAAGTATACATAAACGTACTCTGCTATATCACAGTTCAAATAACTGCATTAAAGTTGTGAATAAGTGGGAAGAATGAACATTCAGTAATAATTCCACATAGAATCCAAGTTTTTTTTTTTTTTTTTTTTGAGTGTAGGGGAAAAGAAAGAATAATTTATATTACACAATTAGTCATTTGGCAAGTCAACTGTTAAATTTTTCCAAGACAAACCCTCTCTACTACTCAACTTGATGGGATGGCATCTGACCCAAGATGTCAAAAGACAACAAATAGAATGTCATCTCGCAGGAAATAAAAATACTACCTACGAGCCAAAAAACCAAGGTGTGGTCGGCAAATCAAACATAGTATTAAGTTATATAGTGTTACATTTTGATATTGTGGACAGTTGTGTTTTGTGCAATAGAAATAAAATAACTTGGTAAAACATTTAATAACTTTTACATTTTGATTCTCTGCTCTAATTTGTCCAGAATCTACGAGTGATTCTGTTGATTCGCTGATAGCAGTTAAAAGCACACATGCACACACACATTTAAAAAAAAAAAAGGAAGGGGGCTATTTTACTTCTATTGGAATATCAGAATGGCACTGCAAAGAAAACTAAGGTTTATGGAGTCAAAACTGGTTTACACATCTTACTTTTACTTTTTTTTCTCTCCTTTTTTTATTGCTTTTCAGCTTACTTCTAGTATCGAGCTAAACTGGTGATCTGTCGTAACTATCCATGAAATTATACATTTGTTGATTGGAATTACATATGAGCAGTATGGACTTATTGGTTAATTTCTTGGCTTTCAGTAGAGGTCACTGGTTCTAATAAATCATAAGAAGCAGACAAGTCTTTTTACCTGTAGAAAATATGATATAGCCTATATTTTTTAATTCCACTTGGTATTCAACACTATCTACTGTGACTCAAAAGAGTATTTCCTGGTAGCAGTGCAAGAAAAATAGCAGAAATAACACATATTGCTAGAAAGGATATAAGGTATATGAATTAGCAGCTGCCAGATGTGAAATCTACAAATTGACTATAAGTACAACTTATCCCGATATAGGATGCTATATACCAGTGGGAGCCAAACTTCATTATGATAAGAGCCGCATAGTAAATTTTGTGAAACCTTGAGAACCACAGCTGGATTTTCTTGGAGTCACAAATTCATATTTATATTATTTAGCAAACAAACATTTCAAGTAATTTTATGAGAATTTCACATTTTTGTGTAATTAATATGGTTTCATAAAAATGCGGAACTCTTGCTTTGTGATCAGAAACGTATATCCCAACAAATTAAAACTTGAAACTACTCTATGCTACATCTAAACGTTATTCTTTCTAGAAAAAGCAAAAATTATTTGGGGGTTTATTTTATACCTCTTTGTTCGTAGTTGTTGTAAAACTGAACTAAAGTCTTAAGAACATGTATTAATTTTTAGAAATACATATTGGAAAAGATTTTTCATTTGAGCAGGGTTCGTACAGTCCTTAAAGCTGCATTCAGATGGTGGATGTCATAGAGGTGATATTCAGATGATAAAATGTCATAGAGGCTTAGTCATGCGGGAAATCCGTTCACGCCTGCAAGACAAGGTATAAGCATTAGCAGGGGTGTTTGTGCTCCGGGGATTTTGAACTTTGTTACCTGGAAATTCCGGAGATCGTCGTTCAAAAGGAAATAGGAATAATAATAAATTATTTATTTTGATCTGGGAAACTTTGTTTGCTTTGAAAGCAGAAAACTCAAGGTCAGTGTGTGTGGTGAAAACTTTTCCTTTCTTTCTCCAAAGGCAGTGATAATGCGTGAAAAGGAAAAAACTTCTTTTTTGTTCTTTCCTTATTGCGAGTTATGACTCATTCCCCCTTCTCGGATCAAGCGTCAGTACATCAGTACATTGCATTCAGGTGCCCACGCATGGTGCGCTACCCTAGATTATTATTCTAGACGATTTTTGAGCACGTAAAGTTCCTAAGTTGGAGCAGGTACGAATAAATGCATGAAGTGGATGTGAAGTTCATGGTGATAATCCAATGTGATCTTAAGAGACTGAGCCACCGCAGTAGCTAACACGCCCCATCGGGCGAGGGCAAGTGCGGAGTAGAAAAAGAAATGCCAGTTGCAACCGAGTCCAAAAAAGTCCAGTGTAACACACATAGATATTGATATACATACGGAGACAACACACAAATATACAAGCAATGGTAGGAATTTGAGTAAATCAATGCAGAAATGAAAAATTAATATATATATTATACATGGGTGACAATTTGTGAGGTTACATAACAACAATTGCAAACCAAGAGACATTACATATAATAGGAAAACATATCAATAAGTTAATTGAGATGTCTGAGCACAGCCCGAGGCCTTTTTTTGAAGGCCTGGCTATTGTAATTGTAATCCAGTACAGGAATAGTAGGGTTACAGACTTTAGGAATTTTTTTGTAGAATCTGAGAGACAGAGTGGCCATATATTCTTTCAGATATGGAATATTAAATTCACGGTGGATTGCCGCGTTTCTAATAAACCACGGACAACCCGCCGCTTGCCTTAGCACAATATTTTGCAGAACTTGTAGTTTTTGTACATGAGTATCATAAGTATACCCCCAGACAGGGCAGGCATAGGTGATGATGGAACGTAACATGGCTTTATAAATGAGTAATTTGTTGTCAATAGAAAGAACGCCGTTCCGGGCAATTAAGAGGGCAAGTGTAGCTTTACGAACTCTCTTCTGGATTCTTTTCGGCAAGTAGGCGGGGCAGAAAAAAAAGGGAGAGACTTCGTTCGACCAGATGTGCGATCACGTGACTCTGGATTCAAAGGTCTTATATCTCCTGGCGTGGCGTCAAAAAGTAGAGAAGGGGGATTTTTCGCGGTATTAGCTATTTGTCATTGATCGCTTCTCAACTTTTTTTCTCCGCTGTGTAAAATTTTCGTTTCATTTATTGATGCACGTGTAAATTTTTCGTTTCGTTTATTGAAATATTTTTTTATTTATGTATGCAAGAGAATTTCACTATGAAATTTCTCGATATAAATAGTGATATTATACAATTAGAAGAAGGTGTCCGAATGCATTTAAGTGGAATTGGATTGAACGGAGAGATGGTAATGGGGATACCATCGGCACATGGTGCAAGAAAATAAATGTTGCTGGACAAGCATATTGTGTTTTTGTAACTCACTGCTGAAGTATGGTGGGGAATGATTCAAGGCTTTCACAAATCATTCTAAAACTGTGACGCACATAAAATATTCTAAGTGCATTAGCCATTCAATGACTTTAAGTAATTATGCTAATTCAAAAAATACTGCTGACTTACTGGAGACTAATGCTCAGCCATTGGATATAGTGACAAGAAAAGCACGCCAAGAGGTATTAATAACTTCGTTTATCGCCGAGAATTCTCTTTCTTTCAATGTAGCTCCCAATTTAATTGAACTCTGCAAACAGTTGAGCCGCGATCAGATGGCACTAAACTCGTTGGAAATGTCCAGGACTACTGCATGTTATAAGATGAAATATGGGCTCGCAAAAACTATTAAGGAAAATATCAGTAAAACTTTAAAGGAGACTCTATTTTCTCTAAATTTGGATGAAAGTACTAGCAGTGCTCAAGAAAGTATACTGGCAATATTGGTGCAGTTTTATGACAACAATCAAAATGAAGTTGTAGTTCATCATTTTGCATCTCTAAAGATGGAATCTTGCAATTCACAAGCTGTTTTTAAAGCAGTTGTTAATACTGTTGAAGATAATAATATTCCATGGTTAAACTTAATTAGTGTATTAATGGACTCATGTAGCACCATGCGTGGAAAAAAAAAAGGGTGTTGAAACCAGACTACGTTCAAACAAAGCACCCCACTTATTAGATATTGATGGTGACACATGTTACACAGCTAATAACTGTGCAAAAAAATTTGCAGATACTTAGAAGATTTGTTTGATGACATCTATTTTGATATGAAAAGCTGCAGTAAAAGAGAAAATTTTTTCAAAATCTGTGAATCCCTTGCCATAAAAAAACTTGAGCCCTTGAAGAGACCAGACCATAGGTGGGTGTACAATTTTATGTGTTTTAGAAAGAATCAAAGATCTGTGGGATGCTCTTATTGCATTTTATTTTCACTACTTGGATAAAACTGATAAAGGGGATTATTTTTCTTATGTGTAAACTGTATACAATAAAAGAAATATTTCTGCAGCTCAGAAAAAAATTGTTGAAGGGGTATATTCTTGCTTGCATTCCCAACAACTCACAAAGGATGCTTTAGCTCGGGAAAAAAAGAATACTAAATGGGTTATTTGTTACTTTATTGCATATGGCATTATATTCAGCAGTATTACCAGAGTTCAACACATATATTAAATTATTTGAAACAAAAAACAAAAAAAAAAAAAAAAAAAAAAAAAAAAAAACAATGCTTCATTTAATACATTCCAGTCCAGTATTTATAAATTGATGGCAAAATTTTTCTCTTTTTTTTATGAAGCCAGAAATATAGAGTGCACATCTTATAATGATTTATTAAAGGTTGATGTCACAAATCCAGAATTCCATCTACCTAGCAAAGTAATATTTACTGGTGCAGAAGCTTCCACTCTCCTGAAGAAATTATCAAAAAATCATCCAATAGCAAAAGAATTCCAAATTTCTCTGATGAAAGCTTATACTAATACAGCACAGCATATGAAACAGAAATTACCCCTTAAAAATTCATATCTAATTATAGTTTTACAGCATTAGATCCAGAGCTGAGAGGTAAAACCAGTCCAATATTAGCTTTTGAAAAATTATCATCTTTTATGTCCCATATTTTTAGTGATAATGAAAAGTCAAAAGTAGAAGCTGAAATATCCTGCAATTATGAAGTTCACCACAAAAGAAAGACAAGCCCACAAACATCAGAAAATTAAAAAAAGCAGCAGAAATTAGATAATTTTTTTTAAAGAATTAATTCAAGTAATTTAAAATATTTACATAAAATGTAGTAGTTTATATGTTGTAAAATTTATGGTTATTAATTTTACAAAAAAAGTAATTCGTTGAACTTTTATAATTAGGTCATTCAATACTTCATAATTGTAATTTTTCATTTCTCTCCCTCCCCTTCTCGAAACTCCAAAAATGTCGGTTGTAAGTCCGTAAAAGTTTCAGGGGATTTTTTGGAGTCCCACAAACACCCCTGCATTAGCCAATTAGAGAAGATATATTTATGCATGCACGATTGTGTCTACAGCTTTCCTGCTCTTTGCAACCTAGCAGACATGATCTAAGATTAAGAAGATAAAAAAATATAAATTCATTAAAGAATTGTAGTGCAGGCACCAGAATCGGGACAACCGGTTCAGCTGCACTGGATTGCAAGATAAGGAGGATAAAAATGTTAGAAGCATCGGTTGCTGTAGAACCGATGCTGTAGAACACAACACTGGCTGTAACTTAATGTAATATTTTTGGAGGGCTAACAAGGAAAAAGTTTATCAAGTAAATATACGAGGAAAAATCATGAGCTAAAGTGATTTCTGTATCTTGATAGAGGCTGTCTATTAGGAAAAAGAAATTTGTGTCCGGTTGGCCACTCATTACTTGATGCAGCATTATTGAAGCTATTTAATGATAAAGGTGAACGCTTTCTATTGCCAGTAATGGCAATTGACAAAATACAAATTAAAAATTTGACTATAATTGAAATCGATAAAGTGAAGTCCATTGTGTTTGTGATCCTCAAAATTTCATCATACTCGACCACTGGTTACATAAATGATGAATTTTGCCTAAGATTATCAAAGCATTATTGCGAAAGTTGTGAAATGGAAAAAATATGTTCAAAGAGTGTAATTGCAGCATTTTAGTGCGGGTGATTGCAAAAAATATGAAGAAAATTGCATAAAACTGAACTAACATGCTTAAGGTTGGGAAATTAAAGCTCACTGAAAAAAGGACTGAATTTAAAATCTACAGTTTTCAAAATTTTCCCAAAATTAAAAGAGGTCCCATATGGACAATGATTTCCCGTCAAGAAAGAGGTTCTTTCGGTTAGCTCAAAAACTTGAGTAAAACTAGTATCCTAGGAGAAATAGAAAATCTTTCAAGGCAGTAGATAATGATTGTCGTAAAGCAAGGTAAGCTGGAAGTAGAAGCAAGGCACACAGAAAGAACGTAAGCTGGAACTGTCTGAAATAAAATTAACCGTAGGAAAAAAAAAAAAAAAAAATTGAGAGCATTAATTTTAAATTCCCCTCGTATAAATGTATTATGTGTTACCACAGTAGCCATTATCTGCTCTAAAACTAACATGAGTGTGAAAGCAATTAGCAGAAATAAAATTTGTTGCAATTCTAATTATTATTCTGACGATAAATTTGCGGTAAATCTTGAAATCAATTGTTACATATATATATAGCAAATAAGTAATTAATAAAAAAAAGAGCATCATTGCATTATTTATATTTCAAAATGAAATTGTATTTTGAAAATTAAGCTTCTGTTTATTGAGAGCAAGTCTCATTTAAAGTTCCAAAAAGCCGTAAGTTTGCGACCCGCATTTAAAGTGTCAAGAGAGCAGCAGTTTGGCCATGCCTACTATATACAGTCGATGAAAGTGAAAATCAGAAAATATCAGTACAGCACTGCCTTCCACCATCTAAATTTATGTTGAATGAAATTCATGACCATCGATTGCATGACAAGATGCTAATATTTTTGGCGCCACCAAATCGGCAGCCTCATGCCTCATCTATATTTTGCAATTAGTCAGGTAAAATCCATTTCATATTCACATATTTTTATACTTGCATTTATTTTTGGATGTGAGACGGTGTAATATTTTTTATGAATGTGTATATACTAACTAGTTAGATTTGTTGATAAGAAGTGTTTATTGAATTAAAAAAAACCAAATCCTTTACTATAGAAATATATGAATGTTGGTAAAAAGGTGTGTGCCGATACTTCGTTTTGGGCAAATTCTTCTATTTTAAGGCGGCATTCAGACGTTGTCGTAAAGGGCATAGAGGCGTAGTCATAAGGGCACAAAATATGGGAATTCTGTTCACACTTGTGAGAATGGGGTACAAGCTGTGGCCAATGGGAGAAGCTAAAATTGCGCATGCGTGAATGTGTCTACAACTTTCCCCGCGCTATTCTCCTGCTCAATTGACTTCCCGCGTTTGCTCTGCTTGTTTTGTGACAGCGAAATCTTCTGTAGAACGCCGTTTCGTTTTAGCTTCGCTCTGATTGGTCGATGCTTATACCAAACTCGGCATAAAGTTGAAAACTTTGAACCCTATGCCACGAGCACTAAACCAGATTTTGTGATATAAGACAGACTGGTTGCCTTGGCAGTGGAGATCGGCTTTAACCACTTATGCCCTTTACGCCCTCATCTAAATGAAGCTTTAAGGTAAAAGTTGCTTTTAAGTGTCTGTGTTATGCCATCAATGACTGGACAGCTGCAGTTAAGTGCTGTATCATGTTCTGTTAACCCTTTTGGGATGAAGGCACAAACGTGCATGTATTGCTCGGTTATCCATGAAATTGCAAAAAGGTGAATATTTTGGATAATGTTCTGTGGAGTATATATGTTGTGTAAAATTTATACTCTAGTTTAATTGCATACTTTGTGCGATTCATTTTTTGTTTTTATATTGCACTTAATTTATTTTTTTAGTATTTACTTCCCTTTTGGTGATTTTTGACATTATATAATTGGCAGTAAACATTTTAAATTTATTTTTAGTGTCATAAATTTCAAAATGAACTACACACAGTCTTATGTTACAATCCTTGCAGTCATAATAGCTCATTTGCATTTTTGAAGGGCTTTTGTGTGAGTGTAGCAGTAGAAAATTTTCGGTCATTCTTATTGTTCTCATTGCAGTACTATAAGTATTTGTCCAAAGTCTTAACTAGTAATATTTCTAAGAATTATTTATATTCTAATATTTGTAAAAATAAATGTTACATATAAAACTTGCATAACAGTGTGAAAAAGCATATTATGTTAGTATTATTATCAGTTTTTGTATATAGTTTGTTTTGTCATATCCATATGACATGTCTAAAAATTGATTCTTTAAATTTTAGACAAGTACAACAAGCACAGTTGCAACATCTGGAGTAAACAAAACATGGAGCAGTGTCACATCAAACCAAGAGGATGGTGGTCAAGAACGGAACTTCTTGGGCCAGCAGTCGCCATTTTTTCCTCAGGAATTCCCCAAGTTAGCTGGTGGAGATGCACCAACCGAAGGCAACCAGAAATCAAATGTAGATACTCAGTATGGACCAGGACCAAGTCTAAGACCACAAAGTATGTTCCTTCGTATCTGTAACTATGCTTAAAATAATTTGCATGATTAGATTATCTTAAGTGGATCCAATATGAATCATGAGAAATTATGTGCAGTGTAATGGTAGGCTTTTCATGTAAAATAAATGTAGGAAGCAACTTGCTAAAATTTGTTTTATTCTGTGAATTTTTTGTAAGATCATTTTAAGTTTTACGAAATTAATTATGTAGACCAGCAATTCTTAGCCGGTAGTATGCAAGAGTAAAATGGGTGGTATGCAAAGAAACAAAGTATTTTTAACTATTAAATTCCAAAATTAAATAACCCAACATCCTGCTTAAGTTTTTCCCAACACTCTTAAATTTATTCCATCCGAGCTTTGTTCAAGGTCAGTAGCCACTAAATATTTTAGCCATAGCCATAAAATTTTTTTCATAAAAATGATGTTTTAAGAGGAGTAATAAAAATGGATTTTGTATTCAATAGGAAATACAAAGGAGTTCCTATAAAAGGATAATAGTATCTCATTAATTCTTTTAGAGTTGATTGATTTGGTTGCATGACTGCACTTTATGCCACCACTATTTCCAGGCTCATATTTTCAATTAGAATCATTTTTTACGTCGATTTGCTGTCTGTAATGGGAGGTAATTTGTCATTGCTTTGTATTCCTTAATTTTCTACATGATTTGAGAATATCGATGTTTGTTTTTGCTAATCTTTGAAATATGGTAACAGGTAGTTTGGTGAAATTTTGGTAAGGCAATAAAGGTTACTAGCTAGGACTTTAGCAGTGTACATGGATAAAGTCAAGATTGTGCGCAATGCCATTTTTGTGCAATTCTAGGACATTTTTTTAAGTGAAAATAGGTCAAGGTGTACATGGATACCGTGTTTGAGCAATTCTTAAAAAGGCGGCAAGCAGTGGGCGATTCTGCACTTTCTCCCAATTTCGCACCTAATCTTTGTCAGGATTAAGCACTTTTGTTCCATAAAAGTTCTAGCATGAGTGTAATTCGGCTAGCAGATTGTTGGGGGGGGGGCGGACTTCGTAAAAACAAAATCGCGTCCCAAAAACAAAAAAACAAAAAAAAAAAAAAAAAAAAAAAAAAAAAACCCAGCAGGTTGCTGTATCCAGGCACGAAACTTTCCCGCGTTTTTGAACGCCGCCCGGGCTGTTTCTGAGATCGATGCAGAACCGTTGAGAAATCGCGACAGGCAAATGTAGGAGGGGGTTAAGCGGAGGAGACTCTCTCTCTCTTCCTTTATTCTTTGTAAAAAAACTTTACATGATGCCAGAGATCGCGAAATACGTTGTTTCACGTCAAGGTGAAGTAGGTGGGGCTTATGTGGAAAGGCGGAAATAGATGCGTACGAATATCGAATCAAAGAAGAACAAGCAAGCGTCAAACAAGAGCTGACTTCAATAATTTCAGCGATGGGTGCTGGCGCCATCTGTCGGACATACGGATAACCACATGCATTCTCCAGTACACAAAACTCCATGTAAAAATTTAAGGAATGCTCATAAACTGTACAAAGAAGAGCTAGAGATTAAAAAGGAGGAGCGAGAATCTAAAAAAAAAAAAAAAAAAAAAAGCTATTAAACGTTGCAGAAGTAAAGAAGAAAATAAAAAAAAGTATCAATGGATTGTATGAAAGCTGTTGAAAAGAAATTGAGACTAGCTCGCAAATTGAAATAAAAGTTGGCTGCAAAAGTAGCCAAAAAGAAAAAGCTTTTTCCCTAAGAATTTTTAATTAGGATCGAGTGAGACAGACAAAATAGTTATTTTTTATATTCCTCTTATAACTATATGTTATTTTGTAACTATATTATCTCATATGACTACTTTTTCTGGTGTTATAGAAAGAACTGTTTATTGAACTAAAAGTGAAGATAATTGAAAGCTATAGTAACAGTTATGTATATTTACATACCTGCCAACTTTTACGAAAATGCGTTTGTCTTTACGATTTTACGATCGTAATCCATTTTTTACGATTTTTTTCCTTTTTCAAGTGTTTTTAGTGATTTTTCTCGAAATTTTAGAATTTTTCGCCAATCCCAATTTTCGCATTGCATCGTTTTACCGCCAACTACCGACTACTTCGAATCCAGTAACCTGCGGTTTCTCCCAACTCGCCGCTTAACCAGCCAATACAATGCGCTGAACTTGTTTCTCCCACACTTTTCTTTGTGGGCGCCAGATTATTTTTTTTCGTGTTCGCTTCAACAGCAAGGGAATTACTCAGCTCAGACTGAGCGAGCGTGGATTGTCGTATTCTTTTTTTTTTTTTTTTTTTTCCCCTTCTTTCTTGCTTGCACGTGCTACGAATTTTCTTAATACGTCGTTGTTACAAAATGAGTTCAAAAAATCCGTATTCTCAATAGTTTCGGCCTGCCTACAAAGCCGAATTTCCAACAATTAAAGAATCCTTTCAAAGGAAATAACTGCAACGTTTTGCAACGTGTGTGACTTTCATAATAAGTCACGGTGGAAGAAGCGACCATTGTGAAGCATGTTAAGACTAAAAATCGATGAACGTCTAATGCTTCGGCTTTGACAACGTCAAAGAAAGTGGATGATTTTTTGTCAAATTCGGCTACGAATTCGGATGCCGATGTCATTTTGGCAGAGTGTTTGTTTACTGCATTCCTCATCGAACACAACATGCCGCTAAGAGCTGCCGATCATGCCGTTCAACTTATCAGATGGATGTTTCATCTTTTGACAAATTGAAAATTCATCTTTTGAAAAGATTCGTTTTTTTATTCATAAATTTCCACTTTTGTTAACAATTAAAGAAAATGAATGCCATAATGATGCTTTAGATTACATTTAGATGAATTACAGAACCAATTTTCTGCTGCACAGTTTGAAGACTTTGCCAGTTCTGGAGAAGATAGACTTGGATGTCCTCGTTGGTGCCTTAAAAAGAATAAAAAGAGTTCATGGAACACCAAAATATGATAGACTAGCAAGAGTTTTTATGTGCTATTCTCGTAATTCCACACAGTAATGCTGAGTGCGAGAGAGTCTTCAGTGTTGTAAAGAAAAACAAAACTATGTTTCGTTCTTCAATTTCACCAAAAACTCAAGAAAACATTTTAATTGCTAAATGTTATGAGGAAACTGATTGTATGACAGGAATTTTCCAAAGAATTTTTGGCCAAAGCCAAAAAATGCACTCTAAATTCATTGCAATTATTTTTTTGTGTAACATTAAGTTCTTGTTTTTATGTTTCCTAATAAATTTTTTAGTTACTACTTAACTGAGATTTACTAATGTAATTATAATTTTCTTTTTTCTATTTGTATAAATTGTTATTTTTCAATATCAAAGCATGATATTAATTCTTCGTGTTCTTCTGAATTTTGGAGAAACCTTCTGAATTTTTATCTTTAGAGGTTGGCAGGTATGATATTTATCTCTAAAACTTGTCATTGTCTGAAAATGAGCAGTAATATATAACATAAATATGTATATTGGTGTGTTGTAATGTTGTGTACAGTATTCATGTATCAGCTGTTAAAATAAGTTACGTAAAGAGCATCTTAAAGAAGGTTAATTCATTACAATCTCTTTGTGATTTACTGATTTTTTTTTGAAAGTGGATGATAAAATTGATAGCAAAATAGTAAGTACAAGTATTATTTTAGTTTAATTATATGTTTAATACTTTTATGTTAAAAAGTTGATATTTTATTAAAATGTGGTTTTTTTTGAGTCGCGCGTTCGCATTTAGTTTTTGTGTCCGTGCGTTCTTCAGCTTTTTTTGCCAACTTGCACTTTCATGCCTATGTAACAGGGTTGGTCGCCAAAAAATCGCAAAGTTACCGTAATCCGAAGATTAAACCTCTTATTATACTGTGCATGTTTTTGTGAAAACATAATAAAACAGACCTAAATTTTAAAAATGGAAAAATAGGCAAAATTGACTAAGTGGAAAAGTGATGATTAACAGGTGATGGATCCAAGACAATCTGCTAGCATTAAAAATATTGAAAAGAAAAGAAAAACATTGTGTATTTTTCTCTGTATTTGAATTGCAGAATTGTTTATTTAGTGAATTATGGTTGGCATTTAGCATATTTAGAGGATATTTTTGGGAAGTTAAATGAATTAAAAATTTAAGATTATGAGGAAAAAATGTTAATTAGTTTATCATTAGAAATAAAACGGAAGCTAATAATCAAAGAAATGGTAGTAATATTTTAAGTTTACTACTTTTAGAAAGTTTCTAACCGAAAATAATTTGAAAATGAAAGAATTAGCATCCAACTTAAAAATCATTATTTTTCATTAATAAATAATTTCAACATTTATTTTCCAGAGGATTATGAAAAAGAACAATTAATAGAAATTTCCCGTGATTGAACTCTAAAAATGTCAAACGTAACACACTTGTTAACTTTTGGCTGAACCGGAGAAAAAAAGCCATTTCAAATAAATCTATTAAATTTTTATTGCCTTTTTTCAGAACCTATTTGTGTGAACAAAAATTTTCTTTCTTGTTGTATTTGAAAAATAAATACAAAACAAAATTAACTTAACCAGGATTCCTGGTTTGCGGTTAAAACTAAAAGAAATAAGACCAGACATAAAGAAATTGATGTCTCTTAAACAGGCAGAAATTTCATACAAATTTTTGATAATTAAAATGGTAACAAATTTTTAAACATTTTTTTATGTATGAATATCTAATACAAATAGTCAATAGGTTGTGCAAATGACAAAATATATTTTTAATATTTCTATTGCAAAATTGAAAAATAATTGGTGTAAATTGTAGTGGTGGTTCTAAAGTTTTCAGTTTTTGTTAAAGTCATACATGTTAGTCAAAAGGTTGAGAACCGCTGATTTAGATTATATGTTTGTCTAATAGTTAAAAATGTATCCTAAAGTTAAAAAGCATTATAGCATACAATGAAGCTTGAAATAACCTTTTGTATTTTGTATAATTTTAAATTAACTCTCAACTGCTACTTTTCTTTATTTGCATCTTTTATTATTTCAAAAAAAATTTTTTTTTTGCTTAGTATCATATTCCTAAAATTAAAAATTTTAAATTTATGATCTAGGTAGAAACTAATTTTCAAAAAATGCAATTTAATATTTCTTTAATAGCCGAAGGAAGCTGGGGTCGAGGCACATTGCAGCAGCAGCCTCCTGCTGGATCGGCAGGCGGCCAGCAACAGAGCAGTGGCAGTGGCGTGAACGGCTCGCAAGCGACCTCAGAAACCCAACCATTATCTTCTCAGACACATATGCGAGATCAGCGACAGTATTCCACATCTCGAGGTGGCCCTATAACAAGTGGCAACATTGGAAGCGTCACTTCAGGGTCAACGCCTTCTGGACCACCAATGGGACCAGTACCTCCACTTGGACACGGTCCTGGCATGGGTGGGCAGATGGGACCTGGGTCCGCCCTCCACCCACCTCCACAGTTCAGAGGAATGATGCCTTCATTCGTAAGCTTTATTTTTTGTATTTGATTAAAATTTAAACCAATGTCAGCATTGCTGTACTTTTATAATACTTTTATAATAATTTAAATGAGTGTTCACGTGTTGAAGATCTTTCTGTTAAAAGTAATTTTTGTTTAATTTGAAAGTAATTTCATGCTGTATTTTAAGCAGTTTGTGCAAAATTTGGCACTTCAAAAACATGTAAAAAATTTGCATATTTTTTAGATGTTTGGAAGAAATACATATTCCTCTGGGTATCCATCTAACTACACTAATGTTCCTCCACCACCTCAGCAGAATGCCCGGCCACCTTACCCATATTCAGAGAATAGGTAATTATCTGTTATATATATTCTATAGTTCTATAGTCTGAATATCTTATAAATTCTGAATATGTATTATTAAATTGGTATGTATATACTTAGTAGGCGACCACAACCAGTTCGTCCTCTTGCAGAAGAAGAAGCCTATCAGCGTCCTGCAGCTATAATTACTGAAAAAGCTTTAAAAGGTTTTGATGAGATTCTACAGAATGATACTCAAGATACTTGGGCTACATCACATGGAGAAATTGATTACAAGTAAGTATTTCATTGATTATAAACTCTTTGAAATTACTTGTTTTTTTAGCATTCTGGTAATTTGTAGCTGGACAGAGGTTTATTCTGGCAAGGTACTAGAATTTTGTATGTATCACCAAAGAGAGAATTGTAGAAAGATTATTTATTATAATGGACCATTAGAGAAAGGGGGGAAATAATTCTGTGTTAAGCGCCCATTGCATTAACACTTATACAGCATATAAACAGATCTGGAGAAACAGTTGCAGATCTCCATTAAAAGGATCCAGAACTCGGGCAAAGGAGGTTTTTTTGTTTCAGAAACAGATGACTGTGCACACCTTAGTTCAAAAGTGAAGCTTTTAGGGGTCATGTTTAAACAGAAGTTGACCTCTCCTTCATATAGTTATACAGGGTGTAACATAAATGTTTCTATAAACTTCTAGGGGAGGTAGGGCACATTCTAAGAATTGAATAGGAACCTATACCCAGAAATGTCAGGGGTAAGTAGTAGCAGAGGTAGAAGATAAGAAAGGAAACAAGTGTAAACATTTATTGGACATGAATAAAAATGGTGTTTCGACAGTTTGAAGTTTGCACCATCAAACACAAAACGTGCCTGCCTGACACCGACGGACATTGATTGCCGAACATATTCAAACACACCGGGGTTTTCATCGATTGTAGCAGGCAAGTTTTGCGTCGAGATCCATTTCAGACGGAATGGGATTGTAATGCACGGCACTTTTGATGGCTTCCCACAAAAAGAAATCAAACTGGTCCACCATGCCCAATCCATCGATGTGGGAATGATTGGATCAAATGGCTGCAAACATCGTCCAAAATGAATCCACTTCTTAATGATTCGTAGTCGAACAAATTTTGCTGCAGACGTGCAAACAAACTGGTATGGCTGATATCTGTCGGAGAAGCATTCTCAATAAATGCATTCACTACCGTCAGCTATTCCATACATTAAGTGCATGTCTGTAAGCTCTCTGTTCGTATAGTGTTCCATGCTCTTGGTATGGTGCCTACTACTCAGATGAGGCAGTCCTCACTTTCCACTAGCACTCTTCTGTAGAGCACACCCTGGTGGGATATAGTGACGTTTCTGGGCATGGGTTCCTGTGCAATTCTTATGTGCCCTACCTCCCCTAGCAGTTTGTTGCAACATTTATGGTACACCCTCTATATTCTTTATATTCCTATACCTGAGGAGGAAACACTGAATCTTGTTTTTAGAGAACTTGTCCACTCTAAAGTGGACTGTGCGTAATCATTTATGAATCTGCATGGGCATTAAATTTGTTGAAACTGGATCTTGTTTATCAGTAGGCTCTGCGGATTAATTCTGGGCCCTTAAAAATGTCTCCTACCCTGTATTTATATGTTGATTCCTGCGAACTATTACTCCGATTGAGACTTAAGCAGTTGTATTTTATCATTATTCAAGTATTATCACAGCCTGACCATTCTTGCAAACTGTCCTCTGTTACTTGTAATCTGTTTGAAGGAAGCCTGTATAATATATTTCCTAAGACAATAAATCATATTGAATGTTGCATGCTGGTATACCTAGACAGTAAATCCTTTTTAAGATCTGTGCTTGGGAGTATACACAAATCCAGTTTCTTAGTGTTTTCTAACATCATGCCAAAAGAAACAGTAACAAGACGTTTATGAATTAATTTTCTTGAACATAAATATAGTAGTTGCATTCCTCTGTATATAGATGACTCTAAAGCCACTGGTCATGTGAATACAGCATTTGCAATGATGAGTACGTGGATGGCAGATGTTTTACATGGTGCTTGTTCAATTGCCATATATTATATACTTCATGTGCTTCATATTTAAGGGAGTAAAAAGTTATTACTTATACTGATTTATTTAGTGTAGCTGTAGAAACATTTTCTGATATGCACAATCTGTGCATTTTTAAGACCTAAGATTAAAATTAAACTTAAGGGACTATGGGTATCATATTCTTTGCTGCTGGATCCCCAGACTTGTAGGGATTATAAGAAATTAGCAAACTGCTGTTAAAATGTGTAGTCAGCCTTTTCTTTTTAGAGATATTAACATTGTCATCAAGCAGATGTTGACTGAATGGCAGCGACTTAATGACTGTCAAGTGAATAACTGAGAAGCATAAAATCAAAAATAGAATATGGGAGTCTAATAGAAACTGGAAGTTCTTTTAACTTATTTAGAATTGGTCACTTTCATGTTGCTCATAATTAAATCCTAAAAATCAAATCAAGAATGAGCCTTTATGCTCAGATTGTCATGTTGGTACTTCACGTTTAAAGAGTTCCGTACTTTAATTCTTCATTAAAAGTATTTCAACAGTTGTAACGTTCTAATCAGCCCAGATTGTCATGTTGATCTATCGGTGCTACACATTTTAACAGAGTTCCATATCATAAGTCTTCGTCAAATGTATTTTAACTTAGACTGTCTAATCGAAAAAGAGGTCAATTTTAATATATATTTTTAATTGAAGGAGACTGAATTTTACTATTTCATTTTGTTTTTAAATATATTGTTTTAATGCTGTATATTTTTAATAATTAATGTTCTCATTCATATCAGCATCACAACTGTTAATATAAATACTTTACATTTTTTATTTCATTGATTTTGCAAGTGGAATAATTGAAACAAGTTGGTTGGTGCATTTTGGCCTTTTTTAGGCTCTGAGGCAAAAATAAGTTGTACAAGGTAATTACTTTGCTGTCAACTTCCCTGATAAAACTGGAAGACTCGTAGTTTTTCATAACATCTGTCTCTCTTTTGTTTAATTTTTAGCCATTAAATAAGTGCTTTTAAGCAGTATATGAAATTATTCAATTATGCAAATTCCATTCATCCATTCCAAATGATTTTTAGTATCATTTTTCATATTAAATTTTAATTTCATCTGAATAGTATTTTCTTATTAAATTGCATTTGATCTAAATCTAGTTCTACTTTATACATTTGTAGATTTTTATATGAAGATTCAAGGACTGTTTGATGAGTTAATAATTGTATTTAATTTTATTTTGCTTCAGTATACAGTATATTGTTAAGCTTATCCACAAAAAATACTATGTACATTAATTATTAATTTTATTTTCATTGTATTTAAAAGCACTTAATAAATAAAATTAAATTTTTCCTTCACTACTTGGTATTTTCTCAATAAAAGTGTAAGGAAATTAAAAAATGAAATTCGCGCAAAAACATAAAATTTAGAATATCCAATTAAATGCTAGATGATAATTAGTTCAATAACGTGAACCATGCATTTTAAAGTGAATTACAGTCAGTCTAAAGTTTCCTTAAAATGGTATCGCTCCACTGCATGAAAAACCTTCCTGTTTTTAGAATTTAAAGGTTGGCAGCTATAGTCCTAAATCTAAAATAAGTAATATTAATTAGTCTTAAATTTATGAGATGAAACTGACAGTACTTTTTTAGATTAACTCTTTCGCATCCAGAGAGGGCAAAATCTCAATTCCCGAATCGAAAACGCCCGTATCTAAGAATTTCTCTTGGAATGCTTTTCCTTCCCCCATGACAAGTTGAATACTACAGCGCTAACAATAGCCTTACTTAAGTAAAGGGAGAACTTCTTTTGTCGACGCTTTGACACTGTGTGAAGTTTCCCCTTGGGAGGATTGCAACTTCGGGCATCAAAAGCTAAACATTGACAGTAAACAAAGGGAAATTGAAGGAACAAAGGAAACAAGGAAGCTACTTTGAGTAGCTTCAAAAGAATGATTGACATGTGATTTAACAACACCTGAAAGCAATGAGTAATGCAGTAACGCAATGAGGGAAAGCACTGGGTAGGAAATTATTTAGGCATTTCGGGTGTCCAGCCAATGTCTGAATGTTTGGGCGTTTTGGGGCGACTTCCATGCGAAAGAGTTAGTAGCTGGAATTTCATTTGCCTTTTCTTTTAAATGTTCCACTTTTTTGCATTTCAGATTTTATGTTTGTTCATAATGCTTAAAAGGAAATTTTGAATTAACAATGCTATGTGATGATTCATAGGTTACTGATTTTCTGTGATGACCAGAACCTCACCACCCACTTATCTGATAGCATTCTTAATTGCTTTACTGAAAAAATAAAATTTAATCCATAAATTGTAAGTTAACACATCCACTGCCATATACAGAGGCTTGTTCTTGTATTTTTTAGACGATTTTCATTGTAATAATGCCTAATTCTTTTATATTTTAAAATTTTAAACTTTATATTTGATATCCATTATTCTTCACAATCTTTATATACCATGGCTTTGAAGACAATAAAAAAAAGCCTTTCTTAATTTTGGAAGAGGTACTTTATTCCAATTGCCCTCGAAGCTTTACAAAGTGAAATCATTGTTGATAGTTCAAGAGAATTAATTAGTAGGGATATGAATGAAGGCTACGGCCTAAACCCGGTTCTATAAAATATGTTTTTGATAATATATGGAGTTGTTGTTCTTAATATTTTTCTCTACTGTCTTTGCTTTTTAATTTCCCATAATACGAAAAACCAGCAACAATCATAATTCGGTTTGTACGGTCTTTAAAAGTCCTTAGATTTTTGGAATCTATTTTTGGTCCTTAAAAAAGTCCTTAATTTTGGCCAAAATCAACAGAAGGTCCTTAATTTTTGTCTGTTTTTACGACTGTCATTTTGAGTGCGAGTTAGCATTTTGAGGAGTATTTTCGGCGATTCACTGCCGTATATATGGTAATCTTTTGAAGGGTTCATGAGTTATAATTTGTTTCTATTTCTAATATAAATGATTGGATACTGGAGTTTTATTTTTTCGAATAAAGAGCTCTTAAACAACTTTTTGCTTTTGGGGATGTGAATTCTTTTATTAAACGGTTCTAAATTTGGTGATTTTAAGATCAGTTTATATAGAAACTTTTTAATTCCAAGACCTGAGAATTTTTCCACTATTTTTTTTAAAACATCATAACATTGATAAATTACAGTAAAATAATGGTAATATATTGAAATTATATTTAAAAATAACATTAAGATAAAACATTTTTATTTTTCACTGTCATATTATGAAGTTTTATTTGTTTTTATTTCTAATATAAATGATGGGATACTCGAGTTTCTAAGCAAGAAGTGAAACAAGCATATCGAAATTCATTTTTTCGAATAAAGAGCTCTTAAACAAGTTTTCGCTTTTGGGGATGTGAATTCTTTTATTAAACAGTTCTAAATTTGGCGACTTTTCACATTTTGGCGATTTTAGGATTAGTTTCTATAGAAACTTTTTAATTCCAAAAGCTGAGAATTTTTCAACGATTTTTTTTAAAACATCGTAACATTGATAAATTTTATTAAAATAATGGTAATATATTGAAATTATATTTAAAAAATAACATTAAAATAAAGCATTTTTATTTTTCGCTGTCATATTATAAAGTTTTATTTTGGCAACTTGTACAATATTTTAAATCTGAAAAATAAACAAGGTATAATGTTATAAAGCACAATTTACGAAACAGCTCTTAGCAAAAGCAAAATTAGCTATGAATGAAATAAAAACGTCTTGTTTTTAATTTTTTCATAGTAAGAGTTTTTCCCATGTTAATTGTCTCAGAATATTCAAAATTCTCAGAATGTGCATCAGTTTTCTGTATAAAATTAATTTTATACTTTTTCCCTCCTACTTTTTTCCGAAATATTTCTGGCTTTTTTCTGTTACAGAAATGGTGGGGATAATTTTTCTTTAGGATTTTAGACATTGCAGCTTGCAAAGTTTAAAAAAAAGGATTTAAAGGCAAGATTTATAGACCCACGATTCTAGAAGATTCGAGAAATATGTGACAAAATGAAAAACGTCTCCATGATTTGAACACGTAGTGGATGTATTTTAGAGAAAGTTTACAATGAATTTCTTAATTTTGGGAGAACACCTGGAAGTACAATGAAAACATAATATTTGAATGTATTACTTTATCAAAAGTAATAATAATTCTAGTATCAAAAGTAATAAGGGAAGATCTTCTCTTTATTTTCTCTACTTTTCACAAGACAGAAGCATGGAAAATATCAAAAATGCTTCTGATCTTATCACATGGGCAGGCATTATGTAGAAAGGGAATTTTTCGGTATAATAAAGAAATTGAAAACTTACAATTTAAAAGATTCATCTAATATTTCTTAATGCATCATATGCATAGCTGGCACTAGGCATTTTCCCACGTGATGCAGTCTCTGTGGATCCTAAGTTCTGCTGCCTATTGCCTTTCTAAATTCTGCTTCCAATGCTTGCTCTAAATTCTAAAAGTTTTGCCATTTCTAGATTTTGTTGTTCGGTGTGTCAGTAAATTCTAGAAATTGTGCCACATCAGCTCTGTAACCGTCCTTTACTATATATATTTCATATTGCTTCCGAATGTTCATATTACTAAAGAAATAAAATTAGTCGTTTTTTGTGTACATTCTAAATGCATTTAGTGTTTTTAAGAATAATGGAAATCCTTAATTAAATCCAAAAATTCTAAAATGGAAAGTAAACGTGTTGAAGAAAGAAACTGAGTACATAAAGGAAATTATTCTTCAAAGATATGTGCAGCTATTATGATGTAAATAACCCAATTGTTTATGATTTCAACCTTTACTATAATTTTCCATTTCCATTTGCTCATATGATAATTATTGAGCCAGATTAAATTACAATTAAATTGTATAATCTTTGACCACGAGTCCACATTATTATTTGACTGTTCTTGTTTAATTATGTCACCGTGAGCTGTAATTGATTTTGTTAGCATCAGAACATGCCTTTATGTTCCAAGTTCTTTTTAAATAAGAGGCTTATTTAAACTTTTGTCTGATATTGTAGTTAATTTCAGACGTAGCGATAATATGCTTCAGTCTGTCGGGGGTTTTGGACTATTTAACTTTTACCAGATCAATTAAACCCTCATAGGTACATTATGGAGAGGTTGACAAGTTACGAGATGAAGTATGCAGAAACTAGTGTGAGAGCATTGGTTTCCATATTGAGACAAATCTCTAATTGTTAGAAAAGATGCTTAAAAAAGAAGGAAATCGATATAAACTTTCAAATATGACCAACTATCATAAGTGTAAAATATTTAATGTTACTTGATAAATTGCATGGTTTATTTTATTCTCAAACTTATTAACAATTATGTTAATTAATTCATGTTTAGTAAAAATGCGTACTACTTAGGGATCTATTTTATTTTTAGGATCGTATTACAAAAGTGAGATTCAGGCATAGATAATATCTTCAATTTCCATTTGCTCATAGGTCCTTAATTTTTTTCATTAATGGTCCTTAAAAGTCCTTAATTTCCGTGTGCAGAAAAGTGTACGAACCCTGTAAATCCCTTAGGAAAAATTTGAGATTCCTTTAACTATGTTTTAACATTTTTTTTCCTCTTTGATAATAATAAATGGACCTTTTTTATTGTAGTCAAGTACATCCAAGATTCGTCTATTGTAGCAACATTTTTTTCATTTTTGTCTTTATAAATGACTTCACAAAGAACTGCATTGTGTTCTGCATTCTGTGATATGTGAGGAGAAAGACGATGCATATTGATACCTTTCAGCATCAGTCACTTAACAGTTGACATTGAGTTTTTTAATGAGTTTGTGCTTGTTTTCTTTTGACTTAGCGAATTTTCTTGTAATATTAAATATCTTATGTTTCCAACATTCCATTTTTTACCCTTGGGTATATATTTGGAACATTTTTTTCCACTTGTCCACTTGAATGTTTTTTCCCTTTCTTGTTGACAGTATTATCTATCATAGCTGTAGATAGATAGAGAGAGATTTTCATAGGTTTTATTTTAAATAACTAAATAGGAATAATTTTCTTTGGCAAGAACACAAAGTCTTCCATCCATTGCTTCTGTGAAAGTGACATTTTGAATGAAGACAAAACTGTTAAGTAGAAACAATTTATATTTTTAAAAATATAGTTGCAATTAAAAAAATTTTTTTTCAGCAAAGCAAAATTGTGTAAAGTGTCTGTATATTCATTTTCTATATGGCTGCTTTATTTTTTGAGGATAATAATCTTACTGATTCGGTATGTTTCATTTTATATTTTTCTGGATTTTCAAGTTTTTTTTTTTTTTTTTCGTTTCCTCCCTAGTGCAAAATTAGTTTTTAGTGATGATGAAGAGTCTCCTGTCAACCAGAAAAAAGAGAAAAGGTATTAACATACTTTGATTTTATTTTTAGAGTTCTTAAAAGTACCTTTAGAAACATAATTCATCTGAATGTATTTTTTTTAGTAATACTTTCTTTCACAGCAGAGAAACAGATGAAAAATCTACAAAAGCTACCAGTAATGTAAAAAGTGACAAAGATAGGGACAGAAAACCAGAGAGAGAACGTAGCCTTTCAGACCGTGAACGGGAAAGCAGACCTCCTCGTGAATCTGATTGGTCGAGAGAGAGTAGATCTGATAAAAAGAATGAGCAAGAAAATGACTGGAGTGTAGAACGAGGGGATGGATTTGATCGTGACAGAGTAAGCTAAATTTCTTAATAATCATCAAAGATTTATTGATGAAGAATTTTTCCGTTTATAGTTTTAAGTCAAAAAGTATTTCGATGTAGTGATTTTGGATGGATCAATTAGTTTAAAAAAATGAAGATTTGTTTGCAGTTTTTAAACAAATATAACTACGTATAGAACTGAACAACTTCTTCCTTCTGCATTATATGTTTTCATTTTGTAAAGACATTTTTTGAAATAATGAATACTTTCTGTGTTCAGTCTGGTTGTAAATTATGAAATTGTGGGATCTTATAAAATGAAATTTTGATGTCTGCTATTAAATTTCTGTATTTTAGCTACTGTAACTATACAACTTGTTTTTTCAGTCTTAATACTAATTACAATAATAATATTTTTAAGTAAATTTTTATTCAATAAATTTAATGATGCCTTTAAGATAATTGAAATGTATTTTAATGTGATTTTTCTAAAAGGGAAAACTACTCATTAATTTTTAATATCATAAACCAAGCTTTAAGTTTTTTTAAAAAATCAGTATCTTCTCTTGGTTGTTTTAGATTGCATGATGAGAAGAGTAAAACTTTATCAGGCTGTGTCTACATATGTAAGAAATAATAATCCTACATTTGTAAATTAAGACCTACTTATAAGAATAGCCATCATTTATATTGTATTCAAAATTATTAAATTTCTGCATTACATTTATCACCTTAAATACTTCAGTACTTATGAAATTAGTACTGCAGTTTAAAAGTAGTACAAATATTAATTGTATTTATTAAGAGTGTGCATTTTTTTATACTTGCATTAATCTCTTTTAAAACTTGAAACCAATTCAAAACTTTTAAATTGTCTGCAAATGCATACCTGTGGGTGCACTTATAGAAAGATTTTAAAATTGCATTGATTACTGAAAAGCAGCTATGATATGAGATGAAAATAAAATGTTGAATGTAGAAAATTGTCATTAAAATCCCTTTTATCCAAAAACTTAAATGCTGCAAGAGTAAAATATTGCCTGAAAAGCCATAAAAAATTGTTGTGAACCAATCAAAATCTGTCTTGTGGTGACAAGACAAAAGTGGTAGTGCATTAAAAGATTTCTCAAAGTGTGATAAATTAGGCAATAAATATGATTGTAATAACTAAAATGATATATTGCATATTCCCGGGTTTTTTTACTTATGGTTAAAATTTTAGGTAGTGATAAAAAATAACCAAGAGGAGAAATTTTATTTGCGTAATGTATTATGTTTTAATAATGTAAAGCTCCTATTATCTCCATTGTTCAGATGGTTTTAGTTTCCAAGAAAAATGCTTGTTAGAAATTCAGAAAGGTTAGAAGTATTCAATTTGAATTTTTGGAAAATGCATTTCCCTTACTCGTATGTGAAAAATCATTGGTTTTTGCCTTATATGGGTTTATAAGAGTACCCACCCCATATCTCAATTAGGACGAAAGGTGGAAATCTTGGACTCAACCTCCTCAGGGTAGGTCTCCTTCCATTGGTGGTATGGAAATGCAGCGACAGTGGCAACCTTCTCAACAGCCTCCCCAGAGGCCTTTCGACTACAGGGGTCCACCACCACAGCCTCCAGGGTCGGCCTATGCCTCACCTCATACGAGGATAGCAGCTGGTCCAGTACCCCTAATGCAAGTAAGGACATGGTCCTTAACATTGCCTGCATTTTATGTACTTGAAAAGCAAATCACAAAGAATAATCATAATGTTTAAAATAACATGCATGCAGTGTTAATGCCACTGTCTACAGCTGATAAACAGCACTTAAAGAGCACTTTTCTGGTACCAAAAAACTGCTTTATAATGATCTGATATTAGTGTAATATTTTGTGTGAAAGGTGCTTGCTATTGCATCATGCATATTTTTTCTTTGATATTTTAAAATTTCTTTAATTTTACATTATTTTCCTCTAACATCTAAATTAAACAGCTTCTATCTTGTAAATGAGACCCCATCATTGACTGGTTGCTTCCTTGGAACTTTTGCATCTTAGAATCAGTTCCTGTTGGTGTAACTTATTGGCAATTAAGACTTTTCTTGATTTTTCTTATTTATGTATGATGTTCCGTAGAAAAGTCCCATATAAAGTTTTCTTTCTTTTGATATTAAATTAATTAATCAAGCTATTTGGACAGTCACACTGGCTTCACTCATGGTATAGATAGTATTTGCCATTAATTGATTTTCAAAAAAAGTTAGGTAAAAGATCAGTCTTGTTTTGTTACATATTTTAATTTTTGTGCATTTCTGTTACACTGTAGAATGTTATTTTTATTTAGGATTGATTTCTTCAAAGCATCACTAAAGGATGTAATTTCTTTATAGTTTGAAGATTTGTTTATTTTACTCTGAAGGACTTTTCACCTTATTAAAGTTTTTGTACTGCTTATAGACATCAGTCTTTTCGAATACTCTTTAACATTGAGGTTAGAGAGCCATTTGGTTGTACATGGTTGCTTATATCTATCTACCTGGTACATTCCCCATCATTAAGTTAAATGATGTGCTAGTCATTCTTTTGAAGCGATTGAAAGTAACTCTTATTTCAATGCACCTTCCCTAACTTTTGTTTTAGCATCTTGCAATCCATGTCCAAAGGGAAACTGCACAAAGTTCCACAAGAGAGAAGTAATCTCTTCGCTTACGTAGGTTATTGTTAATGCTGTGGCATTGGAGAAGGAAATCCATTCCAACAAAAATTTGTATTTATGAGTGTTTTAGAGGAACAGATTGTGGCTTCTACCGATGTAAAAGAGTTAAAACATCTTTACCCATTAGCAAAGGCTGTAGTGTGATCCATAATTAAAATAATCTAATCCCTTCAAGTTCATTAGGGACAGCTGACCCATGTAAATTGCTTTCTGTATGGATATTTGTAATCAAGATCATTTATGCTCAGATATAAAAATTTACATTATATCATTTTGAATTGAAATATGCAGTGCAGTTTTTAGGATTCGGATATCAACATTTTGCTGAATCGGTGGAAGTTTGTAGTATAAAGTATTGAATTACTCTTTATCTTTTTTGATGTATTTGGAAGGGAAAAAATAGGCAGCTCAGTCAGTGTACTTAGAGCAGTAATGGCTGAATTAAAAAAATATTTTTATAGCAAAATTGCTTAAATTCAAAGCCCCCCTCTTTTTTGCACATACAATTAAAAAGCTAATTTTGATTCTTAGTTTGAGTATAGACTTTTTGTTTTGTTAATAAAGTTACTTTTAAAAGTCTTGAAATAATTCTTTTGTCTTATAGCATGGTAGCTATCCTCCACCTAGGCCCGCTCGCCCTGGTCCACGTTCATCTTCTGTTGCTGATGATGATGAACTGTGGAGACAACGAAGAAAACAACATACTGAAGAAATGACCATAACTGTGGAAAGGGCAAGACAGCGAAGAGCTGAAGAAGAGAAGCACTATGAACAAAGTAAACAGAGTGCTCAGGAAAAAGCTAAAAGCTTTGAAAAAAGCGACAAGGTATAGCTTTTTTATCTTTTGCAAAAATCAGCTAGTTACCTAAAAAGAATTATTAATGCCTACAAAAAATGCATTTTCATCAATTTAAATTTCAATATGCACAAATTATGAATTACATAAAAATCTAGTACATGCCATTTATTTTTATGATCATAAATAGGTGTAATGTCAGTTGTTTAATATGTAAACACATTCCCATTCCATCAATTTCTGGAAGGAATTGTGTCATACTCCAAAGCATTTGGAGGCAGTGAGATTAATCTTTTTCATAAAAAAAATTTTTAATCAAAATGTTATTTTGAGGTGTATTAAAATTTATCTCTTTTTATATAAATCCGTGCGATAAAGTTGTGATAAAGATAAAAAAAAAGGTAAAGCATTGCTATTAATACTAGAATGTAACCTATTAAAATTATTTCTGTGTTTTGAAATAGAAAACTTGAATACATCAGATGCACAGTATGTGCTGCACAAGTGTACAAAATTTATGCAACTTATCTGATTTTTGCCTTAATTCTGCAAAAAATCAACTGAAAGACATAAATCAGGGTTCGTATGGTCCTTGGAGTCCTTAGATTTTTTGGAATCGGTTTTTGGTCCTTAATTTTGGCTAAAATCAGCAGAAGGTCCTTAATTTTAATCATCTGAAATTTCTGTTTTTAGGACTGCCATTTTGAGTGTAAATTAGCATTTTGGAGGAAAAGTTTTGGCGATTCACTGACGTGTATATGGTTATCTTTTGAATGGGTTTATGAGTTATAATTTGTTTCTATTTCTAATATGCTATATGGGATACTCGAGTTTCTAAGCAAGAAGTGAAACATAGTATTTTGAAATTCCTTTTTTCTAACAAAGAGCTCTTAACAACTTTTTGCATTTGGGGATGTGAATTTTTTTTATTAAACAGTTCTAAATTTGGCTGCTTTTCAACATTTTGGAGATTTTAAGATCAGTTTCTATAGAAACTTTTTAATTCCGAGATCTGAGAATTTTTCGCTGATTTTTTTTAAAAACACCGTAACATTGATAAAATGCATGGTATTGGTAATATATTGAAATTATTATATTGTAGCTGCAGCTATGAAAGTAGTGGAAGAACTTTCATAAGAAGACAAAAATAAGTTTTCATGTTAGAAGTTACTTCTGTCGAGTATGTGATTATATACTACATAAATTTCCAGTCAACGATGAAGTGATTTTGCATGCTAAAGTTGCTGATGTTTCTGCTGTAGCAAATGCATCTTTTTCTGATGTAAGGTACTTTTTGAACAGTTTTATGATATTGATGTTGCCACTGATTTATTGCAGTCTCAATTTTGCGGTTTACAATTAGAAAACTTGGATGAAGTTTAAAATCAGTTAGGATTGATACCCTGTGGAGTTTAATTGGAAAACTGAAAGGTGCAGAAGGAATTTAAAATATAGTGAACTGTCTAGAAGTATGTTGGCCATCTTGACAGTTTCCCATAGTTATGCAGAGTGCAAGACGATTTTCAGTGTTGTGAAAACAAGAACTAAATTTAGATCTAATATTTATTAGTGATGACACGTTAGAAAAACTTTTATTCACGAAAGCAGGCCTACGTGGCAATTGCTATGAACAAAATTATGAAGTTTCTTAATGAAAGCAAAATCTGCCATTGTTCATAACATTTGTACGAAAACTGATTAAAGTGTCTTTTTTAGTGTCTTTTTTGTTTGTTTTCTTAAACAATGCAAGTAATAAAAATGTTTTTTATGTGTAAGGTATTTTGTGTTGCTTGCATTTAAGAATTAGTAGCTATTTAAGTTAATTCATTGTTAAAAACTAATATATTTTTATCATTTGAAGTCTTTTTAACATTGTGAAAAGTCTCCTGATTTTTGAGTGTCATAGATTGGCAAGTATGTTAATATAAATAATTTGCTATGTCATCAATTTTTTTCTATAGCATCTATTACTTTTATATTAAAAAAATAAGCTGTAATAACTGTGTATATGTTTACATATTTACAGTGGATGAACAAAAATATGGAAACACCTTGTGAAATGCATGTTTGAAAAGAAAGATTGATTTTAATGAAATATGTAGGTGGTGCTGGTATTTTTGATTACTGACACCACCTATACAACTTTGTAAATGTGCTAAACAGTTCAGTTGTTGTCAGAGTACTGTTATGTGAGGTTGTCATTGCATTATGTCAGAGTTAACAGACTTTGAACGTGGGCAAATTATTGGAGCACGTATGGTAGGTGCTTCCGTAAGCAAGGTAGCCGAGGTGTTTAGTGTTTCAAGAGGTACTGTATCGAAGATTTATTCAGCATATTTGAAAAGCGGAAAAACATCATCTGCTAAATCACAGCGCGGACGAAAGTGTGTCCTGAGTGATCGTGACAGACGATCATTAAGGGCAATTGTGACGAAAAATAAGAAGACCACAGCTGCAAAAGTTACTGCTGAAATGAATGTTGTGTTACCGAACCCTGTGAGTACCAAAACAATTAGAAGGGAGCTTCATAAACAGGGAATTGCTGGCCGTGATGCAATTGAGAAGCCACTCATCAGTGACGCTAATGCCCGTAAACAGGAAAAGGTGGTGGTTTAAGAAGTCATGAAGCCTGGACTATAGAGCAGTGGAAGCGAGTAATATGGTCTGACGAGTCTTCTTTCACATTGTTTCCCACTTCTGGCCGAGTTTACATCTGGAGAACGCCATCTCAAGCCTATAATACAGACTGCTTGTTGCCAAGAGCGAAACATGGCGGGGGTTCTGTTATGGTTTGGGCAGCCATATCGTGGTTCTTTGCTAGCCCCATAACTGTGTCAGGGCACATGACTGCCAAGACTTATGTGAACATTTTGGCCGATAAATGTTCATCCCATGGTACAAACTTTGTTCCCCGATGGTGATGGTGTCTTCCAAGACAACAAAGCCCCTGTTCACACAGCTCACATTGTCCGGGACTGGTTTTCTGAGCACGAGGATGAGTTGTCCCATCTCCCCTGGCCACCACAGTTACCAGATCTGAATATTATCGAACCTTTGTAGTCTACATTGGAACGGAAAGTGCGTTCTCGTTATCCACCGCCAACATCGTTATCTGAACTTGCCACCGTTTTGCAGGAAGAATGGTATAATATTCCCTTGGCAAACATACAGGACAGTTTTGCAGGAAGAATGGTATAATATTCCCTTGGCAAACATACAGGAACTGTATTTATCCATTCCGAGAAGACTGCAAGCTGTTTTGGATGCCAACAGGTTTCCTACACCATATTAAGCAAAGAAACATGTTTTGTTTTTTGAAAGGTGTTTCCATATTTTTGTCCAACCCGTGTATATATGGAGTTCGTGTCTTTAAAATTCCAGGAGTTAGAGTTGGAGTCATTATGTTTGAAATAATTTTCTGTATATGATTATGTAATTGCTTGCAGTGCATTACTGCATAAATCTAACATTAATAAAGAAAGTGCCTTTCTTAATTTTTGAAAATGATTGAACAGCTGTATTTATTGAATGTATTTTTTTATATTCAGGAAAAAGAAAGTGTAGATACTGATGAACCAGACAGATCAAGACATAGCAGTGAAAGTAGGGAAGACAAACCACCTAGCCGTGATGGCAGAGAGAGAGAACGTGATAGAGATAGATCTCAACCCAATTATCAAGTATGTATTAGTCATGTATGGCATATTAAGCATTTACTTTTTATGGAATATCATGGAAGTGTTTTATATGAGCAAAAATTTTAATGTAAAAATATGCCCAATTCCTAATAAATATATTATCATTGGTATAAAAGGTTTTATAAGAGACATCAGAGAGCATGCCATATGTTCAGTAGAAAAGTAGTACAGATGCTATTTTTTGCTTTATTTGCATGTCATGGAGTCCAAAGATGCTTAAATGATGCTTTTGATGTACCTTGATTATTTCTGTGGTGAGGGGAAAAATGTGATTGGTTTTTGTTAAAACATCAGATGCTAATATTATTTGTTGTTTTGGGCTTTTCTATCAGGAATGTGGAGTGTATTTGTTGTTGTTACTGTTCATGAGCTATGATACTCCATTCCATATCCTTCCTTCAATGATTATTATATATTTTAAACAAATGGGTATTAGATCTGTGCAGTTTATGGTACTCCTTAATTAAATTACCGCCTTGAGAAGGAAGAGACACTTGTCTGTTCTAGAGTCCCACCAGTAGCCAGGTCGGAAATTTTGTAACTTGGTGAAAAACCTTTGTTTATTGTCGTGTCAATAGGTGTTCTCTTTCTAGGTAATAATAATGAGTATTTTATACGAAAAATATTTTGAACCATTTTCCAATGCTTGTTTGCCAATTTTTGAGACTGCACTTTCATAAAATTCAGTCTTAAAAATGGCCCACCAACTGTTATGCGGTTAAGTGGCTATCACTGGTAGTTCAGCCCAAGGTGCACATCCTGGTGAACGTGCAGGCTGCATGGACATTTTTGTGATTGTCCTCGTATGTAACGTGCAAATGAGTCAGTTTCCCTAAGAAAATCCTCCACAAAGGTACCCTTCCTCTTCCGGTAGCCTTTGAATGCTTTGCCATATAATCAAAACAAACCAAAGCATATGGGAAATGTTTGAAGTGAAACATCGTAACTGCATAGGCAGAAAAACATATTTCTGATGAAATTTAAGCCTTATCAGTTTCTAAATTTCACAATATCATTACACGGTGTGTTCTGACCTGCCTCCAAAAATATGTGCTGAGGTAAAACTGATTATTGATATGATGATAAAATAATAGCATATCATTAGTTTGATTGTATGTATTATTAGAAATATGGCATTTTTATAGAAAGTACCCAAATCAGTTGCTAAGTTTTAGTGCTAAGTGCTAGTTAGTGTTCAAGTCATTTTAAATATAGCTATTAAAGCTAAGTTTTTTTAGTGGAGGGCTAATAAATTATGGTAATGCAGTAGTAGTATTCATAATTTCATCACTTTTTAAATCTTTTTATTCATGTTTATGTGTGAAAAAATTACTAAATATTTTATATATATATAACAATTTTCCTCTAGGGATACAATTTTTCACGACAGTTTCAAAAAAATGTTCCACCACGTTTTCAGAAGCAGGCTGCAGAATACATGAGGCAGCAGCAAACACAGCAGCCAATTCCTTTGGTCTCACCTCAAAGTGGACAAGCCCATTTTATGCGTTCTCAGTCTGTTGGGCAGTCATCTGGTTCCAGCTCAGGCTCTTTATCTGTATCTGCTGGTAATAGTGGCCATGGTGCTCCACCGCCTGCTCCCGTGTCTATGGGTGTGAATTATGATGCTGGATGGGGATCTCATCCTTCATATGTTAATCAAGTTTCAGGTAGGAAATTTAATTTGATCACTAATGCTTTTTTCATCATCTGAATTGTTCCCCCCCCCTCAATTATTTTCAAGTGCTTCTTCTAATGTAATTTTGTTCTTACTTTCAAATTTACTGGAATGTTAAAAAGATGATTTTCCTGAACTGACTGTTTCCTGCCCCCCTTCTCCCCAGAAAAACCAGTATGATTGAGAGGGACAACAGAATAAATAAAAGAGCACTTGGTGGGCATTTGTCATTTTTTGAAAGTCTTGCTTTATTGAAGTCAGAAATGAATCTTAAATCACAGGAATTTACAAAAAGTTTCAGACTTCTATTGCTGCAGATTTTAGTTGAAGGAATCTTAATAATTAAGTTCAGAAGTTGATTAAAATTAGCTTCACATTCTGTCAGATTAATTTTCTGCATAAAGTATTACGTTGGGTGAAAAAGAGGGCAGTGTAGTAGATTATGTATTTTTCTAAACTTTTCCTTATTTTTAGAGTAATGCTTCAATCACAGGATTGCTAGTTCTGAATTTTTTTCCCATTTTTAAAGCATTAGTACTCAAATTATTGTTAAGTGGACCATTTTCCATTCCTCATTTATCTTGGGTATTTTTTGCATATGAGGTTGTTGTTTGTTATATGTAACGAAAAAGAGAATGTCAAACGCAATGTATCATAGTGCCTTGAAGGACAATTAGAAGTGTTCATGTATCCCAACAAAATGTACCATGTGTAATCGCCATATGCCACTCAACATCAGATATCGAATCGGACTGCTGCCTGACCGCCTCCACATGTGTGTGCATTGGTCGTCAGAAAAGAGACAATCAGAATTCATCGCTGAAGGTCACATGCCTCTAGCTTGCCCCAGTTCAGAATAAATCCAGTTGAAATTGCCTATGGATGTGTAATTAGTGGCAGCACATACCACTGTCAGCTAGGCTTCTTCGAATGGATTTCCTAGATAACATTGGATGCCTGGAATGTGGTAAATGCCGTAGAATCGATGCTAGTGATGTTGCTGGTACGAAATCGCATGTTCCTCGCACTCATTTGTGTTCTTGGAACAACCTAACTCTCTACGCCGGTAGACTATTCTTCCCGTGATCCGGCAACACTGAGAGCAACTACAGTATTGCTCGGTGATGGTTGATACACCTGTTTGACCAACCTGCTTCTCCGATGCCTATTATATGCCCCTTCTTAAAGTCCCAACAACTGTTGGGACAACAACTGTTGCCGTCGATTAAGTCTCGAAGGCATCTCTAGTCACAATACCAAGTAGAAGAGTTATTTGAATAGGCCAACAGCACGACCAATCATGTTTTTAAACTCTCCCAGCTGCCCATCTCGTATGCACATAGCATGCTTGCCCTTGTCTCATTGGTGTCTAAATTTAAGTCATCTGCATTTCTCTTGCCAGACTACATTCTGGCAGAGTTTCGTAATTGTGGCTCGATTTCTTCTCTGTGCTCATATTTTTTTTTGTGACTGTGCATTTTCCTATATGAACATGGTTATTTTGTGTATGCTGGATTTGGTTTTAAATTTGTACAAGAAGTTTTATGTCACTATGCATAAAATGTGTTTTTAAAAGTAGTATATTATGTAGAAAGTGTGTATACCTTTTTATTTGTTTATTATTATGTAATATTTATTATTTCTGATATATAGTGTCTAGTTATAATTTGAAAAGTTTATTGAACATCTGTAAGCACTAATGAAAGAGGGGTAGATTGCTAAGTCATGCAGATTGATAAGTTATGCAAGAAGTGTGAAGACTTTTTATGTCAAAATTCTTAACAGTACTTATGGAAGTCAAAGAAGCCTACAGACTTAGAATATTTGGTACTTCTTGATTATTTGCACCACTACCAAAAATTCGCTTAAATGTGTTGATGGGGGCAGCACATGACGTTGCCTAAAATTATTTATGTGCCACTCTATGATATCAACAAGAATTATGTGATAATCGTGATGTGTGTCTAAGTGGATTTGCACTTTTGAAATTAAGTTGTCGTTCTTTTGATTTGTGTTTCTGTTTGCATTAAGTTCATTTGTTTTTCTTGTAATGAAGAACAATGATGGGATTGTGTAGTTTACTATCTGAAGAAGAAAGCATTATACATCGGCAGAAGTATGGCATTTTGTCCAGGAATGGAAAAATCAGTTCTGTGAAATTGTATTTCTGTGGGTATGAACAAATTTTATTGAAATGTAATGTGAAACATTGTAAGAATGAGAAAGTGGTTTGAAAATAGCCATATCTTATTCATAGCAGATGTTCCTTTGTATTTGGGCAGGAAAATATGCCAGTGACATTTTGTGAACAACTGAGATTATTCCCAACCACAGCTATATATTTGTATAATGAGCTCTAAAAAATGTGCATATCTTGTATCGGGGCGGGGGAGGTAGCAGTGGCGAGATTTTTGAATAAATGGGTAAGGATATCCAAGCAGATGTCTGTCTCGAAGTTTACAAAATAAAAATAAATAAAGACAATAAATTCGTTAATTCAAGAATTTAGCATGCTTTCATGATTCAACATCCTGATTCTCCGCTTCATATCACGTGACCCCAAGTTGTCTCATCTCACGTAAACTACGCTACAAAAATGTAATTCTCTCGATAATTATCTACATTAATTTCAAGTAAAATCTTAATTTGGAATAAAAGTTTAAATGCAAGAATTATTTCAATTCGTACTAATGGCTTACTCAGAAGTTACGTAAAACCGCAGTGCTTTATTTAGCTAGGGCATTCTCATTAGGATTTAATAATTTAACCCTTGACTTTGCCTTTTCTATATTTTCGCCTTCAGGCGAGCGTGTGATTGCATCGTAATCTTAGGGCTTAAAATTAAACTAATTGGTAAAAATTATACTTAGTTGTATGCCAGTATTGAAAGAAACAATCAATCTGATAAGAAATGGTTGCATTTCTTTTGAAAATGAGGAGTAAAAGGTTACCAGGGAGGATATTCCATTTGGCATCGGTAGTACCATTATTGGTACTTTATCGCCTGCCCTGGCAAAATGGAAAAGTACAAAATTTACTTAACAATAAATATTTAATCTTTGCCGAGAGTGGCAATAAAAATAGTTAATTAGAAAAAGTTATACTAACCCTAAGCGCTATGTACATTTTTGCAGCGAAGCATTTTAGAAGTCTTATTTTGGGTTGAGAGAGTTGCATTTGCTTGTGAATGTTTTTGGTTTTATTTATTTTAAAAATATGCATATTTTTCATGCAAATGAAATGTAAAATTCTGTAACTCGCCATGTTTTATCTTAAAAACAGTTCCCCATGTGCATTCAGAGTTTACTGGGGTGTGTGCCATAGTACTCATTATTTGACATCATTATCCTTCTCTTGCCTTTTTGAACACAATGCAGTCCCTTTTCCCACTTTTCCAAATTATGTGCAGTTTTCTGTTTAGTCTTGTCTTAGAAGCTGATATAGAAGCTCCTGATGCAACTGTATCCTGATGAAAAATTTCCTGCGAGCTGATTGAATAAAATTCTCCATTAGCCTTTGAGTCTGTGCTTATTTTAATTGTGTTGTACAGTTTTATAGATAAAGTATAAATTTATTGACATCTGCATTCTTCAGAAACTAAAAAGTCATAAAATAACTTGACCTTAGTGTGACTTGGCATATTTTAACTTGTAGGTAACAATTGCCAACACCTACAATTACATAGCATCTTAAAAGTGATCATATTACAAACATTTGGCTGTGCAGCAGAGCCACCAGAGTTGCAGAGCAAATAAATGCTGCCTTCATACTAGAACCAAGAGACTGCTAAGAGTTAACTGATAGTCATTTTTCTCCTTTTAGGTATGCCTCCTCCTGTTTCTAAAAGTGTTTCCAGGCAGCGATCTAATAGCCAGGAATCGGGAACTGACAGTTATGAAAGTGACAGTTGTGCTCCAGAATCAAGTGCAGTGTATGACAGAGAAGCAAGGGAAAACTATTGGAATCGTGATAGACGACAGAATGCGTCAGGTAGTTCTAGGTTTTAGTAATATGTTTAAAAGTATATTGGCAATTTAGAAGTTGAATTTTAATCTTTAATGATTAAAAATGTAGCAGTAACACTCAAAGGCACATAGTGTAAGTAATTTCGGATATATTGAGCAGTATGCCTTACAAAATTGCATTTCTTTTACTTCCGTTATCTTTGATGAATCATCACTGCTGCACATACCCAAGCCCTAATTCTAACAAGGTTCTTTGCAGGGGAGGAAATTATTACAGAAAATAATGCCAAATTGTCAGCCCACCTTGTGTAAGGATTCTTGAAATGTACCTTTTATTCTGTATCGGCTGGTGGTTCTTTCCCTCTCAACAGGTACTACTGGTCCTGCAGTTGAAATATATACGTAACGTATTTGGAAACTAAGTACTGTTTCATACCTGCCAACTTTTACGAATTTTTCGTAATTTTTACGAAAATGCGTTTGTCTTTAAGATTTTACGATCGTAATCCATTTTTTACGATTTTTTCCTTTTTCAAGGTGTTTTTTAATGATTTTTGGGTCGAAATTTTTAGAATTTTTCACCAATTCAGTGTCATCAAGCGATTTTTTGCCATTTGCCGTTTTTTACAACGCCAACTACCGACTACTTCGAATCCAGTAACCTGCGGTTTCTCCCAACTCGCCGCCTTAACCAGCCAATACAATGCGCTGAACTTGTTTCTCCCACACTTTTCTTTGTGGGCACCAGATTATTTTTTTTCGTGTTCGCTTCAGCAGCAAGGGAATTACTCAGCTCAGACTGAGCGAGCGTGGATTGTCGTATTCTGTTTTTTTTTCCCCCTTCTTTCTTGCTTGCTTGCACGTGCTACGAATTTTCTTAAGACGTCGTTGTTACAAAATGAGTTCAAAAAATCCGTATTCTCAATAGTGTCGGCCTGCCTACAAAGCCGAATTTCCAACAATTAAAGAATCCTTCAAAGGAAATAACTATGCATTTTTGCAACGTGTGCGCTTTCATAATAAGTCACGGTGGAAGAAGCGACATTGTGAAGCATGTTAATTAAAGAAAATGAATGCCATAATGATGCTTTAGATTACATTTAGATGAATTACAGAACCAATTTTCTGCTGCACAGTTTGAAGACTTTGCCAGTTCTGGAGAAGATAGACTTGATGTCCTCGTTGGTGCCTTAAAAAGAATAAAAAGAGTTCATGGAACACCAAAATGTGATAGACTAGCAAGTTTTTATGTGCTATTCTCGTAATTCCACACAGTAATGCTGAGTGCGAGAGAGTCTTCAGTGTTGTAAAGAAAATAACTAATGATAACAGTGTTGTAAAGAAAATAACTGATAACGCGATAACTGATGGAACGGTGAGAAAGTGGGTAAGAATGTTTAATGCAGGTCGAACAAATGTCCACGCCGAGGCTCGGAGTGGTCGGCCTTCTGTTGTCACCGATGATTTGGTAAGGAAAGTTGATGAAGCAATTCATGAGAACAGATGCTTCACAATGACAACTCTTTCAGAGGCATTTCCACAAATTTCACATACTGTTTTGTTCGAAATTGTGTCTGACCGCTTGAATTATCGCAAACTGTGTTCCCGATGGGTTTCAAAAATGCTCACTGATGTTCACAAAACAAAGCGACTTGGTAGTGCCCTGACATTTCTCACGCGGTACAGTGACGAGGGAGAAAACATTTTAAACCAAATTGTGACAGGTGATGAAACTTGGGTGTGTCATTTCACACCAGAATCGAAACAACATATATTTGCGCTGTTCTCTCCATGTACATATCAACCTGTTCCGCTTAAAATAAAGAGAGAATTGTGCACACATGGCATTGCACACTATCTTTCTACCAAATACATCCCATCATTATTTCCTTTAGCAATTTTGAGGTAAAATACTGCATTTATGCAGACAGATTACCTCAGTTACTGAAGAACTGTTATAACCACGGTTGTGTGAAAAATAATTATCTGCATGTTTGCCAGAAATGGACATATTTTGAAAATTTGGCAGTTTTGCTATGGTGGTTGCAATAATACATAAGTATTTAATCATTTAATAAAATAAAAACAATTGTTCTCTATTAATGCTTAAATTTCTTAGGACAAAATTATTTGGTAAGATTAATCTTTTAACAGTAAACCTCCATCCAGTTTAATTCCATAATATAAAAAAACATAAAAGATAAAATATTTAAAATAAATGGAATTAAAAAAATATTTTTTTAGATTTCTCAACTCACGTCGTTTACTCTGTCTCTCAACTTCAGCTTTTAACTTTTGGTACTTTTCTGTTCGATAAACCATGAGCCATGTCAATCCTAAAATAAATTAGGGCAAAAATTAAAAATGTAATGCAGTCAAATTAACCCCTTAACTGCCGCGGGCGTATATATACGCCTTGCTCAGCCGATGCATTAACTGCCCCATGCGTATATATATATACGTCCTTCCAAACTGCTATCATTTGCTTTGCGCTGCTATACCTAAAATTATTCACAAAGTTAACGCATCGGCTGTGCATCTGGGGCAGTTAACGCATCGGCTGAGCAAGGCATATATATACGCCCGCGGCAGTTAAGGGGTTAAGAAAGAGATATTTTGTAAATTACGAAAGAATGAACAAAGAAGAGTTATACACAACTTCCTAGAGGTGAAACCATTAATGCAGCACGATATTGTGAGACTTTAACAAAACTAAGGCGTGCCATTCAAAACAAACGAGGAGGAATGCTCAGTAAAGGAATTGTGTTGCTCCATGACAATGCTAGGCCCCATACTGCTGGTGTCACTCAATCGTTAATTCGACAGTTTCATTGGGAGCAGTTCGATCACCCGCCGTACAGCCCGGACTTGGCGCCGTCTGACTATCGCTTGTTCCTGCACATGAAGCGCGAGCTTGGTGGCAAGCGCTTTGGATCTGACAATGACACAAAAAATGCTGTGGAGTCGTGGTTATCGAAACTGGCGGGAAGTTTCTTTGACGATGGTATACAAAAACTGGTCACCCGCTATGACAAGTGTTTGATCATTGGCGGAAACAAATAGTTTAAGACATGTATTTTCATGTAAAAATAAAATTGGATTCGAAAAAATTGTTTTACTATTTTTTTTTTCAAAATGGTACTTAGTTTCCGAATATGCCTCGTACCTATACTGAACTTTAAACATTTATGAATAAAAAATTTTTCAGAGTCAATTTAATTATTTTGATTTTTCATTGTGAAATTTATTTGGATTAGAAATGCTAGTTCTAACAGCAGCTTTTTGTCTTTTCTGGTATGTTCATTCAATCCATCTGTGACCACCATTACATCTTTTTTTTTTTTTTTTTTTTTTTTTTTTATTTTTTTTCTGTGTATACCCTTGGACTATTTCACATTTTCAACCTTGTAGGGTGTGCCTACCACAGGTTGAGAATCGCTTACTAGAGACTTTGTGGAGCAAGATGCACAGTTTATAAAGTGTTTCTCCCACTTTCTTGGCCTGCCTTCGTGGTATGGTGGTCTGCACGCTGGGCATGTATTCCAGAGGTCTGTGGTTCGATTTCTGGCAAAGGCATTGTGTATTTTTCATCTTGCCTGCTTCCAAAAAATCCTAATGTCTCTACAAATGTAGGCACCAAAGCAAAGAAACCCTACCTTTGATGTAATGTAAAAATATTCTTTCAGCATTTGTATTGTTTAATTCAGGAAACACAGTAATTTCTGAATAAGGAAGATTTGGATCAAAATTTCAACCACACAATTCATTGGCCTTTATGTGTGCAGCATGGGCACTGTCACGGGGGATAAATGGGATGCTTAAATAAAAAACATTTAAGGTCTTTCATTCTGAGACAATTTCTGGGTTAAAAAAAATCAGTATGAGAGGCCTCCTTAGAGAGAAGGAAGCCCCTGCTCCATAAATTTTCCAGCTGTGACCAGTGGTATATTTTCTGAACTCCCCCCCCTTCCCCCGAAAAAAAAACTGAAGTCATGGGTGGAAAAGATTATTTATTTGGTGACTGGTCCGTATTTCTTTATGAATGTGGTTTTACTGGGTCTTAATTTATGAGCTATCCTTTAGTAAAGAAAATTACGATAAATTATTTTTGTTGTCAGTAGTAGATATACAGTGATTTGAAGGAAACCATAAGCCTAAAAAGAGAAGTACCTAAAGTTTGGGAGAGAGACAAAAGTTGTATGTGGATTTGCAGTTGCTATGATATTGACATCCTTAAACTCCTCATAATTCAGGTGTTCTGTGTATTTGCAGATTGAGTGCTAGTGTGCTTTTAATGCTATAAAGGAATAATAAAGTTGTCGTACTTCTTGTATAAAATTTGGGTTTTATGAAAATATTGTATATTTCATCTAGAAGTATATGAAAAACAAATAACATATTTATGTACTTTTGTATGAATAGTTTTAAAATGGAAGTAAGCAATATTTTTCTCTTATATCATTAAGTTAAGGATTATGTATATCAAATGAAGTATGCAAGGTACCGTTTTCTGACTTTCAAATTAAATCTCTCTTTTTTTTTAAAGCAGGTTATGAAAACTGGCATTCACCTAGTTCAAATGATGGATATTATGATCAGAAGCTAGAAGGTAATAAAATTTATGACCAGAGGCATGAATTTAAGAGAAGTGGATCTGATAAAGATGAAAAGCCTTTTGATACATATTCTAGAGAACCTGAATATAGGTATTTATTTTTACTCGTTCATAAAGTCTACATCCATTTAAAAAAAAAAAAAATGTTACGTACATTAAAAGCTATCCCAGGTTCTTATTTAAAGATTAAATTCAAATTTACTGTGAATAGCTTACTGTACAGTGAAATGCCATTGTTCTATTTATATGCATTTGATCATACATCATTATTTAGATACAATAGAAATTATATTGTTTTATTTGTAGTTAGATCCTTCAAAAAGGTTTTTTTAGTGGCATAGTGTTAAAAATGTTTTGTTACCTATATAAAATAAGCTGCATGTTAGAATTAAATTCAGTTAGGTTATTATTTTACTAGGTGTTACTGTGAGAAATAGGAAAGTAATGCTTAAGTCCTGTTGTTTATAGGCTATATTTTGCTGCATATTCTCTTATGCATTGTAAAAATTTTGTAATTGAACATGGTATGATTGGAAGATCATTTGACTGTATTATTTTATTCTTTTGCAACATCGGAGTTGTTAGTGCAGTTCATGAAACTAGTTTTTCAACATGTTCATAGAAACCCTGTAACCTTCAGTAGTCAATTTATTATTTCCTTGCCCTATCTTTCTTACCAAATTTAAGGCATTGCTTCTGTGATTGTTATGCACCGTACTAAGTGCATCAACATACTTTTATTAACAAGGTAACTTTTTCTGAAGGTGTACTTGGCATTTTTCAGTAGAAAGTATTTAAAGTGTGAATAATTTTCATATTTAAAACTGATAGAATTATCAAATTAACAGGATTATAAATAGAATCTATTAGATTTTGACTTGTGCTGTTCCAAAATTTGCTATGTATATGGATGTAATTATTTCAGAATTATGAGGGTTTTTTACATTTTTGTCTCCCGAAATTACGGGAACGAGAGATGACTGTTTAGTCTTAAAAATAATTCTAATTTCTGGTGACGTCTTATTTATTATTATTATTATTTTTCAGAGAAAAAGAATTTGACCTTCAAGATTATAGGTATAAGGGTAGGGATTCATTTAAGGAAAGCCATAAGCAAAATGAGAGCAGAGATAACAAAGATAAAATGTCAAAGTCTAACTCATGGGCAAACACACGAGAATATGAAGAACGAATGTCGGTAAGTGTTTTTTTTAATTAGAAACTACTATTTGCTAATTATTCATCGATTTTAACACATTATGGATTGTCTTCACCTTGAAAAATTGCGTAATTGCTGATTTTGAAACATAAAATAATTAATCTTTTGCTATGAAAATTGAAGTAAATGGCATGCAGTCTGTGCTTATTTAAAATATTCTTTAGCTGATGAAGAAAATTTACCTTTGCTGATGTATTACCAGTTTCAAAATATGTCCAGATCACTTGAACTGCAGCATAATAAATATATACATATATATATATTTTAATACTGATATCACTTATCTTTAAAATTTATTTCAGAATTATCCTTTTTAGATTAAAATTTGTTTACTTTTCTTACTTGACAAATTTTATGTGGAAAATTTCTTCATTACATTCTGTGACAGCTTAATACTTTTGTTACGGGTCATCTGAGGTTGTGTTGATAGTAAATGCTGTGCCATAGAAACAGAATGTACCTATATGCCAACTTACTTATGATTTAAATGAAGTAATAAAAGGTTTTGATTGCTCAGCCTTAAGTGTAGAATTTTATGGCTTTGCCAGCGTGTGATTGGCACTAGATGTAAAATTATTTTTATAATGCCACATTTAAAATTAATCAAAATAAGTAAGAATATGCATTATTTTTGTATGAAACTAGATCACAAAAGATATATTTTACAAATGAATTTTTTAGAAGATAGTTACAATAATATTATTGCAAATATATTTTTCAGAGTGTTATTCATCTTTGCACTAAATGAAACTTTATTTTCATTCCAAACCACATACATCTACAACTAGTTTCTAACCTTCATTCCATGCCAATATCAGCATATGTATGTAAAACGTAATGTCAATTGAACTTGAAAATAAACAGTAAGGTGCTGCTTTTCCCACACCAGCACGTGCCTGACGTTGAGACATCGCCCCACACTACGTGCCACAGCATGATTGGCTCTTCAGCAATAATGCCAAACACGGTAGCAAATGTGTTAATAGCTTCATTGACTTGATGATTGAATGGCCTGATTATAAGCATATCATATATATCACTGTAAAATACATACACTAGAGAAACAATTGTTACATACATTATTATTAGTGAGCAGTTGTATTCAGCATTGAAAATACACTACAAAACTGGGTGTAAAATGAGTTGCAAGCGTTGTAGTTGTATTCAACCCTTTGAATGGCATGACCAGTTTTATCTGATCACAAGATTCTTGCTTGGTATACATATTTTTTATCAGTCGGTGTATATTAGCTTATAATTTAAGATATTTTGCTTCCTTAATTTCTTTAGTAATGTAAAAGTCATCTAAATAAATGTAAGTTTATGAAAATAGAGAGTAAATTCATTAATTATATAATTTTAGCTAATAAATGCTGTTGAAATGCAGGTCTTTGTGACAGATCCAAACACCTGCTCTGAGGGCTAACCCCTTAACTGCCGCGGGCGTATACATACGCCATGCTCAGCTAGTGCACGACTACTATTATTTGCTTTGCGCTGCTACTTGTAAAATTATTTGCTAAGCTTTGGAATGGAGCAACCACAATGACCTTGACAAAGTATGCAAAGGAGGAGGATATTTCAGAGAAGGAGAAATTAGAGTGTCTAAAGCAGTGAAAGTAATGAGCAATTTTTTTTTATTCTGTATCTTCCGTTTTCGTTTACCTTTTGTAATAGGTTCCAGGAATAAAGAAAGAAATAACGGATGTTTAGAAGAAATATGTTTTTTTTTAGGCATACTGATTTCACAAGGTATTATAACACTGAAACCTGATATTACACTTTACTGGTCTAAAAATGAATTGATCGAAACTCCATTTTAGGGATATTTTTTATTATAAAAACATAATTTTTTATACATCTTTTTATTATACTTTTACTCAAAACATTAAATTTTGTGCATTTATTTTATTCTTTATTTTGTGAAAGTAAAACTTGCATTTATTTTCCCTCTAATACATTGCATAAGTACGCATGCCTGTATGGAAAACCGTAGCACTGGGAAATGAATCTTGTACGTTTTCCGCGGCAGTTAAGGGGTTAAAAAAGCATGACAGCAATGTATAATTTTATGGCATCAGCAGTTACATTTGAATGTAACTAAATGAACTTCTCGGGAAGTAGATGTTAAAACTGTTAATTCATTACAACTCATGCATACTGTAAATGAATTTTGCTAGGATCCATTTGAAGAGCCACATGAAACCTGTAGAGATAAACCAGTAAAGGAGAAGATAGATCGTTATGAACGTACTGAAAAAGAAAGATGGGAAAAAGAAAGACCACCTCGACCCGACAGCAGAGATTCACGAGCAAGCCGAGACTCTGGCAAAGATGAGAGGTACAATTGATGCGAGTTATGTTGTAACTTTTATTTTAGCTAAATGTGTTTCTATTTTGCATTCAAGTATACAGATTTAATCACTAATAATAGGCTGTTAGATGTGTGCAATGATACAGAATTGGTAGCGGAAAAATTTCATATCTTGAGTTTGTGACATCTCAGATAACTAGGATCAAAATGTATTGAAAATGCTTATGTCAAAGAACCATTAAGATATAGTTACAGTTTATCGTATATTATTAGCCCAGAAGGGCTGTTTTGTTTTGGCATTTCGCATTGAAATGTCGGTTCACTTTTCAAATTGTTGCCACCAAATATTAGAGCCCTGTATTTAAAGAAATAAAATACTGAAGAATCTGCATAACTGTATGTAGGTTTCTCGCATACTGATAAAAAAACGGTACCTAGAGCCATCCAAATTTGAATAACGTACATTTCCAACCGAATATTGGCATCTAAGAGCCCCAATTTGGAATTTATTGTATTATCGATTTCATACTATTATGTAAAACTATTATGTTAAACATTGTACGGGGTTTAATTGTGACATCTCAGATAACTAGGATCAAAATGTATTGAAAATGCTTATGTCAAAGAACCATTAAAATATAGTTACAGTTTATCGTATATTATTAGCCCAGAAGGGCTATTTTGTTTTGGCATTTTGCATTGAAATGTCGGTTCACTTTTCAAATTGTTGCCACCAAATATTAGAGCCCTGTATTTAAAGAAATAAAATACTGAAGAATCTGCATAACTGTATGTAGGTTTCTCGCATGCTGATAAAACAACAGTACCTAGAGCCATCAAATTTGAATAACGTACATTTCCAACCGAATATTGGCATCTAAGAGCCCCAATTTGGAATTTATTGTATTATCGATTTCATACTATTATGTAAAACTATTATGGTAAACATTGTACGGGGGGGGGGACATTTTTATCTCCAGCATGCGAAATTGTGTATCAGAAATTTTAAAGATATGCTCATTTAAAAAAATATTTTGTGATATTGCAGTTGAATTGAATTTAATGGTTTAAGTGCAAAGAATATGATATTTAATAAATAAAGGTAACACGCAAAGCATTAAAAAAAAGCCTCTTTGGGCATAATGTAGAGTCCGTTATAGGTTCAGAAAGGCAGAAAGAAGGAAATGTTGGTATCTTGTATGTATGAAATGAGACCAGTAAAATGTTTCCTTACTTATATTTTTAAATGTAATAATTTATAGGTTAGTGAAGAAATAATTCATTAAATAAAATATTTTTATATACTTTCTATTAAAGCATATTAAAATTATTTTCAATTTAACCTATTGCATAGGATACCATTTTGATGGAGTTAAATAACAAAAAAAAACAAGACCCACTGCTAATTCTTAATATTAGAATCTATTGTATGTAGATGCAAAATGTTTTTATTTTATGTTGACTGAAATTTAAATGACTTTGCTATTATGGTACTGATTGCAAATTTCATAAATTTTTCTATGGAAATATAAACTTTATTGTATTGTAGTAATTATAAACCAGGCCACTGTAATTTGAACCATTCTAGAAATACCCTTGTGGTGGATAACATGACATTAATATGCCACGATTTCTGTAAGTTTAATGAATCCCAGAACTTGTAAAATGTGAATGTTTGTAAATTGTAAATAATGATAGAAATATGAATTTTTATTTTTAAATAGGCATACCACTGAAAGACACGAAACAAATCCACAGCCTGAAAGGAAAGGGACAAATTTAAGAGATGACAAAAAGGAAAAAGCTGTTACCCTTGACTGGGGTGATTCTCCTTATCCTGTTGAACCTAAAAGTATGCACTGTTCATGCTCTTGATAGAAAATAAATAAATAAATAAATCGCCTAACAAGTTAGGGTATATTTTTTGAGTTGGTTGTATTTCTTAGTAATATTTATTTTTATTATAGGACGAGAATGGCATCATCATCATCCTCCTCCAATAACACCAAAGCAGTTTGAAAGTATTGGACCTCCTAAAAAGAATTTAACACCATTGCGAAGGTCAAATGCTACTACCAGTTCTCAGAACATTCCAGAAAAGAAATCGGAAATCATTAAAGATGATGGCAGCAATAAAAAGACTGATGCAGACTCCAGTTCTAAGAAAGAAAAAGAAGCAAAGGAAGAGAAAAATGAAAAAATTAAAAGTGAAAGTGTTTCAAAAGAAAGTGAAAAGCATTCTGAGAAATTTGATCAGCCACATTTTGAAAAGCTAACTAAATCTTACATAAAGGAAAATGTCAAAAAAGTAGAAAATGACAATATTTCAGATGTAACAAAAAAAGAAGTATTGTTTCAGCAGAAGAACAAGATAAGTCCAAAGATAAACATGACCATTCTTCCAGAAATGAAGCAAATAAAGATAGACGCCGAGATGGAAGGGAAAGAGCTGTTAACTCCCGTTCTAGAGGAGGAAGTGCATCTGTAAGTAATAATCAGTCTGGTGGCAATAACACTAGTGGACGTTACGAATCAAATCGAGGCCGTGGAGGCAGTGGTGGTAGGAGCAGTGCCTTTGGGAATCCAGCTGTGCCATCAAGTGGATCTGTAAGTGGGTCAAATACTTACAGGGGCAAACGAGAATATAGGCGGTCTAGGGTAGAGAGAGGTCCACGATTTGATCGCCAAAAAGAACGTGACAAAGATAAATTGAAAATAGATAAGAAGGAAAAACATAGTGATGATACATCCTGCTCGGAAGTTGATGATGGTAAACTTGGACATTTACGACAGAAAGATGAAGACAGTGAAGTATCGGTTGATGAAGCTAGTGCGTCAACTACAGAAAGTGCTCAGGCAGAAAAGTACCAGGGCTCAGAGATAGCACAGGAAGAAGAAAAAACATTTATAAATGACCAACCTAACTCTGTAAAGGATATAAATGTTAAGAATGAGAAATATAAGAAGGAAAAGAAAGACAGTTCTCGAATTGAAACAAAAACGTATGATGAAAAACCCAAAGATGATAAAGGTGGCTTTGCACCTCGAGGGGAACCATCAAGAAGAGGGCGAGGAGGTGGTACATTATCTTTCAGGAATTCTAGAGGTGGATCTAGACATGGTCCAAGTAGCTATGGTCCTCCTCCATCAAGAGCAGGCTTTGGTGGTAATAAACAGGAAAAACTAGAGGAACAAAAAATCGTAGAAGAAAACTTTAATGAAAACAGTCAGAGTGATTTTAAACCTAGTATGTCTACAATAGAAAACATTAACAATGTGTTTCCAAAGGATTCTAATAAATCACGTTCGCTAGAAAGACCACAACAGAGGAGACCTGGGAGATTTGATCATTTACCACCTAGATTTCAAAAAAGGAATGAAAGGAGATTTGATAAATTTGACCAGTCATACCGAGGTAGAGGGAGAGGAGGACGTAGTGGCAGTTATCAAGGTTCAGTAAATCAAATGAATAAAATAGGACAGACTGGCAAAGAAAACTTGTCAGATGTTGCAAATGAGGAATGGGAAACTGCTTCAGAAAGTAGTGATGTGGCTGAACGTCGTGATAGACGAGATGACAAGGATGAACCAAGGAAAAAAGACTCTAAAGATAAAACATCATCAGCATCCAGGAAAAGCTTTTCTAGCCAGCGTCCTGTTAATGAAAGCAACCAAGGGCGTCGTGTGAATAATGAATCCCGACGGGGTGGTGGTGGTGGTGGTCCAAATAGCAGTGATCGAAATCGCCAGAGGGATAATTTTCCACGAGAGACTCGTACAAGAGATTCTGGGCGAGGCAGACAAAATAACTATGGTAATGGTAGTGACAGGAGAGTGATAACTAATAACACTAATTCTCATCCTTCCAGTAGTGCTGGTCACCCTGGTAGTGTTGGTGGAAGAAGTAGCGGGAGGAGTGGTAATCCATCTTCTAAGGCCGGTCCTTTTCAGCCCAAAAGTGAAGGAACTGCTGTATATAGAGTAGATGAAATTAAACTACAAGATCCAAATGGAGTGCAGGCAGCTTTAACTGATCTCACTAACAGGTACATAAAATAGTTAATTTTGTTTGTGTAATGATATATTTAATTGATCTTTGTACAGTCATGTTACAAATTGTTTAGCAGCTGCTGAGCATTAATATATTAACACTTTACCGGCCGCTCAGCCGCAGATTCTCCCTGTTCTGAATAACTGTCAAGACAATCTGATAAATCATCTAATTAAAACTCTCTAGTACCATTTTTTCACTCATTGTGAATGATAAATTTTTTAAAAAGTGTGTGAAAAAGTCGGGAGTTCACGAAGCAAAGCACTTAACGCAAGTGAGCAATGTACCTCAATACTAATAATAAAATGCAGATGATATAGCAAATGACAATTGTTTATCGCCATGGCTACCGACTGATATGCTATTTTTAGGTAGCCCGAGCCCGATAGGAAATAATTATAAACCAGAAATGTTTGGCTTTTCTTAAACTTGCTGGATAACTGTTGCCTTATTATTTTTGTTCATACTTCTTATACCTTTTTGTATGTATAAATATTCGTACAGAACACTACTGGCCAAAATTGTAAAAACCATTTTGGAATAAGTGTATTTTTGAGGTGTAATCGCTCATATCACTGCTTTTTTAACAATGCTATAAAATATTATATCCATGAAAATATAACAGCATTGTTTTGTTTGGTTTATTGAATTATGGCAAAGCACACTAGGGCTATCTGTCTAGGGGGAGGGATGCCTTTGTGGAGGACTTTCTAAGGGAAACGGGCTCGAATACATGTTGCACATGGGAAAAACCACGAAAACTCCATGCAGCCAGCCCGTCCGCAGGATTTGAACCTCGGACTGAACTACCAGTGTTCAGCGACTTGACCGCTCCGGCCGCTGGTGGGCCAATGACATTTATGAGAGAAGCAGTTATCAGGAGGAAAATATGCAATTATTCTTCTGAGGTGTTTTCGCTGTGATCTTTAAGCAATTTTAAGTCATTTTACTATGAGAAAATTTGAATTTGTGGACCTATTACTTTTGATCCTGTTGTTAACAGTCTTTTGTGTTATTCGAGCCGCTCTTATGTTGTTGTTAGTATTGCCATATCAGTTTTCATTTATATCACTTTCAGTCAAATTATCTCTATATAATATAAATTTGTGTTCACCTCCCCCTCCCCTTTCTGGGGGTAACTATTATTTCTTTCCATTTTATAAGGAATATTTTGACAAAGGTATGATTGGAAGACTTGCAGCTCACCCCGGTTACCATATTGATAGCAACAAGCATGTGCTGAAATATTTCCCTGCAGGTATAAAAATGCGAAGTTATTTCTAGATTTTGTTGTTGCAGTGGCAACAATAGAATTAACCAGCTTATTTTATGTTGCCATTGCTGCAACAGCAGAGCTAGCAACTTATTTTACAGTGTCACTGCAGCAGTGGTAATACAGATGGCTAATAAATGTAATTACATTAGTCATTAAATGGACATGTTGCATAGATAAGTGTTGCAAACCTTAAAATGAATCATTTGATTTTTTTTCACCTAGAAGTACATTAGTTCTAACATTTAGAATATTTTAATTTTTACTGGAATATATGAAAATTCATTATAAAAGCTTTTTTAAACTTTTTAATGCAATTTATTAACATTTCACATATCTAGTATTTTGTTCAAATTTATAACTGCGCATTGCAAATATATATTTTATCGTTATTTGTTCAGTTATTTCTTTGATTCTTGTAATACTCATTTTTTCAGCAAGTATGCTTTCGACTTTCATCAAATAACTTAAACGAAATTTTATATAGAATCCTAAATGTAACTGTTGGTTGTTATTTGGGATAGAACGTAGAATGTACTCACATGAGCAGTGCTTAGAAATAGCATTTTAAAATTTGTATAGAGAGTAAAGCTATTCAAATTCTTAAAAAAACAAAAGTTTTCAGTGGCAGGCTAGTGGTTTTGGAAGTATATTCATTAATAACATGTAGAGTGGGGGAGAATCACGTATAAATAGTGATATCTTAAGATGAATTAATTAACATTATATGCAATAAATAATCAATACAAATATGTAACAAAATATTTAAATTTGTGAGTAATGTTTTATGTATATAGTTATAGATTATTAATAATACAATGGAACATTTTAGTTATTACAAAAGTTAAGATATTTTAATCAATAGCAGGGCAGTTTGCCTGTCTGTTGAGGTATTTTTGTAATTTCGTTAATATTTCATGGCTGCTAATTCTACCTGTTTTTAATTTTTAGCATTTGCTTATGAAGGTTATTGAATTGATGAAACTTTTAATTATGCAGGTTTCATTTTTTCACATAGTGATTTTCAGTATTATTTTTCTTATTTTATTTCATTTGAATTGACTTAATTTATTATAGACACATTTGCAGAACTTGTGCTTTTTAAAAATTATGCATAATAAATTTCTTATTGCAGAAGGAATATGAAGGCAGAAGTTGCAGTATCCAAAGTTTCCAAGAGTGAAAAGGATAAGTCCAGTAGTTTAGAAGGCTATGACTTAAATAATTATGCAAGTATGTTGGAAAATTTTGCATACCTATAGTAGTTCCTTTATGTTGAATGCATTTTAAACCGATTTATTAAACTTTTGTGTTAGTTTTTATGAATACATTTATAATTTTCATATTTTTCTATTGAAGCTAGTAGTTGCAGCTTCCTGTTTCTGTTTTTTTACGAGTCTCATTAAATGCTTATATATTCTTAGTAGAGAAAAAACAATAAAATTTTGACTTGTAAATTTTTGCATTTGAACTAAGGTATATGAAATCAACAAAATTCTGAAATTAGACGAAAAAGAACTGTATTTTGCCTTTAAGATTTAAATAAGACTGTATATTTGGGGGTAATCACAGTGATCTTCAGAAAAAAAAAATTCTGCCAAAAATCGGAATTTTTTACTCTTGAAGAGGAACTGATCGAAATTGATAGTTTTGCTTAAGTTTTTATTTTTTCCCATCTGAAGAAAAGGGACCTATGTCTCATTGCTCTTGAATTCCCCCCCCCCCAAAAAAAACCACTAAAATAGGTACTTTTTTAGCTTGATTTAAAAAGAGGATTGGATATTTGTCAAGCCCTACTGATTTAAGTATTTATGTTCAAAAGTTTTTTTTTAATCAAAATGTTGACAAGAACATTACAGATGCATTAATATATTTTTCTTCAGAACACTAGTGAGGCATTAATTAAAATTAATAAACAAGTTGCTACAAAGGAGTTATGTATTTTGAACTTTTGCAATTAAATCGAAAAAAATTGGGGGGTTACTGAAAGCAAATTGCCCGGAACTAAGCAGTCATCAAGGTGTGTTGTCTTCCCAGATGATGGTGTTCAGCCCTTCATTTCAGTGGATATCAAAGAGCTGTTGAGTATGGGTGGAAGCCTCATAACTTCATTATGAATTAATCTGTTAAAAAAGGAATTTTCCGGCTGCCGAAGAGATGTCAAAATGTCGCAGATCAAAATCGTGTTCTTGTAAATCAATACAATTTTTAAATAATTTTATGCTTCTTCATTTGTATTTATCATTAGAAATATTACAGGACTTTTTACATATATCTAGTGTTGGTAAAATTTATTACCAGAAAGAAGATAAAAAGTTCTCCCAAAAAATTGCTCCTGGTGGCAAGAGTGTTCAAGCGTACGTCACTTTAGTTGAACTAGATATTGCTATCCACACTATGAAAGGAAATAAATCACCAGAAAATTAATTTATTTTTGGAGAAATGGTTGGATCTTGGTGAAAATACAACAATGCTTATTGACCATCTGTAGCACATCATGACCCAAAGCAAATGAATCTGCTATAGAATAAAGAACTGTAGGCATATCATGCACATGAGCATCCTTTGCAGGGTGATAGGAACAAGTTATTCTCTCCAGAATCATGGAAAAAGCAAGAAAATACATTTTTGAACACCGAATTTCAACAGAACACAACATGCCACTGAAGACCAATTTCAATGATTTCCAGGAACGACTACCAAAATTGACCACTGCTATTTTTATTGATATGTTTTCTACATTTGACTGTTGTGCAGACAAAAACTCTTAAAACGTGTACATCATTATGGTTATGGGAGGAAATGCCCTGATCTTAATAAATGATTTCTTGAGGGGTAGAAAAATTAAAGTATGCTATAATGGATATCTATTTAAGGGCAAGAAAATCCTTGCAGGTGTTCTGCATGATTTTGTTTTGAGTGTTCTTCTCTTCCTGTTATATGTGAATGACGTTCACCTTAACCTTGATAAAGATACTAAAGTGGCACTGGAACCATAGTTTCTAACTTCACTTGAAAGCTCTTGGCATGTGTAGATTCTCATTTGAGCAAGCAAAAGGACTCCATTTTCTGCGACTTAAAAGTCAGAAGATATACATGGAATCTTTGGTAGATATACATGGCCTGGACACAAAATTGACAACTGCACACACTTTTGATTGTCTAGCTGTCCGTACTAAATTTGAAAAAATTGGGCCTTGTTTACAAGATCGAACCTCTATGATAGCATTTTGCAGATTGCCGTGGCTGTCATCTTTGCCCATGTCACTATTGAATGGGCTTCGTCAGAGACACAACTTTTTGGATAACTCGATACATTTTGGTTAATGGGGCACCACTTACCAGCAGTAAATGTTCGCATAAAGTATAAGAAAGAATAGAAATGCTAATGATAATGATGCATAATTTTTAGAAATGAATAATTATATTTATGAATTAAGAAAATAATAAAAATATAAATAAAGAAGAAAGACATACTAAAGATATGTAATTATTCCAGTCGGCAGTTGTACAGTGATACATTCATTATTTCAGTAGACCGAATTTTATCAGTGTGTGAACTCTTGGTACTTATGGTAAATAAATTTCTATGTCTCAGAAAAGGAATGTTCAAATCCTTTGAAGTAGTATCTGCTGTCTAAACCTTTGTTCTTACCGCATGATCTTTAGTTGCAGTATCATTTTTGATGTATTATTCAAATTTTTCAATATAGGTGGTTTTTTTATGTTAGAATTTATTTAATCAGTACTGTTTATCATTTAGCAGTTGACAGGTTACATAATTCATGTTGGTTCGCTTCCTGTTTTAAAGAGCACTATGACAAGAAAGCAACTTAAAATTTTTGTAATATGAAATAACCACATTTAGCATTTTGGCACAAGTGCTGCCTATGAATTGAAAAGCAACAAAAATTTTTATGTTAATGTTAAGCAAGTCTTCGACTGAAATATATTTAATTATTTTTGATAACAAGGTTATGTGACATACCTCATTTTGCTTTTGGATATGCTAACATTTTTATTATGATGCAGGCGTTGTTATAATTGATGACCATCCTGAAGTAGGAGATGATTCTAATTTATTATGTGGCACTGATGATGGTTTCCAAGAAGTAACATCCAAAAAACGGCATAAAGTGATGATAGAAAATGAAGTTAAAAAAATGAAGAAAGAGGTAAGGATAGTGTGTTTGTGTGAAGTTAGTGTTAGTTAAATTTTATAGAAAGCTACATTCTAATTAATATTTGGTTGTTATAATGTTTGTTAGAAATATATACAAACATATAAAAGGTTTTACTAAATTTTTAAAATATGCTATTTGACCACTTCTTGTAAACAAGAACATGACATTCCATGATGAATTTATCTGTCAATCCATTGATTTCCACTGATAAAAAAAGGAAATGCTGAGAATGTTGTGTCTTGTGTTGTCAATTTGTTTCATTATTAGGCCCTGTAATTTATTTCATTCTTTAATAAATTTATTGATATGAAATGAGCTGAAATATTACAAAAATTTTATTGATTTGTTAATAGAAGTTAGGTTTGAATAATTTTATTATGGAAAGCAATTCAGGAAATTATTGAAATAACTTCACTATATAGCTAGAGACTTATATTATTAATGAAATCCAGCTTGTAGGTTAAACATGGTAGTACAATGGTTCTCAATTTCTTTTTGCTCAATGCATTCGTTCACCATTGCAAGATCATTAACCTCACTTTAACAAACCTCATTAAATACATATAGATTAATGTTGCTTTTAAAAATTAAAAAGACGAAATGTATAAAAAATATTTATAAATAGCACAACGTGAATAAAAGTTTTCTTATTCATGAAAACTGAATATAAAAATATAGAAAAAGTTGTCTTCCCCCCCCTAAGGAATAAGATTAGGCCCTTTCACTAAGCTTAAGAGAAGGTGTGAAATTCTTTTTATATGGTGCTGCATAAACTCCTCGAAACTGTTTTCCTTATTTCAAGGTTTGCAGCTATGCTTTAATTTTCCATAATTTAAAAAAATTAAATCATGTCATTTGTTAGAAATGCGAAGTCTTATTTCTAAATGAGCAGATTATGCTACATATATTTCCACTTCATTTTATAATATAAATATGTTATTTAAAAATTTAGGTGCCTGCATTTTGTGAAATGTTAAGTGCTGGAAGTAGATTTGAATTTTTAAACTCCATAATCTTTTGCTATTTGATGATGACAATTTTCTTTCCCCAACTGAAAACCATGAAGAATTTTTGTCTGAAAATAGAAAAAAAGGAAAAGTCTTGTGTGTTATTTATTTGTGCTATTTTGTAATACAGTTTTAATAAATGTTGCCATCAAACAAAATTTTGAGTTTAAAAAATTTGATAAAAGTATGTCTGTCAGTCCTGTGATTTATGACAGTTCGTTTTCTGAGAAATCATTTATAGACTTTTGTGTAACCCTCTGAGTGCCATCACTGTCTTTTGGTCATGAGATTTTTTGTCATTTGATATATATATTAGCTTATAATTTAAGATATTTTTCTTTCTTGCATATCTTAACCCTTTCGAGAAGGCGGGTCTTTTTTTAAGACCCTCCCTTGGGAAAGTCAAAAGGAATCATCCCATGGGACAAGTTTAAAAAAAAATTGCCTCCCAAAAAAGGTTTATGCCGTAAAATCATAATTTTTGTAGATTGTTACTTAAGCTATCATATATGCTAAAATTAGTATTTAATAATCTTTTTCTTTTAGTTCACAAGAAAATGTTTTTTAAGAAATTGCTTGCCTTCAGAAATAATTTGCAAGCATCATTCAAATTATTCCAAAATTATAACTGACAAATTACATTAAACTTTAAAATTAGTAAAAAAAATCAAGAAAGGAGTATTTACAAGCAGTAACAAAATCTTTCAATGAGAAGTATACACTCTGTGAGTTCAGAGTTCAGTCTCTGATACCGTGTTTATACATAAATCGCTAGAAATATCGCTTTAAGAGGTTATCACACATAGGGACTTTACTGAGAAATGAGGTTCTGGAAGCACTGGTTTAAACGGGAGAATTCCTAGAAAAAAGAGTCCCACCTAGCTACGGAAACAATGTTGTACAGGATTTTTTCAAACCTCGCCGAAAATGTCTGGGCTGGACCTCTGTTCCGGGTAGAGACAACCAATCAGATAAAAGTTCTGCTTCTGAAGCATTACATGATCCCAATATGAACGGTAATCAATTATTGTGTGGCATTCAAGTTTTTGTAGTAAGTGAAAATGATAACCTAGCTACGTGGGTTTCCTGGAATTGTGCGGGTTCTGAGAATTGTCCCTTTCTCCGTCAATTCCCACGTAGATGAAAAATAATGTGATTGGGATCTTAGGAAACGAATCATCACTTTCATCCAAGTCCTTAATTAGCTCATTTACCAAGCGAGATATCTCTTCCTCCCCATAAATAATGCTTTCTCGCAATGTTAAACAAGTTGATGTTTTAGGAAATAAAAAGGGAAGTAAGCAAGATATAAAACATTGCAAAGCATAATAGAATCCTACATAGTAATCCCATTGAATCTTTTATCCTTTTTTTTTTAAACCAGAAAGAAGCTCTGTTTGTTTACATTATGCTTTCTTTCCCTCCCCCATTGTTATGCAGAAAGTGATCAAAGTGAAGGTCAGGATCCTAAAGCCTTTTTTTAAAGTAATGGACACAAAATGCCATCTAATGGTCTTTGAAAAATGTTTTAGCTTAAAATGCACATATGCATCACTCATCCCTTATGTGCATTCTCTGGTGATGTGTTGGCTGTATGCCCGTTCGGAATGGGTTAGTAATATAAATATGATTTTAAATGTAATATAATTAATTACATTACAAGTTAGTTTATGAAAATAGAGACAAAAAAGGTAAATGTACAAACTTAGCTATTAAAATTTCTTTTAGTAATATAAATATGATTTTAAATGTAATATAATTACATTACAAGTTAGTTTATGAAAATAGAGACAAAAAAGGTAAATGTACAAACTTAGCTATTAAAATTTCTTTTAAATACAGGTCTATGACAGGTACTTATATGGAAATTTTCTTCTTTACATAGACCAAAGAATTAGAGATTCTTTGGATAGACGTTTTTGGTTAAAATAATCTCCATGTATGGATTTGGCGACATGATGATGGCGCAGTAAACGGGTCATTTTGGTCTTGCCGACAATTTTCAAAATCGTGCCAAAGCCTTACCGTTATACTAGAATTTTACCGCAAAATCTTTTAAACTTTTCTTTTTAATAAATACCTTGCCATTTTGCAGTAAAATAAAAAATAGTAATCTGTCATCTAGGCTAACCATGTAATATAACTATATTCGCTAAAATATCGTTGATTATTCTAATTCAATTTTTAAGTAATTATCTTTATTTTTATGTTATTCGTGTAATTTAATGATTGCTTCTTCCCTCTAAATTTATTAATTATTAGTAAATAATATTTCTAAATTTCAGGAAATTTTCTCTGGCATAATCTTGAAATTAATTCTAGCAGTATGATGACATACCATCAAGAAATTTAATGCACATATTTTTTTTCTTATGTATGCTGCGAACTAAATATAAAATACCTCAATTTATTAAAATAGATTTCTTTGTTTCGTTTAGTAGCTGCAGAATGTCTGCAAAAAAAGCCTTATTTTATTCCAGATTGGGAAGATTCTAATCTCAATCTTCAATGGAGAAAACAAGAACTATTATAATTTGTGTTTTCAAGTGTTAAGGTGCTTTTTAAGAACATACCTCACACAAATTAAATTTACCTAAAATCTAACCTAACTACGTATTTAGCATTGCGTTGTGATTTATAAGGACCGGATTAGCCTCGTGTTGAACTGGTGATGATCATGAGTAATAATTAAATAAAACATACATTTGTTATCCAATGTATATATCTTAAATTTTATTAAGTTTCTTAAGTGGAAAAGTAAACAAAATTATCAAACAAAGTATACCAAGAATAATTAAGAATAAATGTCCTGGGATTTATTGAATAATTAAGTGAATTTGCTACACAGTACAAGTAATACCATAATTTACCTCTTAGCGTAGCCAACGTACATTACGCGGATAGACTGGAATTTTCTTGAAACGCACCTGGAAAACCTGGAAAAGTCAGGGAATTTCATTCTCCTGTTTGAGTGGCAACCCTGTTGTATTTCTAGATAAAAAGTGGCCTGTGGGTTACACTAAAAACAAAAGATTTAAAAATTGACCATTTCAGATTTTCATGTTAAATTCAGAAGTGATCTGAAAGAAATGCATATTATGTATTCCCTTTTTTTTTATGGTGGCTGTAGATGTATATGAATTATTGGGAAAACTTGAGTTATTAAGTGTGTGACATCAGTCCTTTCCCTACCTAATATTAGATGAAGAAATATTTGCTTAATGATGACAGTATTCTTTCCCCAACTGAGTAATACTGAGGAAATTTCTGGCTGAAAATTTTTTATACTGTTTAGTAAATGCTGTAATATTCTGTTTGAAATGAGAAATATTCATAATAATTTTACCATTAACCATGTTTTCCTTGAAAAATAATACTTGGTCTTATCCATCTATTTGTTTATGCTGACATATAATTTTGGAAAATTTTTGTTAGATATTTTAATGAATTTTGTGTTTATTATCCTCCACTGAAAAAAATACTGTGGAGGTATTTTGTTAAAATAGTATTAACATTTGATTTTTGTAATGCTAATTATATGACTTGGTTGCAAATTTGTATATTTATGTACGCTAAAGTGTCATAATTTACGGTACTAATATGAAGTACGTAAAGCAAAACATAATGGCTTTCATTGATGAAAGTATTAAAAATCTGTCAATCCTATGATTTTTTATGACATCATTCATTTTCTGAGGAATCATTATGTCCTGTAAATAGAAATATAATGCATGGTAAATGCACTATCAGAAATATAGTGAGAGCATGATGCTTGGAGTCTGATTGAGGAACTCTGTCTCGTATCCCACCCCCAAGCAGTACAGCATTTCCAAATTCCACCTTGGGAAAGTACAGAAGTGATCATCTTGGAAGTTTTCCGCAACCACGTAAAACACTAATGAGACTGTTTGCTGAGCACAGGCATAAATATAGCAGTTATGTTCCTATACAGTACAAAGTCTTTTATCCGGACTCAACGGAACTTCGGCGATTCCAGATTATAGATCAATTTAAATCTGGTAAGATGGCATGCAGAAATTATAAAATAAAAAATATGAAATCGTAATTTATGAAATAAACAGCAATTATGATCTAAAGGGTATCAAAATTTACAAAAAAAGCTTAATATTTGTTTACTTTATTAAACATTTCTTTCAATGTAAGTTGTTTAAGTTGCTTCGTTTTATGTGCTAATACTTTCTATTTAATTCTATAAACAGACATGATTTCTTGTTCAGTTACAAAGTTCCGCCGTTCAAGTCCTGTAATTGCGCCGAGAATACCGACTAACTTGTCAATTGAAATTTTTTCGTTTTCACTAACTTCTGTGTCACTTTCTTCATGCCTTTATCCATTTTTTGCAGCAATTCCACTTTTTGTTGATGGACATCGAAACATGCTTTCGCTTTGTAGATCCTTTGGCAGCTCCAGAATCGGAAACTCTTTTTGACATAATCGAAAGTTCAAGCTTTTTATAAAATTGCTCTAACAATCTGCAAAAAATAATAAGCCAGATCCAATTAAAAGATTATGGAACAACGCAATCTGCAACATTAACTGAAATATATAATTTTAGCTTAGCTTATACCGTCCGTTATACATACGTAAACGCTATGCATGCGCAGAAAGTTTGTATCTTTGAGGTCCGGATTAAAGACTTATATATATGCAGATGGATCTAAGTAAAGTGGTCATGTTGGGATAATATTTGTAATTGAAGACCACACTGAGAGCAGAAGTTTGCACTACGCTTCCTCAGTCTTAACATCAGAACTATCTGCTATATGTTCTGTGCATCTGTACACATCAAATCTATGCCATAAAAAATTCATAATTTATACAGACTTGTACAATGCTTTGAAATTTCTAGAAGCTGCTCACAGTCCTGTTGTAGATATTCTCGAGTTATTGTTGCAAAAGCATGGTTATAAAATTCTGCACTGCCGAGTGCCTGGCAATGTTGGTATCGGGAAACCGAACTGTCAAACATTGCAGCCAAATCTGCTGTTGACTTATGCAGCCTGCATGTCCTCTGATGGATATTAAATCAAGGTTGTCAAGAGAAAAATCCTAAATAGGTGGCAGTGATTGCAGGATGCTCAGTTTCTCAATAAACTTTAAAGTGTGAAACCTCTAATTGAATATTGGGACTCCATGCGAAACTGGAGGGAGGAAGTGTTGTTAACACCTTTAAGAATTAGTTACTCTCATCTCACACACAGACACCTCCTTCTTGAGGAGTTATCTCAACTTTCAAATATTAATTAATCTCCCACTTTTAATTACACCATCAACCATTGTTATTCCCTATAGTTAATACATTCTATGAACTGTGCATCATCCCTTGTTCCCCTCCTTTTTTTTTGGAGTCCCACGTTGCATTAATTTGATACCTTCATCCAATTTCTATTATGATACTTTAATTATTGATGTATTAATGCTGGCTTGCTGTTTCTGTTATTTTGCTATTATTTATATTATTATTTACTGGTCACACCGTCACGTCGTCTGAAAGCAATCACTGGCATTTCTTTTTAACTCTACTGCTTATCGTACTTCGCCTCCTTGTACTATTTCTGCTTGCACTTAGTACCCGCCTGATTGGCTGGAGCCACAGGCAGCGGGGTGTATTGATTGGCCACTAGTATCGGTAGTTGAATTTTCACACTCGTATGTCATTACTGATTTTCTCCTAATACTCTATTATGTTGTTATGTGGCGACTATGAACTTTGCAACTGTATATGTTAGAGCGTTATGCGTGGGTTTTCGAGTTGCGACTCAAAAGGCCAAGAGTGAACCTGTTTTTTCTTTCTGTGTGAGTGTTCTGATATTGTGTCACTTTTTAGTTGACTGCATGTATTTTAATGACTCTGGCTTGCCTCTTGACCGAATAATCGGGAAAGAGGTCAATACTAATTTCAGTATTTGAAAGAAGCATGTTTTTATCATCTAATTTGATAATACCCATGTATTTTAATGTAATTTAACACATTTCATATTTTATATAAATCATGAGTCACTGCTTCACATTTTATATTTTTATATAAATCGTGAGTAACTTCATCTAAATATTCATCATTTTATTTCTTGTTTTGATTTTATATGTCTGTTGTGTTAAATTTGTGATTGTGCTTAATTGTTTTGTGTGTTTTAACTGTGTACTCTCAACATGTGTCTGATGCTAATAACCTTTCCAAGTTGTGTGCCATTTAAACCACATAATGCTTGGGATTTTTGGTGGAGATATGATATATGAATTATTGGGAAAACTTGAATTATGCTTGTCACATGAGAGTCCTTTCCCCTACTTAATATTGCATTGAAGAAATATTTGCTTAATGATGACAGTATTCTTTCCCCAACTGAGTAATACTGAGGAAATTTCTGGCTGAAACCTTTTTTACTGTTTAGTAGGTGCTATAAAATTCTGTTTGAAATGAAAAATATTCATAATTTTACATTTACCATGTTTTCCTTGAAAATAAGGCCTGATCTTATATTAATTTCCTTCTTGCCCTTAGTCGAATACATCTATTTGTTTATGCATTGAGTATACTGACATAATTTTAGAAAATTTTTGCATGGCCTTTTAGTAAAGTTTGTTTTAAGCTCCTCTGAAAAAATACTGTGAAGATATTTGTCAAAATTTTGCAGTGCTTTTTTATTCCTAGAAATTGTTAAAATAGTGATGAGTAACATTTGATTTTTATAATGCTAATTATAAGACTTAGCAGCAAAAGGTGTCTTAAAATTTACGTACTGCAGTGCTAATATAAAGTACGTATAGCAAAATGGATTTCATTGATGAAAATATTAAAATCTGTCAATCCTATGATTTTTTATGACATTTATTTTCTGAGAAATCATTGTCCTGTATATGGAAATAATATGCATAGTAAGTGCACTATCAGAACTACAGTCAAAGCATGATGCTTGTGTTTCTAGATAAAAAGTGGCCTGTGGGTTACATCAAAAACAAAAGATTTAAGAATTGACCATTTAAGATTTTCATGTTAAATTCAGAAGTGATCTGAAAGATGCATATTATGTATTCCCTTTTTTTATGGTGGCTGGAGATGTTGTATATGAATTATTCGGAAAACTTGAGTTATTAAGCCTGTTTCCCTACCTATTATTGCAGTGAAGAAATATTTGCGTAATGATGACAGTATTCTTTCCCCAACTGAGTAATACTGAGGAAATTTCTGGCTGAAAAATGTTTATACTGTTTATGTTTAGTAAATGCTGTAAAATTCTGTTTGAAATGAGAAATATTCATAATAATTTTAGCATTTACACCATGTTTCCCTGAAAATAAGATCCGTTATTGCATTAATTTCCTTGTTTATTTCTCTCCATTATATTTTCATTATAGTTATTGATTTCCATGTGTGATTGGTGTTTAAATGGATTGTTTATTGAAATATCAAGAGTTTGAGTTTTGCAGCCACTCCTGCAAGAATCATTATTTGATTCTTTTTTCGGCAAATAACTTCATGCTCACAGTGCAGTTAATTCTGGCGGAATCCCACACTAGCATACCTCTTTGGCTGCCTCGCAAAAAAATCAGAGTAATAAATTGACACATTTTCTCATTGCTTGCCTGTGAAGGGAATGTACTGTATCGCTGAGGTACCCTTTTAATCAATGGTAGTTTGAGACCTTTGACCCATAAACCCTGCAGATTCATCCATAGTAATCATGTTCGAAGAGTTAGAAGAATAGAAGTCATGCTTTCAACAAAACACTTGAATGCAAGTACACACTTAATCACTTCAGAATCTTTCAGTTTGCTTAATGTTGTCAATCTTAGTTCATAGTGCTGAAGGAAGCCATCCACTGAGTGTTGTGATCCATTGAATTTGTCTAGCTGTGGTGCCATTGCAAGGGCGCAATCTTGAAAATTGGCCCTGCGATCTGGATACTCTCTTCTGTCTGCAATCTATTCACAAATGGTACATTCCAATTCCGGAAATAATAGTTGCAGACCTGATCCACACTTACGCTTCGTGGCATTTCCCTCGTTGACTTGTCGACTGAGGTTATTATACTCTAATTGCTTTTTCGGACCATTGGTAAATCCAACTCTACTTCGTCGTAGATTCCTTTACGTTGCAGAAAGCTGTAAGATTTTTATACTTGGAGTCTTCCACAGTTCTTTTCTTGTAATTTTTTATTTTGCATATCGAATACTGAAGTTTCTAATTTGTCCCAACCGTATCTTGTTGTTTCAAATGAGTATGCATGTTGCATCTGCAGTTAGTCATTTGACAATAAGGGGCCTCTCTAGCTAACTATCTTAACTATGGCTTACTTTTTTTAATAAGGTCTTATTTTCAAGTAAACACAGTAGTAGTATCCCAAAGTAAGGGGAATGCTGGCTTGGTTGACTATGATTGACATACTAATCTAAATTAAAAGAGTATTTGTACTAATGCTGTATTAGAATGAAATGCTATATAATGCATGCAATATATCATATTTGATTTTTTATTTTTTTATGTAGCCACATGCTCGTAATAAAAGTGGTTCTCGCTCTCGACAAAGGCTTCCTCCAAGATTTGCAAAACAGAGAGAAAATCTTGTAAAGTCTGCTTCTGCAGCACAAGGAATAACTTGGGATGTGAATACGGACATGTCATCAAAGACATCCACTGCTAATACAAAAGGTTTGCATGCTACTTGTTATTTTACTGAACTAGTATCATATTAAATTACAGATGTAGAATGATAAGTTACAACATCAATTTACTAAATGAAATTTATCCTGCTAAGTGAGTAGATGTTATATATGTGTCTAGTCGACAATTAACTTGGGCAGTGTCCACAGTTGTTTGTGGTTAATCTTTAAAAAATACGGTAAAGAAAAATACCTAATTCAGTTAGTGGAAAAAAATTGAGTTACCTGTATTTTCAAGTAATTTAATCTGAAAAAATATATTCACTTTATTGGTATATAAATTAAAATTGCTTTCGCCATTCCTGTGCCCCCCCCCTAAATAAGAGAGCCATGTGGAACAGAGAATGTATGACTGTTAAGGTTGAACAGTTTACTTTTAACAGATATATTCTGTATTGTGACTGTTGTGGAAAATCTCATCTGTTAACCATCTATTTTTCTTTCTTTTTTTAAAATTTTGTAAACAGTTGTTACATTAATGGTTTTGTTTAGTAATTTTTTCCATTTTTAATATGATAAACAACCTTTCCCTCCTCCTCTCTGAAAAATTGGAATCAGGCATTCATCATAATATGCGTTTAGTCTCATATTAACACAGAAATCACAATCAGATATTTTAAAATGTTCAGTACTAGTAATTTTTTTCTAGTCTGCCTTCTTTTCCAATCAACCTCTTCGTGTTCTGGAAAGAACTTTGAAATTTATTATGTACTAATCCCTTAATTTCTACCTTCTGTCTCATTAGTCTTTCTTTCTTAAGTTTTAATTTAATTTTTTGCATTTACAAGGTGTGTCCCATATGTATTCATCAGAATATTTTTTTTTAGTGTTTATAGATCACATCGGTACAGTCCCTTAAAAACCCTTAAAGGTATGTTGCTCTTGCGTCAATACGTTTTTGACAGTGGTACTTCCATGCATTGTGTGCCTTCTGAAAATATGAAGTTTTGGAGAACAAAATACATACAAACAAAGTCCGAAATTCGTCGATTCTGCATTTGGCGTTTTTCCAGATATTAGATCATCAGTTTAAACCTAGTAAGATGGCATGTAGAAATTATAAAATTAAAAATATGAAATCGTAATTTATGAAATAATGAATTATTTATGATCTACAGAGTATCAAAATTTACAAAAAAAAGTTTAATTTTTATTTGTTTACCTTATTAAATATTTCTCTCAATTTAAGTTGCTTCGTTTTTGTGCTAATACTTTCTTTTTAATTCTGTTAGACAGCCATAATCTCTTGTTCAGTTACATTGGTGAAGTCCTGTAACTGCTGTTTCAAGAATTCCGACTAGTCAGTCGAAAGTTTCTCATTTTCAGGAACTTCTCTGTCACTTTCTTCACTATCGGTAGCAATATTTTCTGGATTTAGAACCATACTACAAATTTTGCCATTCATTCATTCATTACTTGCTTGATGATTGAGAAGCATTGTCATCACAATGAAAAACTTCTTTTATATAACCTTCATTTATTACCGCTTCTCCAAATTTCTTTACAAAATCCGTTGATTGGAAAATTTCGCCCTTGGTTTTGCGATATCCAAAAACCTTTAAAATTGGAGGCTATCATCATCAAATTTAGCCATTTTTAAGCATACATATTTTGCTATGCATCATGAGTTGTTCCATTAAATTTTATCATGCTTCTATCGCCAATTAAGCCTGAATTGTATTAGTTTAGTTATTTATTATACTTATGCCTATTTCTTGTACATGCTTAAGGCTTATCAGGGTTCTGAATAAATCAATTCCCACATATACTTAAGCCTTATTGAGGGCTGGAGCTAGGTATCTTTCCGCCTGATGCAGTCAGTCTCTGTGGTTCTAAATTCTGCAACTCGGTAATGCCATATGAGCCCGTCGCTGGTCATACGAGCTGGTTTTATGTGAATAACAAATCAGTTATTCTTAATTCAAAATAGCCCTTATTAGCAAAATCTTTTTTTAGCATATGGAAAGAAATTTTTGGTAAATATTTCCTCATCAACATTTTTAGTGCATTTAACTTAAATCTCTAATTATCGCCAAGAGTAATGTCAACATAAAAGGTTACCATACTCTTTTAATATTCATTTACTAACATAAAAAAAAAGTTTAGGCACTGGTATATAAATCATTATTCAAGTTGTCATGTTTTGATGAACATGCAGTGATGAAAGGAAAGTATAATAAAAATAATGATTCGCCAGATTGCCATCAGATCAACGATGTATCTATGTGGAATGTTTCAGTTTGAGATGGGTGCCGAGCAGATATGCAGCAACAGAGCCAAATTACTCATTGTGCAAATTTATGCTAAAATGATTGTTTCTTCAAGAACAAGGTATTTAATATAGTGTTGAAGTGAAATTAAGAATTGGTACTCTCCAGATGTTTTATTACACGAATGTGTAAAGCCTACCAGAAAAACTTTGGTGGTTTTGAGGTCCGGATTTTAGATCATTCTGGATGATGGACGTCCGAATTTCGGACTTTTTCCTGTATGTGTATTAAAAAATTAATCAATAAAAAAATAGTTAAATAATGAAACTAAAATAAAATTAATAACTATTCCAAGAAATAAGGCTTTTTTCATTCAATAGTTGTGTTGTAGAGTAGAAAATGAGTACCATAGTGACATTTTACATAAAAAAAAATTCTGTATTTTAAACTAAGGTATGCAATATCTTGAGCAAGGATATTTTAAGGTAAAAAAACATGCCGAGAAAATTTGCAAAAATAATTTGTTTTGTTTGAAGTTTAAATTAAGGATATTTTGTTTTAGTGCACAATTTCATCTAAAGAGCTTGAATTAATTTTATCCGTCATTTGTTGCGTCAGATTATATCATCCAAACAGCTTGCTAAAAGTCATTTTATGTATCATGAAATTTTCCTTTTATCTCCCAACAGCATGTGTTAGTGCAGAGTCAGCCATTTAAAAACAATGCCTTCATTAATATTTTGATACTCATGTATGATGTTAATATGTATTACATTTTTCTGATGCAGAGTTCATTCTCATCTATGCGTTTTATATAATGCCTTCTTTTTTTTTAAGCAGCCACTTTTAAAAAATGAGAAACTGTAATGTACCAAATACTTTGCCTCCCAATAAATAATTTCATTTGATGACCGTTTCAGTTGTTTTACCAAGTTTGCAAAATTCCATGCTTTTGGGGGAAGTGGTGGAGCATTTTCAGTTGAGATTGTAATTTAAGCATAGTTAACACTTTGCTGGAGATAATATAGTAAGTGGTGCAACAGAATAGACAATATTGTAGCAAAGAAATTGCTGCTTATTTTCTCCTTCATAGAAAATTAAAAATAGTCATAATTTTAGAAGAGTGGGAAAGGAAAGAATAGCATATGATCGTACAGAAAATCACTCATATTGCATGTTTATAAATATCACTAAAAATACTGTTTCTTTTCCTGTTCATTATAAATGAAGCCGCTTTAGTGAGAAAGTACCTTTAGGTGTAAAAATTAGCTGTTTCACTGTAGCACTTTGTGTTGATAATTCAGCAATTATTACTGCCTTAGGAAGTACATGAAATTTATGTATGTTAAGAACAAGTAGAAATATATTTTGGTTTTCTTTTTTCCTATTTTGGTTTCCTAAAGGGCCATTCACAGTGTCAGCTACTGGCATTCACATAGTCAGCTACTGGCTAAAGTAGTCACACTGGGCTAACATAGTCTGTTCCATGTGTCGAATAGCTCTGCTATGCCTGCAGTTCAGACTTTTGAACTTGCTACTGTATAGGCTGTCAGTTATCTCCATTTGCTCAGATAAATGCTAGTTTGAACGACGTTTAACCCTTTAAGGAGACCAGCGCCGGGAAAATGAAGCGCATTCACGGGACCGCACCCACTGGAATGGATAGTCACCTTTTGAAGGCAAAATACTAAAATCGTAACTAACAGAAATAAATACTATAAACATGAAGAAAATTTACAAATACAAAATAAAAAAAAGAAAGAAAGAAAAAAAGAAAACAAGAATTACCTGTAGGTAATTAAATTCTAATTTAAAAATTCTACTGTGTATGAATAATTGAAAACAAGCGTCGACACACAGTCCTACATTGCATATTTCACACTCAAAATATGTTTGCTTTCGCTTTTCCTTGATTTTAGCGCACATTTTGCATCTTCTCCTACCTTTAGTACCTTTTCCGTCAACGTAAATTTTCAGAAACTTGTCTTCCAGTTAGGCAGAAAGGTGGAGCGTCAGGTGATTTTGGACAAATATTTAAGTTTTTAAGTAAGGTCTCTTAACCATGGCTAACAGAATGAAACTGAATATAATCCCAGCACTTGTCCCAAAACTTATTCAAAAGACATTCAGAAATATTTCATCCTCACACCCTGTGTGACATCGGGGTTTATATTAGAGAACTTCCTGTTTTTTTTTTAAAATCAAAAACAGCTTCCACGATGACCGGGAAGTGATCAAGAAAAGACAACCACTGGCGGGATATGTGTTACTGATCATGCCAATATATACATTATATGTAAAGTTAATACATTATATACCAATATATAATGCCTGTGGCATTACATATAATGACCATTCAAGGCATTATGTATAATGACCTATTAAATCGACTAAGAAAAACAAAAATGGCTCTTTCCTGAGAAATGTGAGCAAGGTGCATTACATGTCGACAAAGCTGAAAGTCTTTCCCCTTCTTTAATAATGTTTTAAGATTACTTTTTAATTAACCAAGAAAGCTTATATTAAGTTTCAAAAATAAATAGAAAAACAAAAAGAAAAGAAAAAAGAAAATCCCAACGAAATAAACAAAAACGCCAGTTGTTCTTTAATTCACAGGTGCACTTATAAAGAGCCACAATTTTCCAGTTTGTTTATTTCAATAAATCTCTCAAAACCAGAAGCACAAAACAGAAACTAATGTCAATATATGAAGGTCAAATGCCGTATGAATCAACCCATGTGAAAACAATTGCCACTCAACATTTACTGTCTTTCAAAACTTCAAATAAATTAATCCGTTTTAATGTTACGTAGGGCTCGTAGGAACCGAATCATTGCGTCGCGTATACATGTCGCTGGTCCTGAAGGAGTTAAAAATCATTGTGGAACAAGAAAAATAGCTAGTTAAAAAAAGGGGGATCTTCTCCCTCTCTCAGTAAGCGAATTCTACACATATATAATTGTGATGAAGTAATTCATAATGTTCTTGCATATACATTTGATTTTTGTTTTGAGTTTTCTCTATGTAAAAATTAATAAACCTGACTAAAAGAGTAATGTTTAATTTTTTATGAAAATTTCATGTATCTGAGAATAAATTTTGATATAAATGTTGAAATGTTTACTTTTAGATGCTTCACCAGCACCTCCACCATCTGTAAATGCATGGGAAAAACCAATAAATCATTCCTTACGATCTCAGTCTCCAATTGTCACTTCTATCACTCCTGCTTCTAGTAGTGCAAGTACAATTACTAGCTCTGGTACTTCAGTTGTGTCGTCAGATGTTCAAATTCTTGCAAGTACATCAAAATCAAGTAGTTTTGATCGAAGTGATCAGCATGATAGTGGTATTGATGTAAGTGATCAGCCTGCATCAGCTGCATCTTCCCAGCGTTCTTCACCAAGCAATGATTGTAAAATACTTACTCCGACGGGTTCTGGGAAGAGTAATGCTGGAGAAGTATCAGATTTGGTAAGGTTCTTTAATATATAAAGTGAAACTGCATTTTACAAATTTCAAATGCTTCTAAAATGAATGCTGTGTTACACAATGAAAATATTTACCTTGTTTCAAATGAGTCTTTAAAGCTGGGAAGATCCAGTGCTCCCTCCTCTCGACTCATCAGAAGCTCCTTATAGCAGCAAAGAATACTTTTTATTCAGCAGCAAAGAATACTTTTTATTCCTGTTCTGATTGTGGCTAATTATTGTTAATCTAAATCTGTATTTTTAAAACTTTTCCATTACGAAAAGGTTTAACCCAAACTTAAAAACTTCCATTTTGTTTTTTTTAATCTTAACTCTTTGAAGACCATAAGCTCCCAAATGGCCCCAAACAGCTGAAATTCCAATGTTTTCTTTTCTCCTCTAAGGTATGCTGTAGCAATAATCAGTGCAGTTTCCCCAAATGCATTTTATCAGTTTATTGCAGACAGCATGTCCTAAAAGGATTTATTTGTGGTTTGTAATTTATATTTGTTAGAATTAGAAAGGATGTCATTTGAAATCTTCACACTTCTTATTGCGTTAAAGGATGAAGATGGGAGGAAATTGCTGTGACTCTCAAAATATTTGGGGCGGCTTAATATTATAACATACTAGGGAAGGCTTTGGTTTTCAAAGAGATAAATACCAGATTCCTTACTTTCTGTGAGAATGTTTTTGCTGCACAAAACAGAAAATCTTTCAGCGTGAGTTTTTGGTCAATGGGATTCAAGACTTTTATGAAGTAATCTCAACATAATTTTAGAACTAAATTTTCTTCTCTTAACAGTAATTTCATTTGTTAAAGGAGTGTATTTGGTGAATAAGTTTCTAATCCGAGATTAAAAAGAAGCAGACTAAGTAAACCCTTAATTTATTGTAGTTTATGTAGATTTCCAGGGAAAAGTTTTAGAATTAAAATATTTTTATTGTATAATTTATGTATTTTATATTATAATTATTTATTACAAATTACATTTATTTGAACTTGCTATAAATTTAATTTAGTTGCATTCTGTGAATTTCCAAACATCTTCAATTAGTACAGTAGTGTATCCTTTATTATCAGTATGAAACAATTATCAGTCTGATTAGTAGAAAAGAAGTTATGTTTTTAGTAAACAGTTATAAGTAATTATCTCTGTATTAACTTGGAAGTCTGTTACTGGCCTGATTTTGGTGATCATGATGTACAGCAGGTAATGAAACCTTATCTTTTAGAAAGTTTTCTAGTGGGAAGTAGACTCGGCTAAAAAAATTTGCACAAGTCAGCAGGTACACTGGCTTTTAGTAAAGTTTTTAATGACTACATTTAAATTTGTAATAGAGGTTTTGTGTTAGATGCAGCAGATACATTGGCTTTTAGCTGAATGATGAAGTATTAAATTAGCAGAATATTTATCCTTTTGATAATGGTAAAATTCAGGATATATGTATATATATCTATATGTATGGGAATCATATAAATAATATGCCATTTTTAGAACTAAGAAATGTATCTTGAGATATCGAAATATCTTCATTTAAACTTTTTTTTTTTTTTTAAATTTTTTATTTTGTGATAACACTTATTTTTCTACCAAGTGATAAAAAAACTGTTTTTATGCCATTACTTCTTACTGGTTTGTTTTCACATTAACTCCAGTAAACTTGTCAGCCATTTTCATGTTTGATACTCCATCTCATCAGATGCTTTCTTAAATCATTTAAAACATGTAAATTATATTGAGTTTCAACTGTTCTTCAGGTGACTGAAATTGACACATGCACACCCATGTGTACTGTGGTATTTGAAAATAAGAATTTCAAAGCTGAAAATGCTGTTCTTGATAAATTTGGTGGCCAAACTAAAAGTCAGTCAGTTAAGGTAAGTACGTGGAATATAATTAAATTGAGAATTGTTAAGAGGAAAGAATTGTAAATTCACACGGCACATTTTTGTTAGTTCACATTATAGCCATAAAATATTTTTTAAAATTTTTGTTTATTTTAATTCAGAAATACAGAGAAAGACTCCTGTTTAAGATTTTCATTTTGTTTTAAATTATACTTTTGATATTTACAAGAATTTTATTCATGCCATAGAAGTTTTGGCACAAAAGCAGTTGTTTATAAAATTCAGCACAGTATAATAAAGTAAAAATGTTTTGCCATCTTCTCTTGATTTTTTAATTATCTTTCTAATTTTATAGGATATAACTAATACAAACTCTGAAAATATGGCTTCCGTTGGAGGTAATTTGTCAAAATCAAAAGAAGCATCTCCAGATCCTGATGAAAAATCTCGCCTATCTGTACCCTTTCCAGCAAAAGAATCATTTGCAAAGGTATTAGGTTCTGTTGCAAATAGTGTTTTCAAATAATGCTGTTCTTTATAGTGAAATAATGTATTTTATTTTTACTTATAATGGTACATTTTTTGAAGAGTTTTCCAGATGTAAAAAAAAAATTATTTATTTAAAAAAAACTTGTTTGTCCTATGATATATATGCATGTTAAACCTTTCACTTTCAATTACCAAGATACTTGAGAAAAAATAAAGCCATAAATTTTGGTATCTCGTGACAGCAGGGTTATTCTTAGGCACATTTTGACTATCAGAATAATTTTTTAACATTAAAAAAGTTCTTGTGTAATGTCTTCTAAAAGAAAATTTAGCTTTAGTTGAGGGCCGTAAAAGTTCTGATGCATTATAGATAATTTGTTTGATAGATATTTTTATTAGTAATGTTTTATTTTCTATAGTAGAACATTCAAAGCAACTAGTTGTTAAAAATAAGACAATAAAAATTACGTAACACCTTTGTTTTCGGCTATGTGAGGTAATGATAGTTAATATTTTGTTATAGAAATAGATTGTACCCATATGCTGACTTACTTATCATAAGAAATATGATTTAAACAGGGTTGCCACGCTACCTGGAAAACCGGAAAAAGTCAGGGAATTCGGAAATTGACCAAAAATTCAGGGAAAAGTCGGGGAATTTAAGTGTTTTAGTCAAAATCTGGAAAAGTCAGGGAATTTCATACAACAATCCCGCCAAAAAAGGCGAGTTTTGCGCCAACATCAGAAGAGCACTTTTTTGGCGAATTGTGTATCACGTGAGTGTCATTCGGGTAGCTGGCATAGAGCCAATTTTTTCAGCTCCAATTTGATTGTCCTTTAGAAAAGCAAAGCAAGTTTTCAGCAACTTTTGGTTTCCAGTAAACCTCGAGAATCGCATGTGCAGTGCATGAACTAAAGAAAGTACCTGTTCTTATACAAAACAAAATGGGTTTAATCCTAGTATACGGTACCATGAAAGTTAGAATAAAAAAATATGTATTGTAAAGAAGGAAAACCTCTCTGCAGCAGACGTGGCTCCATTCCATCATAGAGGGAAACAGCTGTGCATGCGCGATATATCTGTCGCCAAAGCTCGAAACCGGTGTCAAAGTTCGAAGGTCACATTATCAAGAGTTCATAAAATGAATATAATTTAAAATTTCTTTAAACTCTAAAGGAAAAGAAAATATTTTTTCGCGCAAGTAAATTAATTCATGGATTAGTTATTTTGAGAGGGGGAAAACTACGAAAATCCGTTTTTAAAATTATTGCGAAAAATCCAAGAAAAAACGTTCTTTGATAAAACGTTTCTTGGATTTTTCGAAATAATTTAAAACCGGATTTTCGTAGTTTTCTTTTTTGGCAAAGAAAGTTTCTTCTTAACACGTGTTTCTCAATTTCCTGTACACATCGCAGAGAGGGAAATTCTGGCCGCCAGGTTCCGTCGCCGATTTCCTTGGCAAATTTTCCCTCCGCTTTCTAGCGGCGTAATAGCATTTACATATATGGAACCTTTTCTTCTTTACATAGACGTTCTTTGGTTAGAATAATCTCCATGTATGGTACAGCGGGATTTGGCGACATGGTTATGAGCAGTAAACGGGTCATTTTGTTCTTGGCGACAATTTTCAAAATCATGCGAATACTAGGATTTTACCGCAAAATCTTTTTTTGTTTCTTTTCTTTTATACTAATAAATAAATACCTTGTCATTTTGCAGTAAAATAAAAAAATAGTAATCAGTCATTTAGGCTAACTATATTCGCTAAAATATCTTTGATTATTCTAATTCAGTTTTTTAGTAATTATCTTTATTTTTATGTTATTCATATCATTTAATGTTGCTTCTTACCTCTAAATTTATTTATTATTAGTAAATAATATTTCCAAATTTCAGGAAATTTTCTCTGGCATAATCCTGAAATTAATTCTAGCAGTATGATGACATCAAAAAATTTAATGCACATATTTTTTCCTTATGTATGCTGCGAAATAAATACAAAATACCTAAATTTAGTAAAAAAATATCATTAAATAGGTTTCTTTCTTTCATTTAGCTGCAGAATGTCTGCAAAAAAAGCCTTATTTTATTCTAGATTGGGCAGATTCTAATCTCAATCTTCAGTGGAGAAAACAACTTCTATTATAATTATATTTGTGTTTTCAAGTGTTAAGGTGCCTTTTAAGAATACATCTCACACAAATTAAATTTACCTAAAATCTAACCTAACTTTTAGCATTGCGTTGTGATTTATAAGAACTGGATTAGCCTTATGTTGAACTGGTGATGATCATGAGTAATAATTAAATAAAACGTACAATTGTTATCCAATGTATATATCTTAAATTAAGTTTTGTAAGTGGAAAAGTAAACAAAATGATCAAACAAAGTGTACCAAGAATAATTAAGAATAAATGTCCTCTGGGATTTATTGAATAATTAAGTGAATTTGCTACACAGTACAAGTAATACCATAATTAATTTACCTCTTAGCACAGCCAACGTACATTACGCAGATGGACTGGAATTTTCTCGAAACATACCTGGAAAAGTCAGGGAATTTCATTCTCCTGTTTGAGTGGCAACCCAGTTTAAAGGACATAATAAAAGATTATTATATGTACCACATTGATTACTAAGCATTTAAGCATAGAATATTACTACCACGCATGATCAGCACTGAGGTAAAACTACTTCTGCAGGGCAGCATTATGCGCTGGCGCGTGGCATTAAGTGAATCAAAATAAGTAACAATATACATTATTTTGGTGTAAAACTATATCAATTTACTACAAGATAGGTATATTATTGCAAACTATATATTTCAGAATGTTGTTCGTGTATGATATTTGCATGAAAGGAAACTTCGTTTCCATTCCAGACCACATACATTTACAATTAATTCACTCATAATAACTTTCACTCCATGCCAATACCAGCACATATATCCAAAACATAATGTCAGTTGAATGCCTTTTCTGAGTTTTGCATGTGCCATTTCTAGATTTTGTTGCTGGATGTCTCACTACATTCTGAAAACATTCACATCGTCTCTAACCAGCTTGTGAATGTTCGTATTACTAACGAAATAAAATTAGCAGCTTTTTATGTACATTCCAAATGCATTTAAATTGCAGAAATCTTTAATTAAGTCAAAAAATTCTAAAGTGGAGAGGAATGTGTTGAAGAAAGAAACTGATTGAACAAAAAGAAAGATAATTATTCTTCAAAAATATGTACACTTAATATTATGTGTAAATTAATTAGTTGTTTATAATTTGAGCCTTTAGTATAACTTGCCTTTTCCATTTTCTTACCAGAATGCAAAGCAGTTATATAGTTTTTAAACTGAGGTTTTTGGGTTGCAAGACAGGGTGTGTTTCTGGCTTCCTCTTGCGTTCTGCATTAGTTCCTCTAATAATTTGTATTATTCATCTTTGTGTTATTAACATTAGGATTTGTTATGATGATATAGTTACTGAGTCAGCTTAGATTAAAAATAAATTATGCAGTCTTTGAATACTAATCCAGATTCTTAGCTTGAATTTGCCTGTTCCTGTTTAATTACATCACCACGAGCTGTTGTTGACTTGTTTTTATGTGCTAAGTCCAACTACTATAAATGCAAAATATTTAATGCTAGTTGATAAATTTTATGAATTTGAGTTTATTCTAAAATTTTCTTTATAATTATGATTTATTAAATTTAAACATGCATCCATCTTGCGGATCTATTTTATTCTTAGAATAGTATGAAAAATTTAAAGTTCAGCATAGGTAATATCTTTAATTGAATTTATTCTGTTTCCATTTGTTGATACGTCCATCAATTTTTTCATTAATGATTCTTAATGGTACTTAATTTCCATGTGCAGAAATATCTACCAACCCTGTTTGGAAAATATGTGTATAACATTAATATTTACGCTGGTGAGTGATTCTTCACTGTAGTTTTCAGAAATTTTTAGATAGTCATTATGTATTTCTATTTCTAGCAGTTTGGCTTTTTGGAAAAAAAAAAAAAAAAAAAAATTGTACAATTTAAGATTATGTATTTTTTGCAAGTTTCTTCAATGTGGTAATAATTTTTAAAAAAGCATTTATTCAAAAATTGAAGTGTTATTGCCTCATTCACTTCTGGGTAATGAATCATTTGCAATTATCTGTCAGAATCTTGTAAAAGCTAGTTTTACTTTATACATAAATATGCAGTTACACTTCAATCACTGAGCCAGACCATTTATTGGCTTGACATGTAATCAACAGGCTGTTGATTGTAGCATATATGTCACAGTAGTATCTGGTTATTTTATTTAGATTTAAAATGAAATTTCTTTTGTGTAGAATGAGGAAGGAACAGAGATGAAACTGGATTTTAATTTTCAGTCTGGATTGGAGCAACTTACAGATGAGAAAGCCTCTAGAAATTCAAATGGCAATTCTCACCTGCCTAATAAAACAATGAATATTGGGCGATCTATGGAAGTATCAGCTGGAACACCAGTTGGAGTGCAGTCTCCAATTTCACCTTCTGCTGATGATTTGAATTTAAAAATACAGTCTGTTAAAAAAGTAAGTTTCATGTTTTTGGAATAAATATTAGTGCAATATATGTGAAAAATATTTTACTTGAATATTTAAAAAAAATTTCCCTTGATATTTTTTTAATTTTACATCCAAGCATTATTTAGTTTTTACCATTTCAGTTTAATAATGTGTAGATTGCTAAGTAGAAATAATATTTAAAAGAAAAAAATGTGATAGAAACAAAAATTGTTTCAAAAGTTTTGCATAAATTTTTAGAAAATTGTCATATATCATTTTTACACACAGCAAGTTCATACAGGACAAAATGCAAGATCCGGAATGGTCAAGACTTCTGTGTTTATGGGTTTCCGAAGTTTTCAGATTTTAGATCATCAATCTGATAAGATGGCAGATAGGCATGACAACATTGGGGCTTTACTTATTTGTTTTTCTTATAGAAAAATATTAACTTCCCTCACAAGGCCAGTGTGGCTGCATGGGTGTCAGAATTTAGAAGACCAGTAAGCCAAAAAAAAAAAAAAAAAATTATAGCTGGCAACAGATTTTTAACCCTCTAAGCGTCAAAGCCGTATATATACAGCTTAGATTATTTTTTGTGATATCTGTAAGAACGTGTATATACGTGCATATTAAAATATGTCGAAGAAGTCAAGGCAATATAATATATCAAAAGCACACAAATCCAGGTATGTATTTTCAGGAGAGTTTACATTCAAATCAAAAAAATAATTTGTACTCATTTTTTTGTTTTCATGTTTTGGGAAATTTGTGGTTTCTTAGCGAAAACCCTGGCCACTCAGAGTTAATTTGGGTATATAACGGGCAGCAGAACTTAAAGTTTACTTGTACCAAAATACATAGTGTCTGCCCTGAAAAGTGTGGTCTTAGCTAACATTAAGACAGAGTTAATCATCGTGATCTTATAGACCATGGTGCAACTGCCTAGCCAGCATGTGTTTGAAAGTGACGTGCAGAAACCTCGCTTAGTCAGGAGAAAAATTGCGTATGCAGCATACATTTTTTCCTTTTGTTGAGTATTTCATTGTCCATTCAGACTTTTTGGGGGGGGAACTTCTTTATTTTTCTGGGCTGGTGGTCCGATTTCTGACTTTGTATGATTTAATATTATGGTGCATTTTTAATCTTTTTTATAATTTTTTTTTCTAAAAATTTAGAATTTCATGGGCTGTGGTTATTAAAATCATGTATTACATGTACCATTAAATACCGTAAATGATATTTGATGCGTTTTACTGGTGGAAGAAAAAGAAATTCTATTTAACTCTTCCAGTTTCTGTAGTGCAAAATTAAAACATGATGCTGAAAAAAATCTGAAAGGTTTAAGACTTTAAATTACTTCCAAAGGGCATTTTTTTTAACGTTTTGGTGTGACTTGCATTAAATATCATGTTCCTTAAAATTCAGTTCAACAGCAATATCGCAAAATAATTTTAAAATGAGCATATCTTTAGGATTTTCGCTACAGTCTCGCTGGAGATAATAAATCAATAAATAAATTTTTGTAAACAACGTTGCCATTGTTCGCTCTGAAATCCCTGAGTTCGTTAATCAAAAATTTGTTTAAGTTTTACAAAGTATGAAATCGATAAAACAAATTTCAAATTAGTGCTACCAGATGCCCATATTAGGTTGAAAGATTGTTATTCTAAATTTAATGGCTCTAGGTACCGTTGTTTTATCAAAATGCAAGAAGCATACATTTATGCAGATTCTTCATTATTTAATTTCTTTAAATATAATACAGGGCGATAATATTTAGTGGCAACAATTTGAAAAGTGAATCAACACAAAATGCCAATACGCAATTAATAGTCCTTCTGGGCAAATGTCCTCTTTTGACTAAATTTAAGGGGGGACGTATAAACACATCTATAACATTTCGTGAATTGTCAAGCAAATATATGTGTATTTAATTTACATGTCTTCTGTTTAGAGGTGTTAAATTCAAAAATGCAAAATTACAATCCATTTTTAATAATTAATGAAATGTTATCTATATTTTTTCTTTAACATAGATGTATGTGTAAACAAATTCAGTTTTCTGCCATATGTATATATATATATATATATAAATTTTGTGATCATGTAAGAAATAACTTGGGCAAAGAACGGATTTTGTTGTTCACTTTGGGTCAAAGAAACATTAGTAATGAGTAAAATTTTTTCATTATGATGTGTGAGGCATGAATACTTTATTGTTATTTTAAGAGTTGTTTTGTTCAAAATGCAGTATGTTTTGAAGCCTTAAATGGTCAAAATAAAGCTCAGAATAAATGTCTTATCTGCATTTGCCATTTCTAACAAGTTAAAGCTTGGAAGAATAAAAGCAGTGACCCCTCCCCCCCACCAAACAGGCAAGCTTTTCTATTGGTGAAATCCATGCCTCGAGACAAAATCGGCCAAGATTGTTGTAAAAAGGAAATATGCAGCAAGCATTGGATACCAATTTATTTCTTTGTAAATTTGGCATACATTCCTGCTTGTGCAAAAGTTCCTCTCTTAATGATGACAGATGGACTAAATAAATATCATAAAGCAAGCTCATTTTATCGTTTTATCGTATCAGTTTTTTGCTGATAGTTGTAATGGCTTGAAAATCCTATTGCAGAAGTATTTTAATATTGCATTTGGTTGAGGGAGTATATATGTATGTGAATGCATTAATATTACAGGAATCTGCTGAAAGAATTCTGTACACAGTTTTCAGTATTAAAAAAAATCCAACATCATCTTTGATGCACACTACTATTTTTCCTTCGAAGAACTAAAAGTAGAGGTCCTAATTTTGATTTATTTTATAGGTGTGGGAAAATGACCCTCCTCTCCCAACAGTGATGGAACATCCACAAACAGCATCTGAAGAAAATACTTGTCCTACATCATATGGATCATTTTCAAGTGGTTCAGATCCATCTGCTGGTGTATATAATACTTCTGTTGATACAAGTTCTCAGACAAGAAAAGATGCAGTCGAATCTGCAGAGATTTCATTCAGGTAAATTTTTCAGCATAACATTTTTATGGATCATTGTACAAAATAATCATCTGTTTTTAATTTAATAAAAGAAATAAATGTGGATACCTAAAATAACAAATAGTTTGAAATTAGGGTTTTTTTTTAATTTTAAATAAGGACTTAATTTCTAAATAGATTTTTAGAAAACTAAGATAATTTTGCTTCACTTTCAGTAGAAAGCACAGTACATTTAAGGTAATATGCAGAAACTGGTAGACCTACTGTCAGAGACATCTGCTGCACATTAATGAAGTAGCAATTATACCTATTACTAATGATTTTTAATCCTGTGGAAAAGGGGCGACTGGATAGTAAGTTATTATTTTGCTGGAGCAAATGTGGGATGTGCAAGAGTATTGTACTACATTTGGTACATTGAGAAAAAGATATTAGCTAAGTGGCTTTTTAAAGGTATGTTTTTAAGGCATGGCCATACACGTGGGCAAAGTGCTTTTTCTCCTCTCCCGTTTTATATATCTGTATGTGTGCAAGGCAAAAAGGATAACGCTTGTGAATTAATCCAGTAGTAGTATCTGAACTTCAAATTATTTGTTAATGAGATTATAATTTTTTTCTTTGCAAATGGTGACTGATGCTAACCGATAGTGTTGTGGAAATATTGATTAATATTTTATGTACTGGCTTATGGAACTTGGCTTTTTGTTTGTAATTTCTCATCTGGTACAATGAAATTGCAGTTATTTCCCCCCTTGTTTTTGCATTCATATTCCTCTTTAAATTCTTTAATTAATTGCTAATGTCAGTGGTGAAAGTGTGCTGTTATATGTAACAGCTGATGGGTATAGTTTTTTCACATATTTATCTGTTTTCATATAATCATCATGCTGTGATTAAAAAATTCTCAAAACTTCTTATAGGCCACCACGGCCAAAAGGTAAAACCACTGAACATTGGTAGTTTGACCCAAGTTCCAATTCCTTTGAACATCTGACTGCATGGGAGTTCATAGTGCATAGCACCCTTCTCCTCAATTGTAATGTGAATATGAACTATTTTCCGTAAGAAGTTTTCCTTCTAGCCTTTGAATGCTTTGTCATTATGTAAATAATCCTATTGCATTTGAGATGTTGTAGAATAGTCATTGGGACATGTTGAATAGTTTTGTCTGAAAATGTTGATTCCCTATGACCATCTTGATTTTAGAAGAATAGTTAAATCTGAGGGTGAGAAATTTAGCAAATAATGTGGTTGTTAAGGAAAATACACGTCAAAGTTCCATAGATCATTGGTTATTTAATACTCTAACATTGTTATACAGTCAAAAGTCTTTAATCCGGACTCGTCAGGACTTCGGCGATTCCGGATTATAGATCATCAGTTTAAATCTGGTAAGATGGCATGCAAAAATTATACACTTCAAAATATGAAATCTTAATTTATGAAATAAAGAGCAGTTGTGTTCTAAAGGGTATCAGAATTTAACAAAAAAAAAAAAAAAAAAAAGCTTAATATTTGCTTTATTAAACATTTCTTTCAACATGCGCATGCATAAAGCATACATTGCGCATAGTCGAAATTAGAAAATTGCAACCAAAAAACTATTTTATGCGTGTTCGTGATATTTATAATGATGAGGAAATTTATTTAAATCATATCGGAGTACATCGAGATGAAACACTGCATTTAGTAAGGAATTGTAAACAGAATAAAATAAAAACAACTGCCCTGAAAATGAGGATAGTGCTGACAGATCAACTTCCAGTTCATTGTGCGTCGCAACCCCCCCCCCAAAGTCCGCAGCAGAGCAGCATGAAATCGATAAACAGATTTCGGAATGGTTAGAGAAGCAAATCACCTCTCTGTCACTTCATGCTTTTATCCATTTTTTGCAGCAATTCCACTTTTTGTTGGCAGCTGCAGAATCAAAAATTCTATTTGACATAATTGAAAGTTCAAGCTTACTTTTATAAAGTTTCCAATTCGAAGATTAAGGAACAACGCAATCTGTAATAACACAACTGAAATAGATAATTAGATAATTTTTAGCTTAACTTATACCATTGGTTATACGTTAAATGCACATGCGTAAAGGCATATGTGCATGTTCAGAAAGCTTTTGAGGTCCGGATGACTTTTGACTGTACTAATTTAAGGCAATAGTTTTCACAGGAACAAGTTAGGGACACATTGTCCAACTTAACTATTCACTAACAGTTTATGAATTAAACTTTATAAATTTAAAAATTATTTTTACTTATAATGAACTAACATGCATAACTTCTTGGGATTCTTGACAAAGCTGAAAAACAACAACATCTAACACATTGCCTCCCTTGAAACACCCAAGTGCAAATTTTAGTCAGTAGATGAAATTAACATTAAAAAAAGGGTTGTTAAAACAAAACATACAATACTGAAACAAGTGTTTCATTTATTAAAAAACGTCCATAAATTTGTAGATCAAAAAGGTCTCAGAGTTTGTATTAGTTCTCAACCAAAGTGTTGGTAATGAGCAAAGCTTTGCTATTTTTTCAGTTTTCCATTTTTAGTTTGTTAGACGTGCACTGTGTTGTGTTTAGGGTATGTTTTTATAATATAATCCTATTTCTACTACATAGGGGATAAATTTTTATACGTAATTATTTATTTTATTTTTTATATATTTTTTTCAAGTGATATCCATTCTATATTTTTTTGTGCCACTTAATGTTCTGAAAATCATTTTTTTCCAAATGTTGTATGATTCTACAGTCTATTAATGTTACCATGAAGGAGATTTTTTTCAGGCACCATGTCTGTGCCTTCTACTTTATTAAAGTGGTCAGGAGTAAGAACAGAGGTCTTTAGGATCATTTGAGAAAGCAGTTTGGAATTTTGGCATGTCTCGATCTGCATTAGTAGTTGCAAGTTTTTCATGCATAAGGCTCTGCTGTACATTTGAGACGAAATTTCAGGGATCTCACTTCAACATCCAACTATCAAAATGGAGGATTGAAGGCGGCTTAATTAACCATTGTATATTTTCATAAATTAGAAAATTAAAGGTTGTTTCATTTTACCAAAGCGTGGCAATTTTTTTACCAACCTTCTTGCATCACAAAAGTTTGTACTATAATCACTGTAGATTTCCTATGGCTTTGCTTGACGGGAAACAAATCTCCTTTGGCATTTTCCGTTAATGTAAGATCATTCACCAATTCCAGATGAACTACCTTTGTTGCAAAGTATTCGAACATGCAAATGTTACATCTTGTAGTGCCTTTTCCTCTTCTCTTAAAATATTTATCTCTAAAAGGTCTAGAGAAATCAACACCTATACCCTAGAATACATTAGATTGAAGTCAGCCATAACTTGTTGCGAAGTTTGAAGGCAGTTGCTTCGTACACACAGTTTTTTTTACAATCCACTTATTCTTGCAGAAGCATATGACAACGGTGCATATTCTTCAGGAACAACAATTCAGACATGGATAATTTTTAGAAAGCAAAATTAGATGTTTCTGGTTCCCTAAAATGTGAGCATTTCTCAGTCTGCCTTCTACTCTCAGTAGGCAAGGAGTTTTGCTACTGATATGTACAGGCTTCTCTGATCTTGGACAGTATAATTCACTGGAAAAATTAACTACTAGAGCTGTTTAATGTTGCCTTCCCCCCCCCCAATATCATGCAGCTCTTTTGTAGGTAAGAAATCCATATATCTGTGCACAGGAGTTCTGGAAACTTCTTTTCCCCCTAAATCTCTTAATACCAAGAAAATGCACTTATCAGTCTTATTCAAGATGAATATCTGCTGAAGGTGCTGTCATCTTTAGTGACTCCAATTGCCGTTTTTTATGGATTTTCTTTGTTCCTTGTGGTTTTTTTTTTCCTTTGGCAGACTTAGGATGTTTAGAGATGATATGGGGGCTTACCTTTCCATGTACAAAGTCCAATCACACTTCAGGGATTCTTACTTAGACTTGGGCAATTCCATCAGCCACAGAAGTTTGCGATCTTCAAGTTCTGAGTTTATCCATGATAGTGCAACTCCAGAGTCAGTCCAATTGTGTATTCCTTTAATTGGAATCTCAATACTGAAAATCAATTTTCAGTAAGTTAGGAATTCTAATCTGGATAAAGATTGGATTTTTAGTTTTGCTGCTTGAGTTTTAGAAGTTAAAAATTTTTTCCCGTAATTTTGGAATAAGTGGATACTGATCAGACATAAGACTCCTCACAATGCACGTAATTCTGTAGTTGACTTAATGGGATCTGTGATTAATTGTGGAATTTTCATCATTCACAGCAAAGAAATTGCATTCTGTCTGTTCCATGAAGTGTAATTTTAAGAGAATCTTTCCTTCCATAGTTGTTTTTCATAAAAACTACACAATGTACAAGTCAGCCTTAAGATCATAGATTTGTGCTATTTCAGTAAGAATAGTTCTTTTGTAACTGCCTCATCATTTGAAATGAAAATTGTAAAAACTATGTGTTGTGTTGTATTGTTGGATTTTTATTGCATTTTCTGTATGACCATTGTGTATTCAGCATTCATCAGTTCATTTGAAATATGTATTAACACATCTAAAACGTTCAATATTCACTTTCTTAACACAAATTTTTCTCTGTTCAACTTTCTATGATCATCTACTATCACCATATCAATTATGAGTTCATCGACGCAAAAATCTGTTTTTTGCACGATTTTTGAAACTGGGAAAATGGTCCTCATCAATAGCTAACTGTATAATATCTATAGTAAAACTAAATGATGCTATGGCATTCCATAAGTCACTTTTAATCTGTTATCTTTTAATGTATCATCTTTCCAAAAATTGTTTGATAATTCATATCTTCACTTTTTGAAGCATTTTCTCAATATTGGCAGAAATTGTGATTGGAAATATGCATAATCTAAGTAGAATATGGAATAGCTATTCTGCTGTTAGACCCAGCTTAAATACACCATCTGGTGTGAAATATCGCGAGGACTTCGTCGACACACCATAACTTTTTAATTTTGTTATTGCATTCAATTCTTTTATCCCTACATGGTGTAGCAGTTAGATATCTTTTGATGCATACTCTTGAATCTCCATAATTCTCTGTATATATTAGATCCATGTGTACTTCTGTATGAAGTCCAGTCTAGGGTGATGCGAATAGCTTTCTCTTTAAAGTCTGGTATCTCTCATTGCTTGTTGTTTTGGTTCTCTCTACTTTTCACGTGATTTCTTAGATGGCAGTCGTATCTCCTGTATATCTCGGATGCGTATTTAAGAAAAAGTTCATTTGCTTTTCTTTCTTGGATAAATATGTCTTCAGATTTGCCAGGTTTTTTTAAATTTTGTCAGTGATATCTTGAGTAATTTCACTGTCTGCAATAAATTCATCCTTCTTTACAGCTTGCAACAGTCAAATCAAAATTGCTTTAATTCTTCAGATATTTGATTGGTTTTATTTTTATTTATTTTTTTTTGAGACCTCTAACCAATATTTCATTGCTTTGTGCCATGTTAAGATACCTTTAACCACACGTTTATGTAAATGTAATTGCTTCATAATAAAGTAAATAAATAAAACAGATTTACTAATTAGGTTATAATACTCCTAGTAGTAGTTTCACTGACATGTTATCCACAGCACACAAATTCCAAGAGATAACAGTTATTCAGTTTATTAGTACCACTGAATCTCCTCTCTACCGGACCGCAAATAAATATGGAAAAAACACGTCACAGAAGTATCCACATAAGGCCCTCGTGATTTGATATTTGTTACACTAATTTAAGGAATTTAATTTTAACAATAACAAGTGAGGACACGCTGTTCACCTATGCTATATGGTCAGAGAATTGCAGAATTACACAAAGAATATTTAGTTCTCATACGAGGGTTGGAACTTTAATAGTGGCAACAATGCTGAAAAAACGCTATGCAACAAAACCAAAGAATATCGCGTATACCACAAGTGAACTACATACCTACCTTACCTCTCAGCAAAAAGACTCGTCCTGCCTATGTCACACGCATGCGGAGTGACGCGAAGAACAGGTCCTTGTATTAGCTCGCGGTCTAAAGTAAGTGTTGTCAGGATGTTTTCAAAACAGAACAACGAGTTAGATAAAATGATGTGCCAGAGGTTGTACAGCACAGAGTGTCATCAAGGGCTTCAAGAGGCTTGCGGGGAATCTGCATTGCCTTACAAAACCGTAGCAAGATGAGTGAAAGCATTCAGTGAAGGACGCCAAAACGTGGCAGACATGCTGCAGCCAGGTCGTCTGAGTGTTATCGATGCAGACGTGCAAGCTCTTGCCGCACTAATGGATAGTGATCGCCGCCAAACGATTCATCAGCTGGCCGGACAAACAGGATTAGCGCATACGACTATGCTGCACATTCTGGAACGCCTGTCCATGAGAAAAATTGCTTCACGATGGGTTCCACATCAATTGACGGAAATGCAGAAATGACTACGATACGATGCTGCCCGAACCCACCTGGAGCGCTATGAGCACAAAGGAGATGCTTTTTTACTCCGTATCATTACGCTGGATGAGACTTGGGCCCGATCGTACCGCCCAGAACTAAAACGCCAATCAAACGAATGGCGTCACCACGACGTTCGAAATTTCGTCAGAACCCCAGCAATGTGAAAGTTATGATGATTCTCGTGTACGACTGTGATGGTGTTATACTAACGCATACCATTCCCCCACAGCAGACCATCACTGCGCAGTGTTACTGGTCATTTTTGGAGCACAATCTCCGACCAGCTTTGAGAAAAAAAAACGGCGACACTTTCTGCAGAACGCTCCTCTCGTTTTGCATGACAATACTTGGCCGCATGCAGCACAAGCTGTGACTGATTTGTTCAAGCGATGGGGCTGGGAAGTGCTTTACCATCCACCGTACTCCCCAGATCTAAGCCCATGTGACTATGACTAGTTCCTAAGATGAAGGAACCAACTTCGTGCACTTGCTTTCCAAACTGTTCCTGAGTTCTTGCGGCAGTAGGCGGTCCATTCAACTATCAACAAAACAGGTGCTGCTAAGGTATCTGCGACTCCACATGGTTGGAAACGGCTGTACACAATGCTGGCGCTATATTGAGGACTGTAAACAGGTGACATGAATCACTTTTGTATTCCTTGTAAATAAAGTAGTTGCCACTATTAAAGTTCCAACCCTCGTATGTATAGGCACAGGCATGCTTATTCAGTAGCAAAATAATCGAGGAAAAACTAAGTTCACCTTACAGAAAACTTTGAAGGAAATACTTTTCGTCCCAAACATCTTTTGAAGTAAAAAATTAAATATAATTCTCTAAATTTTAATTTTTTTAATTGTAAGAAAATAATGCACGGGACATTTTAAGGTCATGCTTATTTAGTGTTAAATAAAGCTTGAAGGTAGACCAAGAAACCAAAGTCATGCTTATTTCATGATAAACTTGTAAGACATTTAGGTGCTAAAAACCTACAATGCATTGTGCTGAAAGTGCTTTGATTCTATTATTTTCTAATTTTATTTCAAGTTATGCTGTCCAAGATTTTAAATTGTTCTTTTATTTCTTCTGTAGAATATTATAATGCCTTCTTAACAGCCAAATTCAGCAACTTCAAATTTCATACATATATACCGTATTTACACGAATCTAATGCGCATCGTTTTTGGCCAAATGTAGTACTCAAAATTGGGGTGCGCATTAGATTCGAGTGCAAAGTTCGCCGATGACGTCAACAGAATTTAAATCGTAACAATGGATTTACGTATTCCGACTACATTTATCGTTGACACGTTATTGCATACTGCAGAGTACGTAGTCACGAAATGGAGGGCAAGCCGAGAAGAATGTCATATGACGCTACTTTCAAATAAAGTAATTCTTTATCCTGAAAGAAATGGCAATAGAAAGGCTGGGAGAGAGTTTAACGTAGCTGAGAGCAATGTTCGCTTGTGGCGCAACAGAAATTGGCACTGTTTGCAACAAAAAAAACTAGTAGAAAGAAATTCACTGGCCCTCGCAAAGGAAGACACCCTAAAATTGAAGGAAAAGTTTTGGAATTTGTACATGAAAGGAGGAAGAATGGACAACCTGTGCAGCGACACTATAAGAAATGAAGCAAAAGGAGGCTGAAGTCTTGGAATACCGAAACGAGAATTTTAAAGCTAGCCGTCGATGGGTGGATCGGTTTATGAAGCGGATGGGTTTATCTCTAAGACGCTGTACGACAATATGCCAAAAGCTTCCTGCAGATTTTGAGGGAAAACTACTAACATTTTAGCGGTATGTCATCACACTTCGGAAGGAAAAGAATTTTTCAATGGGGCAAATTGGCAATGCTGACGAGACGCCAATTTGGTTTGATATGCCTCGTAACTACACCATTACGGAGAAGGGGACTAAAAAAGTTATCATCAAAATAGTGAATAAAGAAGTTTACTATAAATCACTGATTGTAGAAACTGTTAGCTAGCTAGAAATGTTACGATTTATTTCATGTTCATACTTTACGATATGTACCGTATATACGGTAGTGGTAATTAACAATGATTGTTTCACATAACAAAAGCCTACTAATACGTTAATTCTATGTTCTGTTACTTTATGTATAAATCCATTGTTGTATAAAATATGGTATCTAAATTTAAATAAAATTATCATACCATTGATTGATAGTTTATATACAAATCCATTGTTGTATAAAATAAGATTTAATAAATTCCTCATACCATTGATGCACATTAGATTCGATGGCGCATTAGATTTGCATAAATACGGTAGTTTTTTGGTACTTATTTTTCTAACTTTTGCAAATACAATATTATTACAAGTTAAGTAAATTCATTCACAGATAATGTAAAATTATGCATACCAAAGTATATCTTTTTAATTGTTACAAATGTGTGGGAAAAGGTATGCTTACTGAGAACACTTTTCTTTTTAGGGAAAGTTCACCTTTGCAGCAATCATGTGCAAACTCAGGACTGCCAAAAAATATCGATCATAATGTTTCTTCTGTAAAGTCCCATATTCAGCTTGCACAACATAATGCTATGGCAGGACCTCATTGTGCTGGGCCTCTTAGTCCTCCCTTAATGGGTGGATTGGAAACTATGACTGGTATACGAACCATTGCAGGACTGGCTAGTTCAGTTCAAGTAGCTGGAATACCAGCAATTCCAAGTCCACCAACAGTACTCTTTAACTCTTCTCAGCCGGTAAGTAAAATTGGTTTGAAACTGAAATTTGTAGCATTTTGTATTTTATATTGTTATTTCAGTTCATTAAAACTATAATATATTTTCCTTTTTAGATGCCACAGACTGGTATGTATCAGCCTCTTCAAATGGATAGTCGTCAGACACCTGCTGCAGCTGTTGCAGCAGCAATGGTGCAGTTTTCACAATCACCTCATGGTTATGCTCCATTAGGCACATATGGTCTATCTCACCAACCACCTCCTAATCCTCAGTTGTCCAATGCATATGGTCAGCAATCACTCTTTGTCCAACCTCCTGCCACTCACCAGGGTCAAGATATATATTCATCAAATCAGTATCGGGTACAACCACCATATCCCCAAAGTCAGCATATTTCTTCTAATCAGGTAAATTAATTCATTTGTTGCATGCATTGTGCATGTAAAGCGTTTTCTCAACCTTGGATATATTATAGTGTTATAGTAGATATTAGAGTCCTGTCTCCTAGGTCGAGGTAACAGCTGAGTTTTTTTAATCTCCTCCCTCTCCAAGAACTATATGTAAAAACTTTAAAATTAAATTAGCCCAGTCACTGGGCAGATGGATTCGACTGCTGAGAACAGTATTGGGTTCATGCAGAGTTCTCTTCCCTTTACTAATTCAAATTGCTAGTGAATTTGACATATTTTCAATATTCATACCATCTCATGCTATATGTGATGCTATGAATATTGAATTTTCAGTCAATAAAACATAGGCTAATAGCATACTAGAGAAACATACTTGTAATCATAAATCATTTCTTAAAAAATTTCAAATGGTTTAAATTACAAAATGACAAAGGATAAGAAGCATATTAGACATTGTGTGTTATATGGGTTTGACAGAAGGAGCACTGCAGCTAAAGCAATATCCAATTGATTGCTGTTTTCGAAAGTCCAGAGATGTAAGCCAGAAGCTGTAAAGACAAATAGCATTCTGAATGATCATCATCATTGGTTTTTTTTTAGCAGATTCTGTAAGCTATATCAAGCACTGCATGCAACTGTTTGAATTAGAGAAAACTTTTTATTCGAAGCAACAGCTTAAAAATGAATGCACGTTCTTTACTTCATTACAAGGCGGGATCATTGTGTTCCACATTAACTTTTTGAAAAACAGTGGCGTGTCAGAACAAGTACCTGTGTTTTTTCTGCGTCATTCTGAAATGGATCATTTTTGGAATGATGTGTTATGAGAAATGGATACTGTAATGTCAGATGTTGGACTGTCTCACAAAGCAGGATCTGCTCCTCCAACATTAAAAAAGGACTGCATCCTGAGGGTATATAATGAGATCTACTGAGAGCAAACTGTTAATGCTTACATGTACTGCAAACAGTTGAATAAACGAAAGTGTCCAGCTCTTTTCAGTCAAAAAGGTGTTACCTTTTACACTTAAAAAATAAGAATGAACTTTGATTAATTCAATATTTCAATCATGACTTAAATTTATATGCAGTTGTTTTAATGGTTTCTCCCATATATAACATAATTACAAGCCAATTTACTCTTAAGCAGCAGCCCCCCCTTTTTTTGTATGTGTACCCAATTAAAAACAAACATTAAGTCATTCATTTTCTTATTATATGTTATATAGATTTGCCACCAGATAATGTACTTGATTTCCTTAAAATAATCGTTTGTAATATATTTACTCATATTTAATCAAATTGCATTGGATTTTAAGATTGTTTGCCCCCCTTTTTTTGTATGTGTACCCAATTAAAAACAAACATTAAGTCATTCATTTTCTTTTTATATGTTATATAGATTTGCCACCAGATAATGTACTTGATTTCCTTAAAATAATCGTTTGTAATATATTTACTCATATTTAATCAAATTGCATTGGATTAAGATTGTTTGAAAGCTTTATGTATGAAGTACTGGTCTTATTCAGAAATCATACTATCTAATACCTTTAAGTAGCTACCTTGAGTTTACATGTTTGCTATGTTCTTTCAAGAATATTGAGCTGAATATAATAAGTTTATTGAATTTAGCATAACATGTGTTTAATTGCTTTATCTTCAAGGGAGAGAAATCTGTGCTAAAAGTTGTATTCATTTAGGTTATATTATTAATGATTAAGATATTTCTTTTAGGTTTTGGGTGCTCAGCAGAACATTGCAAGTTCTCACCTTTTGGGTTCTCAGCTTGTTCAGACTAGACCTACTGCCGGTCCTTCTCCTGCTGCTCCTCATCTGCAAAATCTTCATGGATTACAAGCGGTTCAACCAGCACCACAAACATCTTACTTTTCAACATCTGCACAGCCTCAAACTGCTAATTATTATCATCAGCCTCCTGCAACTCCTGGCTCACCTATGCAACAACAACCTCAATATCCATCGCATCAAAGTTATGGATCGCAATCAGCTTTAAATGTGCTCCCACAGACTGCTACAGTTACACCAAACTTCCGTAATTTTGGAAGTCATCAATATAAAGCTCCTAATAGTGTAATGAACAATATTGTGCCTGAAGCTGCCTCTCTGAGATCAACAACTAGATCTCCCACTATAGATGTTGCAACTAATAGGAACATGTTTGGTGTCAGCACTGCTGGTTCAACTACAATGAATACTACTCCTGTTGCTGCAGTTCCTCCCATGTCCAGTTCTGCTGTGGGCAAGATAGGTCAACCACAAGGAACTGCATTGCCCACTAACCGAATCAATTCTGCACCTGGAAAAACTTCCCAATATTCTTTGCCTCAATCTCAGCAACCCTATTATCCTTTTGGGCAGCAGAAATTCAGCCATGTGCAATCAAGCACGGTTAGAGCACCACAAGTTTTGTTTCCTAATGTGGTACGAAATTCCCATCATCAGCAACTGCCTGCTGTTGCTGCTGCTGCTTCCAATTTGCATTATCCTCCTCCTATTCAAAGACCAGGACCTGCTGTGGCTCAAGCTGCCTCTCAACCACCTCCCAAAATGGCAATCAGACCACAAGGCAGTGTTCTGGTATGTGACTGTTTTCCAGTCAACTTGTATACTACACATTTAACACAGTTTTAAAATTGCATAGTTGTTTTGAAATTACATAGTTTTCCCCCTATATATATATACATATAAAGACAGAGAGTTCAAATCAATGTTTTTATTGTAAGTCATGCTTTTAAAATAAAATAATTTTTAAATTTCATACTATATGTGTCTTGTAAATATTACAGAAAAAAAAATGGGATCAATTCTTTGTGTCTGTTGTCTGCAATATATGGTCCTTTTGTCCTTGTAATTAGTTTTGAAAAAGTGTATAAAAGTCTGAAATCAGTTATTTCGGTTATTTCTACCATTTTGGATGTTTGTATTTTTATTTAGGTAATAAAACAGCTTTTAACATTATTAAAGAAAGTTTTGTGTATTAGATTACTTGTTTCACATTATATTGAAGCACTGCATGAACACTGGTTTCTGTTTTGCAGGTTCCAGGTGGTAAACTGACATCTGCACAACAAGCTAAACTAAGGGCTGAAGCAGTTCAACAAACCCATATGTTTTTTGCTCAGTCTAAAACTGGGAAACATGAAGAAAATGTGCCCAGCATTCTTTCACAAGAGAAGAGCAACATGCAAGGTAGCTCTGTACAAAAATTATCAATGGCTAATACAGGCTCAGAAGAGGAAAAAGAAAAGCAGTGTGTATCTTCTGCAAGTGACACTTCTGTGTCTAATGAAGGCAAGGATACTAATGATGGAGGAGACTTACCTGCTAGTGAAGAATGAACTAACAGAATATAATACTCTGGTTTGAGATTTTTGGCCTGTTAAGGGCTTTAACAAAAATAAAAGATGTTATGCTCACAGATATTGGTGTAGCTATTGCATCTTAAATGAGGGTTTGTCATTCAGATTTAACTATCACAACATTGCATGTAATGTTCTGCAAACTACGCCAACAAGCTTTGAAAATTGACACTTTTTCTGTATTTATCTTTCCGTATACAAAAGGGACTTTCAAGTTATTCTAACTGTGGCATATCTAGTAACCCATTTATCTGCAAAGAACTGATAGCATCTCAGAGTTGGTAGTTAGTATTTTGTTGGACTGTTCAATTTTCTATATAAAAAGATACCTTTAAGTTTTCACTACTATAAATTGTAAGTAATGAATGTTTTGTATGCGTGTGTTGGACTATGGGTATGGCTAATAGGTTTATTTTAAAAAAAAGAATTAGAAAGCTGATGGGGAGTTTGTCCTCTGTATGTTATAAGTTTCTGGCCAGTTAGCCAGTGCGGGGATGTATTATTTTGATGTTAGATGGGATATTGAAGTTAAAAAGTGTATCTGTATATTATGAGTGCAAGAGTGTAATAAGTAATTTTAAAATATGGTATGTGAAGTGGCCGGGCTAATTTTTGCTTGAAATACTTACCTTCTTAAGTAACTTTGCTTTTGGCACAAGTGATTCATGGATGTCAGACATAAAAGGTACCAAAGTGAAATCTCAAGAAGTGGACCAAAATGGCGAACAAAAGTACAATCTTTACTGCAAGTGTTTGAGATGCTTTTGCTTCTATTAATTTCTCTCCCCCCCCATGTGTGTGTTGTGATTTATTCTCCGTGTAGCAATTCCATGCATACTTGTGAGTCGAATGCAGTAATGCCGGGAACTTTTCTCTTCCTTTAGGTGATCTGGCATGCCAGTTCTCACAACAGTGGAGAAATAACATTTTTAGTTTACACTGTTATTTAATTCTTGTATGTATTGTGGGAAGTGATGCACACTGATGCCTGTATGTAAAATGAATGACTTCATGAGGAGCTCTTATTTATCTTTGCTTACTACTAAAATAAAGCTCTGAGCCATATACTCTCAGGCAGAGGTGCCCGAAATTTTTTATTGGGAGTTGTTAAGGCTGCTTTGACAAAATATTCATTCACTTCCTGTATCTCAAGTATAAAGTGGAGCACAGCCAATTTGTGACAGTGCTTTAATGCAGTGGTACTGTTAAGAATCATGAACTGTGTAAAGCAATCTTTATCAGATTTCATTCATGTATACATACCACATTGTGTGAGACACTGCCGGCCAAGTAATTCTGTGGGGTTTAGTTAGATTCATTTTCCTTTTAATCATTCTACAGTTGCATGCTTTTAATGTTGACTGTAATGTGCATTATGCACCTATGAACCTTCAGAGGTGTATGGTGAATAATTTTTCGAAATAAAGATCAAACATTTGCTTTCCCCCATCAGAAGACTGTTGTATGTAGTTGACTTTTGCTGCAATAAAGCACTGTAAAGTATGTAAATTTTGCGTGTAATTTTTGCCTTGAACATTAACACTTCCACTTGTAACTGCTTTGTTTTTTTTACACACATTTTAATTTCACATGCCATGTAGAAATATATATATGGATATCTTTACGTTCAATTGGGATTTAAGGTCAGCAGTAAGTTTCAGATATAATAATCTGTATGATTTTTTTCATTCATTATTCAGAAAACAATGCAAATAGTTCCAGGGTGATTTCAACTAAAAAAAACTGAGAATGAATTTTAAAATAATAAGATTTTGCTACCAAGATATTAGACTTCAGTAAAAATTTATTTCATGCATGCATAAATTCATGCAAAAATTGGAAGACTACCACATTTTACATTTATTTGTTAGAAATTTATTTTTTAAAATTCACTGTTTACTTTAAAATTATATATATTAACTATGTGATGATTTTGTAAACTGGCAAAGTATGTAACATGTAAATACGTTTTTTGTTTTAATAAAAAAAGGCTTGTCTAAAATATACTTAGTCTTTTTAATACTTAGAAAGTTTGGCAAAATATTAAAATATCTTCTTGTATGAGAAAGATAATAATCTCTCATTTTTATTGGTAATCTTTTTTCAAAAAGTTTATGCATTCTGTAAAAACTGCAGTTCATTTTGATATTAAAAATGGTAGATTAATTGATTTCTATTTATCGCAAGTCTACACAGTTGAAATTTAAACCTTTTTATTGTAATTAAATTATCGAATAAAGGGAAAATTTATTTTTAATAAAAAGTTGTAGCAGCGTAAAAGTTTCCATTCTGCGTTTGTCATGTGTAAAAGCTCTCAGTTTACTGACAAAATCATATAGCAGTACTTATTCAAATAACTGAATTTTCTAAAAAGAAATCATTAGTTTTTTTAGAGGCAGATGAAACCAAAATATTTCATTTTAACATTTAATTCCTACAATATGTCTGTATTGTGAAGAAATTTGCTTTGTACTAGATTTTTCTATCCAGGATACTCAGTTTAGTGAGTGTTTTATGTCTGGCATGATTTTTTATGCCTGTGAATTTTAATGAGTCTATTTTCATAAAGTTTGGTTTTGGATAACATGTTATATGCTATCATGCCGTATTTTTTTTATACTTTTACACATTTAAATGTTCATTTAATGCATTTCTTTTGTTAATATGAAATATCGTGCAATTGTAAAATTCTCGTTGCTCTAAAATTTTTCAAATAAATTTGATTTATTAGAATTAAAATAATTTTTTAATTATTTGACTGTATTTCACTTCATAATCCATTAGAATAATGAAAATTTTAATTATTTAAGTGATGCGTTTTATTGCTCAGACTTCAAGTTGTATTCCCTAAAATTCAAACCTGTTGTGGGAGTGTATAATCAACAAGCAAGGATGCATCAGAAACTGCAATCTTGTTTTCCTTAGAGGAATAAATTAAACATATTAGAAAAAATGAAGTCACAGTAAGGATTATAATTAATTCTAGATGTTATCTAAATGACCAGCATATTTTTTAACCTTGTTATAAATAAATGAAACATGACATTTTCTCTTTATTTACCTCAGGCATATTTCTGAGAATGATTTTTTTTTCCCTGAATGGATACATATTCAGTGCCATTAAAATTTATTTTCCTCCTAATGAAAGAAAAAAAGTAAATAATGTGGTATTGCTCAGATGTTATTTCAGGGATCATCTTCTTCTTCTCTCTCTCTCTCTCTCTCTTTTTTTTTTTTTTTTTTTTTTTTTAAGGTTCCAATAATGTTAAGCTAGTGAGGCATAACCAAAAGAAATTGAAGGCCAGTTAGTAATTGATTTAACAATTGTATATAAATATATAATTATATAGTTATCTAACTAGGATAACTATATAATTAATGTAATAGATAAATTTTCAGGGCTTAAAAATTAATTATCTATGACTCATTCATTGTTTCAGCCAAACTGTAGATAGTGTGGTTTTTAAATTATCTCTTAAATAGTTTCTTGTGTCTTGAAAATTAGTTCAGCTTATTAGTGGGTCAAATAATAAAAACTTATTTGCAGGTATATTTGAATTAAAAAATGCACTGAAAGTGAGTAGAGCATTTAAAGTAAGCAAATGGGATGTTTAGAAGTTTTAAATTTTGCAGCAAGTTTTAGGCATTGTATATTCTACCTTTATTACATATGTATATAAAAATGTATGTAGGTAGATCCAAAAAAAAAAAAAAGGTTACATCAGCATTTGAAAAGCAATTATTGTGTAGGGAACACTTTATCCTTAGAGTGTAGGCAGATGACATTTTCTTGCAATGGTTGTGCTGGTGAGTAGAATAAGTTTGCCGACATCTCGGAGCAATTAAAATGGCAAGATGCATAGAAAAGTGGTTGTCCTGATCAAGTACTTGGAGCATTAACTGTACTATTACTGCTCATCATTATTGTGCCACTTACACAAGGTTATGTTAAGCAATTCCATGCAAGTGCCCTAGTGTGATGGTGTCATAGCCCTCGCCATCCTATTCCATAATCCCCCAAAACCAAAGCATTACAAGATTAGTACTTGTCAAGGTGGCACAATAAAGTTATTGTGGAGTAGTATGGCACTACTTAGATTCATATTTATGTGGCATTGAGTTCATAAAGGTAACAGTTTTATTTTGTATTCCATTAAGGATATTTGAACACTAGAATTATGTGTCGCTAGTTTTGGTGAATTTATTGGATGATCTCTTAGATTTTAAAGTTTTTACGTGCAACATTTGCAACTAGTATCTGGTTATTATCTTATTAAATCTGAATCAGTCAAGTTATCGAACTGAATAAATGATCCTTCAAACTTCCACTGGAATTGTAGGTGCAGTTTTGGAGGGATTTCTGCTAAGGAGAAAATACTTGCAAAATTTCACATTTTAATCTCTAAAGCAGCGGTCGTAAACCCTTAAAACTTCACGGATCATTCCATATATAATTTCACATTTGGCGGACCATTAATATGAATTTAAAAAAAAGGTAAATATATTTATACAATAATAATCAGCAAACTGCGTTAAAAATGGACTAATTTCATTACATGCATATTCAGAGACTCAAAAAACCCAAATTTTACTGAGTGAATTAGAACTGGGTGACAAAAAGGCATCTTAGTTGCTTTTTGAGATGCGTAATTTGGCGGCGATAAAGTAACTTTCCTAAAAACATTGTGGCTATAACGTTTACTCATTAATATGCGTAGCATTATATCTGTTAATGGTGAGGATTTGTCAAAAGCCGATAATGGCCGATAAGATTTGAGAATTAAACCTTGTTACTCCGCAAATGCTTCATCTATAACGGTAAAAACGGAAGTGATTGAAAGTTTACAAAAACTGGTTATTGAACTTAGCTTACAAGTTTCTGCTTTATCCAAGCAACGTCGCAGTCGTCCCTATTGTTGTAACCGATCTAAATCAAGAGATATAGGGTACAGTGGTAAAAGATCTAGTGATATTTGTTATTACCATAAAAAATTCAGTGATAAGTCATTTAAGTGTAAACAACCGTGCAACTTCTCATCAAAATCACAGAAAAATAGCCCGGAAAACCAGCTCCCCGTCTCATTGACGACGGAGGGACAAGGGGTGCAGCTGAGTCATCTTTTCATCAGCGACAGAGAATCGGCTACTCAATTTTTAATAGCCCCTTACCGGGCAGAAATTTCAGTTATTCCTACCTTACCTTCGCTTCTCAAAATTAGAACTCTTTGCTGCAAATGGCACGAAAATCAAAACATATGGCCAAAAATTACTCAAGCTTGATCTTGGACTCAGACGATCGTTCACATGGCCTTATGTAATTGCGGAAGTAAACAAACCGATAATAGGCATGGATTTTCTTGCAAATTTTAAACTTGGTAGATTCCAAAAATCGCAAGTTGATTGATGGTACTGCATTGTTAACAACCACTGTAACTCCTTATTTTCAAAATAATAAATAATATTCCAATTTTAAATGTCCGTAAATGATCCATACAAATGTATCCTTAACGATTTTCCGGATTTGTTAAAACTGAATGTAGTTAATAATATACAGTGGTGGCCAAAATTGTGGACACTTTTGGAAATTTTTATGTTTTTGAACTTTGTATGCTCATAGAAAACGTTACGTTTCACCAAATGCAAACTTGTATATATCATTTTAAAGAGAATTTATTACTGAATTCAATACAAAACACAAAATTCAATTATTTGCAATACAAAAAAAGTTAAACGATGATAGTTATCGATATACATCAGATAGTGATGATTGCAGTGAGTTATCAGTACTTAGTAGGGTACCCTTTATTTTTGATTACAGCTTCACATCGACGTTTGAGCTGACAAGAGTTTTAAGCTCTTCTTTCGTTATTACATGATGCCAGGAAACAATTATAGCCTCAATTAGTTTCCTTTTATTTGATGGGCGCCTCATTCGGACAAAAGTTTTCAAAAGGTGCCACAAATTTTCGATAGGATTGAGGTCAGGGCTTTCCTGCCCATGACAACAATTTAATGCTCTTTGTACGAAACCACTCATTGGATATTTTGGCCGTGTGGCAAGGAGTAGAATCCTGATGTAAAATAAACGAAGCACTGTTGGGAAAGAAATCTCTGATGGAAGGTAGAAGTTTTGGTTCTAGAATAGTGTCAATGTATTTTCTGGCATTCAGTGTCCCATCGATGACATGCATGACCAAATCATAACACTAACTGGGTTCTTCACAGTTGCTTGAATGCAGTCAGGATGTATCCCTTCTCCTATTCTACGTGTTACATATTTTCGCCCATCACTACCGAATAACGATATCTTAGTTTCATCACTCCATATAACTTGTGACCACTGATCATCTGTCCAATTAATGTATTCCTTTGCCCACTGTAGTCTTTTTTTTTTTTTTCGTTGCTGAAAATTAAGATAAGGCTTTTTTCGTGGAATTCTACCTCTCTGTCCAACATCTGTTAATCTTCTCCTGATTGTTCTTGAACTGACAGAAACACCAGCATCATTGAGATCACTTCTGATGTCCGCTGATGACATTTTTCTATCTTGGAGACATAGTCCTTTTATTCTTCTGTCATCAATAGATGTGTGCACCTTTTCCGGCCTTTTCCTTCTTGGTTTTTTTATTGAATTCGTCTCCTGATATCGTAAACAAAACTTTCGGACTCCAGATGTAGTCACTGAACCACCCACCTGTCTTGCAATTTCAGCATAGGAAAGACCACTTTCTCGTAACACAATAATATTATGTCTCTTTCTAGGTGTCCAATCTACTCTTTTATTTGATGTCATTGCTTCTTGACTAAATATTACAAATTTTTACAAAAATTCCTACTTGTAATTGCAGTGTATAAGAAACAGGTCCTCCTTCTACAGAACAAAGCAAAATAATGAATTGTTTCAAGTGTAAACATGATGTCAGCTTCTACTGGCAGTTACTAACATTTGACTGGTTCTCAGAACAAGAACAGTGATTGGCCAGGAAAGCTAGACATTACAAA